CATGCCAGGGAGATATGCACGGGACACGAAACTGCGCTTCGCACAACGCGCTATTGTCATCCAGAGAAAGGTTTTCAAAAAGCAGGAGAGCTGCTGTCAAATTCAGCCAAGAAGAAAGGCGCCAAAAGAATAGGGGGGCAGCCTTATGTAAACATTCCATCCCTTCTGTGCCCACTCTTTGTGACCAAAAAAAGGGAAAATGCAAAGAGGCCTTTGCAAAAATAAAGAGAACATGCTTCGCTTTGAGCGTTCCGGCTCTGCTAAGAAGATGTTTGCAACGTTTGCAGAGCCGTACATCTTTAATACACTTTTTCACTGCGGTTTTTCACTTTGAAATTATGGAAAAGTGTGTTATTGTAAAAATTGGAAAAGGACAAAAGGCAAGAGTTTTGGACAGACGAATCCATCGTTCTCTGATAGTTTTGATGTTGTATTTTTTACGATGAAATATGATGGGAGTCAAGAGGACAGAAGAATTAATGTGTTTTTATCCCGAGGGTTTGATCAAAAGCATAAAAATCCCAGAGAGCGGCGCGGCTGTCCCTTTGTGTCCATTTTATCTTGATAAACTCCCTAGCTCGCATAGCCCAAGCAAAATGATTAATTACGCGAAAATTATATAAAAATTCTTTGATATTTGTTTATCATAACTTTCCTTGCCGGTGGACCTTTTTGATGGCCACGAGTCAGTTTTAATTATTGCCCAAGATGTCTCGTAAAATAAATCTTGGCTGCGGCTGCTTTAACAAGAAATTAATGTCGGTCCACGCTGAAAGAATCAAGAGAGATGGGGTTTGTGCGGTAAAATTTAAAACAAATTCTCGAGAGCAACTTTTGTGTGTGTGTGTTGTGCATAATATAAATTACGCCGGCGTTGATTATCTTTCATCAGCTCAATTTTATGGGGTGCTGTAAAAACGGAATTTTCTCGGCGGTGCACACAAAGAATTCTCCAAAAAAGAAGGAAAAATTCGATGCCAAGAATTGATTGAGAATTCCTATACCGGCCTCTCCTTTAACTTTCGCAAAATATTTTTATGAGGGAGCTATCGCACCAAATAGAAAATATCTCTTAAAGTTTTGCTTTGTACATCAAGATTAATGCTGATGTGTTTGAATTGCTATATATGGTTAGGCGCGTCTCATTCAGTTTTCACAGCAGCACAAGGAAAACATTCCAAAAAATTTTGAAAAGAAGTTATTCCAAAATTGGAGCATTCCTGGTAAAACTTTTGCTCATGAAAAATAAAACTATCATTAATAAATATAATAATTATGCAACAACTATATAAAGAAATTCTGGAGTTTGATAATTTTGGTTCTTAAAGTTTGCAGTTCACATATCCAATTATTTATATTTCAAATTTTGGATGACGAATTATTTAAAAAAAAAAACTGTCATAATAAGCATCGTAGATCTTGATAAAATATTTTTAATTACGAAGTGACACCTTAATTATATCAATGCAAACCATATATGAAAAACCGCATTGCGTCTAAAATTTCCAGATGCAACAGTAACCGCCAGCTGTGTATAATGAGAGTCTAGCCGATTGCAATTACATCCAATTCAGCAGGCAAGCTCGTCAGTCTGTCACACTGCACAGGAAGCGGTTTATTTTTAGTTGACGAGAGAAGTGTCGCGTGAATGGCACGGTCTTATGTGGTATATATGGCTCAATGAAAGCCGCGGGTAGTAATTTTTTTATGATGGCCTCTTCTAAAATATTCTTTGTATATTGAATGCATTGGGCAATCTAAAGATTCACAGTCCATAACAATAATTCCATGGAGCCTCTTTCATGAAATTAATTTGTTTCAAACTAATGTATAAATTTTTAAGAGAACGCCCAAAAATAAAAGGAAAATTAATATAAAAAATCATTTTTCAAGATTTGAAAATTAAATTTTTATATAGGTTTTTACTTCGTGCTTTTGAGCGACATAAAATTTTTCGCATGGAAACATGGTCTGGCTTTTGCGACGAGAGCAGGGCATGCAGACCGCTGCTCTGTGCCAACTAGCAGTACATATAATGCGCCGAAAGGCAATGCCATATTATCCATCAAGATATGACGCCTGTGTGGCGCCAAAGCGAAACTTTTCTTGTTAGGAGAGAAAATTAGGCAGCGCACACGAGCTCATTTATTTTTAACGAGATCGCGGCCACGGTTATAAATTCACCCGATTGCCTCCAAGTGTTTTGGTTACTCTTGGAATAAATGTATATAATTATGCCGATCTGACGGCACTTTATAATTCTTTCACTTGGCCAATCTGCATAGAGCACCTTTGTTGCTACAGCTCAATAATACCAGAATGATTTTTTTTTTTGCAAAAAGTTCAAAATGTTCTTAACTTAATTTATTACAGATTAATTCACATAATTCATTTATTCTCCTATTCATTACAGGCGTTAACCTATCAAAAATTTACTTCTACAACGCGCCCTAAAAAAATTTAAAACATCGTAATAAAAAAGAAACAAAGTAATCTATTAGGATATAGGAAAAAGTTACAGAGATCAAAAGTAATTTATCTAATACGAATCAAAGTTCAGTCAAATTAAGGTTTTTACATTATTTGATTTATATAAACGGAAGCTCTGCGCTCACCAATAGATCTTAGAAGAAAGTAAATCAATTTTTCCCATTTCAGGTGGCCCCAGCACTTTTTCTGAAAAAATCTTATATGCAGCTTGAATATCCCTCCCAATTTAATGGCCAGCAAATGCACACTTTGGACATAATAGCATATACTCAATTTTTTTTTTTATCATGGCACACAGATTTTCCGATGGCGGATCGAGAGAGCTGTTTTGTGTTTTCTTTTTGTTGTTCACAACCACACTGTGTTATCCACAGCACATTGTGCTGCATGATATCAGAATTCAGGACTTCAGAGGAGCCGCCGCCTCCCCGTTCTTATTCTTTCTCAGTCGCAGTATAATACATCTCTCTCTCTCTCCTATTATTCTTTGTGGTGGTTTTATTTTTATTAGCATCACAATGCTGCGCTGCCGCTGCCTGTATTACAACCACAAGGAATCCGCACCAAATTTATTCAGATTTGCGTCGCGCACTTGAATGAACATCACGCGTTCAAGTGTAAAAACGAACATACGCCGCCACGTGCACACCCTTGGAAATAATTTTTTGGAAATCGCCTTGCTTCTTCTACGCGTATATTATTATATGGCACTTGGGGAAAATTTCTCAAGATCATTCATCTGTTCAGCTTGCCATACACACTGACAGCTCTCAACGGTTATTGCTTTTGTAGATTTTGCGTTCATTGATATGCAAAAATAGTATGAGGCGTGTTTTTCAATTTTGTTCGCCGTTTTATAATAATCAGGTGTGCATTAATATTTAAACAGAGACGCGCAAATCGTGAATAAAGAGGAAGAATCAAAATATTTCTATATATCCACGTTAGTATGAATTTAACAAATTTAATTTAATTTATTTTTATGGTTAAAAATATCGCAATGTTAATATTTTAGCTTCCTCTATGGTCTTTTACAGGTCCGTTAAAATTTTCCTCAAAAAAGCCAAAAGCGTTTTCACACTACTTCTCCCCAACTCTCTGTCCCTAGCTCTTGTGCGTGCAAACGTTGCCCAAATAAAGCCGCAATATTATTGTGCACTTTGCCAGTGAAAAGGTCTTTTGATACGAAACTTGCCGCCTTCCCTCCAACGTTGGATGTAAAAGCTTTATAGAGGCGCACGCTTCTAAAAGCCATTTACATTTCCAATTCAATTTGGCTCAAAATATAATTCCGCAGCAGCAAAATCAATCTCCGTCACACCAGCAACAGCAGCAGACGCTCGCTGTTGGCTCTACACATTCTGCTGCTTTAATATCATCGGTTTTAGCTTTTAGCGCAACATATAGTAATTCTATATGTGTGCAAAATCGCGAGCTCACCAAATTGCTAAATTACATTTCAAGAACCGCTAGCCAAGTAAAGTTTTATATATATAATTTGATTTTCCAGCAAAAGGCCCCACACTCAAAGAATTAACTTCCCTTATAACACAAAAAAGCCCAACGAAAACGATATCATTTTTTTTTCATGTATGACTTGAGTAGAATAAACAACAATAATAATAATCACCAAAATATCATTTACAATTAAATAAGGTGTAAAAGTTTTTGAAACTTAATAACTATCATACCCTTGATGAAAAAAAATTGTTCAAAAAATTCAAGCTAAAGTAGTTTAGCTTCAAGAAAATATTGGGTTTGAAATTTTAGTAAATTGTTGGCTTTTCATTTTTTTCATTCTGTACCAAACTAAAAAATAATAATAGTGCTAATAATGCTAATTAAATTTTTTTCACAGATTTTTTTTTATAACAAAGTCCTCAAATAAATTAGAAATCTAAAAGAGGAAAGAAGAATTAGGTAAAGTTGTTTTTAGTCTTACACATATCAAAATTTTTATATTCAATTCTAACCAAACTTGAAAATATCTTTTGTCGGAATGAATTTTGGGAGCAAATTAAAAAATTATTTAATAAGAAACTACACTTTTAAAGCAGGGGGCAGGTATGGAAAAGGGGCCGCCGCGGGAGTGCAATAAAAGCAGATGACAACACCCTGTTACGTGCAGGGTCTACAATCAATCGGATAAAAAATACGCGCATCGCAGGGCAGGTACGCGAGAGTAAAATGCGAAAACACAGCTCGTAGTAAATACATAGAGGAGTACGAAGGTGTGCAGTGTGTACCCTGAGAACATGTAAAGCATCAGGAGCAAATAGGAGAATAGATAAATGCGTGCACCTTTTCAACCTGCGAACACAAAAGAGAAACCATGCAGCAGCAGCAGCTAAGCAACCTTTGCAGAGGCAGGCCATGCGAGAGAGAGAGAGAGAGAGAGAGAGAGAGAGAGAGAGAGAGAGAGAGAGAGAGAGAGAGAGAGAGAGGAGGGATGCGTGAGCAGTAGTGAAGGCAGGAGCCGCGCCGCAAGAAATCAGTCAGTTGGTAGTCGCGATCCGCGGCAGACGCACGTCAAAAAACCGATCGACGGCTCTCTCGCTGCGCGTTGGTGCTCTGCGGTGAATAATCAAGTCAGTCAAATGAGTGCGATACCCCTGGCCTGCGCAAGGACACATGCGAAATTTAGCGGCCGAGGGCTAAAAGCGTGCTCTGGTCGTTGATCGTCGTTGATATATATTGACAGAAGCATTTCAAGTCGCCAACATTTCACCGTCCAAGAGGACCGTGTTGTTTTCGTCTGCGTGCTTGTGTGTGTTAATTTTTGTAATAATGGTGAGTGACATATTTTTTCTTATAATTTTGAATATTTTTTTTTTACTTAATTCCAAGAAAAATATTACTTATTTCGGGGGATTAAAAATAAATGTGTGGATAAACTGTCCGCACATGCTGCGTTAATAACTATCAGGAATGCTGATGAATCTGTTTTTTCGTGCCATGCCCATTTTTGCTGCTCTTTAAATTTGAACGACCCGTTTTAATTAAATCATATAAAACTAAATCTATTTGCAAGGGCCAATAACGTTTATCTCTCCGCGGTGTACGCAGCCTCATATTGCGCGCACATATTCCAAATTCTTAGAGTGACAACTCTTTTAAAATATCTTGTCGGCGCGCTAGAATTTTAATCGGCGGCAGCATTTTTGCTCCAACACATATATTTATATAAACAAGCAAAAAAATTCCTCAAAGATATCAACGTGTGCGCGCGAGAAAGGCCGTCAGATCTATATAGGTGCAAAAAAAGTGCGCGCCTCTCTAGTTATATTAGTTTTATATACTTGTGTGTCGTGCGAATACGGAGCTTATTTACTTACCCCGAAAATCAAACAAATTTAAAAGAGTCTTACCCAACGAAAAGGTACAAAGCGTTGAGGAGAATCATCGGACTGTAGAAGCCGCGGTTTATCGAGTATGCGCGCATATTATTTAGGCATTATCGCGCGCGTATGATAATAAGGAACGATGAAAAAGAATGCCCAGAAATGTGGCCTATAGCATATCTGACATTTAGAATAATTTTTATTTTGAAGCTGATCTGACTGAGGGTATCCTTTTGAACTATATAATGTTGCCGTGGGGATAATAAACATATGTCGGCAAACTTCAAAGCACCCAACCACACCTAGCCTCAGGCGAACTGAGATTTTCCTTTGATCCCCGCCGCCAAGAATAAGAAACGAAAAGAAAGAAAAGGTTCTCTTTAGTATGGCTTTAGATGCCGCGCGTTGCCTTCTCTCTCTCTCTCTCTCTCTTTCTTGCTTTCTCAATTAGTCACTTGGCACCCCCTGTTTAACCCCAAAACGCGACCCAATGACACTTATATGGACTCGTGGTGATTGAGCCAAATTTATTGCCCCGCCTCTCCTTTAGCACTGGCCAGCCGCGGCTCCTTGCTTTTTATTTCTTCCTGTGTGTGTGTGTGTGTGTTCACCTAAGAAGAGGCTGCAGGAGTTTGTTTTCGTGTGACTGCTGTTAAATAAATAGCTGCCGCCGCCGCCAGAGAGACTTCTTTTATTCCAGCAGTGGCAACAGCAAAAGGGGGCCACAGTTTTACACAATTAGATGAGTTTTGAATAAAGAGCAAACGCGCGCGCTCTCCTATACACACCACTGATGTTTTATGCACGTTCTGAAGTGGAGCACTGCATTTTTGTTTACCTTGTAAACACTCACGTACACCGGCTTCATAAGTTGTATAAGCTCCTGAAGCATTGCTTGTGCCGTGTACTCTCCACTCGCGCCTTTTGTCTCTGACAGTTTTCGTCCATATAATTCTTAGTAAGCTCTTTTTGCAGCACCGTTTACGTCTGCTGTGCAACAAAATTATACCGTGCATCGCCAGTTTAAAGCATTTCTTACAAAACTTTAAAAATAGTTAATGAAATCAATTCATTTTTATACATTTTGGTTGCAAATTTTTGGTTTGCTTTTTCAACAGTCGCCATCAGATTTTTAGTTTGAAATTGTCTTGATCTAGTCTATATGGTTCTTTAGAAAGGCGCCATCAGTTGAAACGGACGGATATTTTGGAAACAATCATTACACCCACAGATCAGACCTTAAAAACATCAAGGAGCGACCCTAATCTGCCGCCCATTATTAACTCTCAGTCTGGCGCCACTGCACTTCAGTGAGCCACGACCTGAGCAAAATTTGGATTGGGAAATAGAGCGTTTCCTCATCTCCTAAGTAACTCATGAAGTATATTACCTTGGGTCATGAGCAAAGAATGTTTCTATTGAATAAAAATTTCCACCTTTCCGATCAAAATTTTAAAATATCATGTAAAATCTCTTAAGTTATATTATTTTCACTTTGATGAGCTGTGTGAAATTTTTCCTGTGCAGTTGATTATTATGCTTCCAGAAAATAATAGGGTTGGAAGGGGATGCATTACGAGGGTATGCCTCCGAAAATGTGGTTAGCGCGCATAGTAGCGGTAAAAAGCAGCTAATGTCTTTTGCTTTAGAGAATAGGAGGGCCTGAGGTTGATTATGGTGCAAAAGGCGCGCGCGGCGTGGGCTGCACGCACTTTGATCGAAACGGCGCCTCTCATCAGAGAGCACAAGATTTACGACCATCACTTGCATTCACCGCAGATTTCTCTTGTCAACAGTTATCCTCATTTACATAAAAGCCCTGCCTTCCCTTGTGCGAGCGAATGCTAATTTTGAAATCGCGGCCCGCGCCTGCCTGATGACTTAACAGCCAATTAATAACACTCTTGGCCTGGGTTTCATATGCGCACATTGCATTATATTTTAATGAGCAAAAATTGAGACATATGGCGTTTTCTTTTATTGCTGTGAACCCTGCCGACTGTTGATGTAAAAATTAAAATGCTTAATGCGCAGTTTTAACTTTGCCGCTGCTATATCTTACAATTAATTGGAGGTTGCTTTTATTTCAATTTGAACTTTAACATATTTTTAATAAAAGCAGTGGATTTTAGTAAGATTTTCTGTTGCAAAAATTATTAAATAATTTTAGTAATTATTCCACTAAGTTGCTCAGTTTGAATAAAAAAATCTTTGAGCTCTATAAATTTATATACACGATAAAGCTGCTAATGAGAGAAGCCATTTTTTTTAAATTTTAATTTTGATCTTTTGGTTGCTGCTGCATGGTGCGTAGCAGACAGCAGTGATTTATTTAATAAGAGAGAGAAATATATACCTGGCTGGAGGGTTAGTGCACGCAGCAGGTTAATTTGATTGCTCTGCTGATGTTGGGTGTGTAAAAAATCATTCAGCTGTGCTCGGTATTTTTTTTTTTGTCGGAAAAGGAAAAATTCAGGTAGCTCTTGGCGGGCAGCGCGATGATCTTATTTTAATTATGCATTTTACCTGGGCAGAGGCAATTTTCGATGGGCGCGCGATCTCATGATGGTTAAAAACACCTGTGTATTGGTCATTAGCTGCCCTTCCACCGGTTCTTTTGTGTATGTTTGTGTCATAGTATAGTGTGCGCGCGGTTGTACATAATATATGTACATGTTGAATGGTGCTCGCTAAGACACTTCGGCGCGGCCTTTCTTCAAAGACCGGTAGCTCCGGCGCGGCTCCACGCTCGATCTGCTCATGACATATACAGGCCCCTCTCCTCTGCGCTATATATTTTATTTCAATTATGGCTTACGTCACCTTTTGATTATTGCACACCACATACAAAATTCGTTCCTCCCATCGCGCCGATCAATTAATTTGGCCCATTGTCCGCTTTTTCCGAGGAGGAAGCTTAACAAGGCCTGGTGCGCGCTTTTGTCTCATTCTCCGCATTTTTATTGCGCACAGCTCGGCTTTTCCCTCTTCAGTCCATACTACATCTGGCTCGAATTTTGGTGCGGTCCTGACGCTGACACTTTTCAAACTTTGTAATCGCCATGTGTGATCGGACGGATGGAACGCAAAATTAATTATAAAAAGGGTGAAAAATCGCACGCAGATGTTACGCGCACCAGATTACTTTTCATTTTAATATAAATTCTGACCAAACTACTGACATATAGATCATCTAATTAATTATATTTTTGGAAATATATATCAAGGGTTTTATTATCAACGTCAGCAAGCTACACGCGTGCTCGCTCTCCTTTTTTTAATTAATTACAAATTTGCCTTTGACTTGCGCCTGAAATGCCGCTTTCATTATGAAGCGCGACTAATTTCCTCCCTTCTCCCTCTTTCAAAGGAAGAAACAATAAAAATCAGCGACCTTTCTCCAACTCAAGCACTCAAGCGCAGTGTTGAGTTTCGCGCTACAAATTAGTTATAAAGCGCCATGGCCCAAACGGCCCAAACCTTAATTAATTTTCCATCGCAATACAAAGTCTGTCTCTGTTGCTGGCATGTGCCTTCTTCGAAAGTTTTAAATGAAAACAGTTGCTGGATTTGCTTCTGCGAAATAGTGATTCTTCAATTGAAACAAAGTGCGCATAACGAGCACTTTGCAATAAGCAGCTCCGCATTGGTTTTCAAATATCGAAGTCCTTTTCTTCAATTTTTTGATGAGAAAAAAAAACAAATCTTGCAGTTTAAGTGATATTCGTTAAATACTTTTCAACAAGCAAGCGCAGTTAAAATGCAAATTGATTCCGATTATAAATCCATCCGCGTCCTTGTAATTCCATGTTATTTTTCCATTATTCCCTTAATGTTGATTTAAATGGGTGTTTCAATTGGCTAAAAAAAATATAGTTTAATGATATTTTCGCTCGTGTGATTTTCTTTATTCAAAAATTTATTGTTGATTCATATAGCCCCCACTGGCCCCCACAGATAATGACTATTTTTTTTTTTCAAATTGCTTTAATATATTATTGAAACTATTAAAAGATTAAATAATATATCTTTAATTTATTATGACTTGTGACCCTGCTTGTGACTTATTATTTTAAACTGTGAAATATTTTTTATCAACTTAATACAATATATTTTATTTCAAAACAGTTATGTGTGTGCTTTTTTTTTAAATAATCATTAAAACTTGAAAATTTAAATTGATTTTTTTTATAAGATAGAAATTAAGTTAACAAGTTAATAAATATGAAGTAAATGAATCAAAATATAAAACATTTTTTTAATTTTCAAATCAATTCATAGAAGGAGGCAAACGCTTTTTATTACATGAAAAATTAATTTAAAGGTTTCTGAATTCAGTAATGCATTTACATACGGAAAACACTTTTGAATTTTTTGTAAATTTGATACAAAATACTAAGACACTGCAGAGTGTGTTTCTGCTTCTGAAAGGCATTTTGAGACATGCTCGTAATCTATCGTAGCATTCGTGGCAACAATCGAGTTCAATGCCATGAGGTGTCGTACAGGCCATATTAACCAAGCATGTCCTTGATGCCGGTAAAGAACAAAGGCTGTGGTCAAATCAGCTGTCGACCCGCTGCCCACCTAGAGTGAGATCGTGAAATCGCTGATTGCCAACAACATTTCGCGAGTAACTCAAAACGACTGATGAAGAAGCGTGTGTAGGAAAAAATTGCGCGCGGCGAGCAGAGCCAAGATTTTCACGTGTGCGTGTAGCACAAGCCTCTGGTTTCTTTTGAGGCGCCGCACTCCAATCACTCACTTAAATAGCTTTCTTAATACATAAAAACGAGTCCGCGGCGCGGCCTCTGCTCTTGATATATTATAAAAATACCTATCCGCGCTGCTACCGCTGAAAAAGTTGTGCTACACAACCACGTGACCAATTTGTAAATTCCATTAATTGATTTTTCTCCGGCCAATTTTATTGCGCTTTTAGTAGCAGCTATTTTATATGTTTGGAAGAAGCAAGAGGCGTGCGGGAATGTTTTACATTAGTTTTTATTGTGCCGCGCGGCCTGCTTGAGTATTAAAGAGGAAGCTTTTGCGGAAACCGCGCGCGGTGGCGGCGCAGGATAAAATTGTTGCCCCTCTTAAATGGCGTGTCACTGCGCGGCTATATACTATTTTGTATTCACACTTCTGGCGAGCGGCGTTTTTGATCTTTGTGGCACACTTTCTGCCTGATGGAAAATGTTCGTTAGCCTTCATTTCTCTCGATAAAAGTTTGCGCGGCTCCGCGGATTTGCTGCTGCGCGCGGAAAATGATTATTTTTTTTACCGATTTTCAAATCATTTATTTGATGCGGCTCTAAGTTTCAGATATTTTAACTGCAAATTCCATTATCATGCCATAATGGCAAGTTTTCAAAAGAAAGAAATTAGTATTATAAAATTATTATTTTTGTAGCAAGAAAAACAATAATTTATAATAAAATAAATTGTATCATTTAAGCCAAAAATAATCCATTTTTAACATAAAAAGTAATAAAATGATATTTTGGCTTCAAACAAAACAAAATTAAAGACATTTTTTTTTTTTTTAAATGAAGTATATTTATTTGAATGAAGTTACAAGTCCAGCCAACTCCAAACGGATTTATCGGCCGGTGCTTATGTGACTGGAAAGCAAGACTTAAAAGCCAAGCAATCCAGTTCTATACACATTGTTTTACATGCGAATTTTTACAAAGATGTAGATATAAGTTAAATTTTTAGTAGAATTTCACGATTGAGGGTTGATTCATGGCGATTTGAATTTAAATTTGGCTTTTCCTCGATATGGGCTTTTTGAGTTGTTTATTGTTTAAGAAAAACAATTTTCTGCTCCAAATGTTTCGGCTGCGCACTGCAGCCATATAATTCATGAGCTGTGAAATCATTTTGATAAGAATTAGTTTTTTTTTAAACATTTTTTTTCTAAGCAACAATTTTCCGTGAATAATTATTTAGTTAAAATTTGTCAACAAAACAATTTTTAATATAAAATTGAATTCAAATTTTTTTTTAAACAAAGTTAATTTATATAAATAATCATTCTTTTCAAAATGATTTCACAGCTCATGAATTATGGCTGCACTGGCTGCAGCCCGCAGCCGAAATATGTTGGAGCAGGATATTGTTTTTCTTAAACAATAAGCAACTCGCATAAAACCTATCGAGGAAAAGCCGACTTTAAATTCAAATCACAATCACAAATATTTATGTTTAGTTGGAAAAACTTCTACTGATCTTATACTACATAATAAAATAATAATATTTTAGAAATTTGCTCAAGGCAAACATTATGCTGAATGCAAAATTGCCAATGTGTGAAAAGGGAAGATAATTGTGCAAAAATTTTACGAGGTATATTTCAAAAGCGGCGTTGCTCAAAGTAAAAAGGAATAGCCTGTAGCGCAGTGCATGCTCATTATATTACAATAGCAATATTAAAAATGAATTATATCCATCATCATTATTTTTTTATGTCTTCCTAATGATCTTCCGTATCTTGTTGAGAGCAACAAAACAAGGGTCTATGTCATATTCTTTGCAAACAATTAACGGAAGGATGCTCCAAGCATATTTTTCTTCGAAAAATTATTTTAGCCCGCAAAAAAATGAAACGTTCAAAACTTCCGTTAAATTTTATCGTTTTAAGATTGAATAGTTAATTCATATGAAGTTAAAACTTTCTTGCTTTAAATATTTTGCAATAAGGAAAACTCTTTTCACACTTTTAAGGGCGTTTTTTGCATTACTTTCTTCTTGCAACAAGAGGAATAAACAACAGGAGTTATAATTATTAATCATATTAATTTATTATTTTTTACTGTTTCAGTCTATTCGGTTTTACTCTTGGCTAATGGTGCCGTTGGCGCTGTTAGTGACATCAGGAGAAGCTGAGGATGTGTCCGGCTTGAGCACAAACCAAGTAGTTACAAATACTTTCAACTTTGGCCCTCTTTCCACAACAAACAAACTTCGAAAAGTGAGTTTATAAATAATAAACTCCTACAATTATTGGTTTTGTGCAATATTTTTTGTTAATAAAGTTTTCCGAACGGTAAAAAAAATGCACAATTGAATTTCCATACAGAATCAAGTTGAAATTGCTTTAATTTCCTTAAAATTACACCAGAAAACTGTTTGTTTTCAGACGTTGTTAGAGCCTGATTATAGCCTAGGACTACAACGCATGTTTCTGACTGACCAAAGAGTAACCTGCAATGACGGGTCGCCTGCAGGGTGAGTAGATGTTATTGATGATGGAGGCGGTTCCTGGAAAAAAGAACAGCTCTCTCTGGGGGTGGTATGGGTTTTCCTTGGATGAGGGAAATGAACCGTGCAGAGCGCATGGAATCCCATTGAAATGTTTTGAAAGGAATTATCTTCTTTCTCTTTTGCTCTGGGTTACATTGGATACGCGGCGGAGCAGTTTCAGCCAAGTCAAAAAAACTTCCCATTTTTTGTCTCGAAAAATTTCCTTTAGAGGATTTATTATATTTTCATCTGAAACCTAAATTTTAGTTCCTGTTGGATATAAATTAAAAATGAAATTTTACTATTTGACACCATTTCATTATGACTTATTTTGCTATGCATGTTTTTTTAGCCTCTCTATTAATATAATAAACACTAAATTAATAATGTTTCATCCCTGCATTCCTTAATATAATATAATATTTATTAATTTAATGTTCCAGATATTACATCAGGAAGACTCCTGGTAGTAGACGTTGGATTATATTTCTAGAAGGTATTTGAATTTTCTTGATTTTAGCAAAGACAGAATAAATTTATGCAAGGCTGGTTGTTATAACTGAATTCTTTAATTTTAAGGCGGTATGTACTGCTACGACCCTCGCTCATGTGGCCGGCGCTGGGCCCGTGCTAAGGGATTAATGAGTTCTCATCAGTGGGCTGATGTTAGACATGGTAAGGAGAATTTTTCATTTAATAACTCTTGCTCAATTTTGCTAACAATTGATCAAAATTATTATTTCAGCTGGAGGCATATTATCTCCAAATTCTGATGAAAATCCGTACTGGTGGAATGCAAATCACATGTAAGATTTAAATTATTTTAGACCATGCGTAATTTTACATTATTAACACTGGCTTCAAAAAGAATAATATAACTTATTCAAATTTTTGACTCGGCGTACTTTTCTTTTCAAAGAACAAATTTTGCAATACAAAAATATACATTGACAAAAATTTGATGTACACTAATTTCAGTAAATTTTATTTGCTCAATAGCTTAGTGCCGTACTGCTCAAGTGATTCTTGGAGTGGCGCTCAGGGTCCTTCAAGACGAAGATACTTCTACGCCTCCGAGCCCAACACCCCTAGGTTCAACTTTATGGGCTCGTACATAGTCAGCCAGGTTGTCAGTGACCTGCTTCCTCAGGGGCTTATCAATGGATCTAAACTAATTTTAGCAGGCAGTAGGTAAGATATACTCCAAATTATAAAATTGAGCGCTGTTTTTAAATAAAAATATCTAAAATTATTTCAATAAAAAAAAAAAAAATTAAATTTTGCCGTTTCTACAGTGCCGGTGGAACTGGGGTTCTGCTAAACATAGACAGAATTGCCAGTACCTTGCGACGAGTCGCGCCCAGATTGGACGTTAGAGGGCTATCTGATTCTGGATGGTTCCTCGATAGGGCGCCTTTTCCAAACAATGACCTGGATCCAAGGTGCAGAGAAAAGGGGACTTGTCGAGCTGGGCCAGCAACGTTAGCACTTCAACATGCCCTCAGATATTGGGAAGGCAGGGTGCCGGAAGAATGTGCACTTCAGCATCCCACTGACAAGTGGAAGTGCTTTTTTGGTCAATTCGTTTACCCCTCAATTCGAAGTAAGAATTATTTTAATTAATTTATTGCTTCAATTATAAATAATGAGTTTTTAAATATTGGCATTCATTTTATTGTTATATACATAAATAATATATTAAAAATTGCTTTGTGGCTTCAGCGCCACTTTTTATATTTCAGTGGCTATTCGATGAAGCGCAAATTGCTGCTGATAATGTGGGCGCACCAACTACCAAGCAGCAATGGGATTACATTCATTCAATGGGTGATAATCTGCGTCGATCATTGGAAAATGTGACGTAAGCCTGATATCAAGCTCTGTGTATAAACCAAATTTGAGCGTCTCAAAAACAGGTCGTTTTTCGTACCATCCTGCATTTCGCACACGGTGCTCACGTCGAGAGATTGGCGTCACGTCAGAGTAAGCAGGGTCAGTCTGCCAGAAGCTCTTGTGTGCTGGGAGCTACAGCCAGTGCATAAAGTAGCCAATAAACATTACAGCCCAATGAGCAGACATCTCAGTAGGCACAGACATGGAGTGCTAACAAAGTAAGTATTGATGAAATCTAAAATAAAATTAAAATTTTGAAATGTTTGGATTTGCGATTTTTGCAGCACAACTTGGCCGTTGTATATGTTAGCTGATGCGCCTGCAAAAACGACAAGAGGTGTTGCCAGAACTGCAGTTGACCTCACTGTTGCTAGTGGGCATTCAAAACCTGGAGCACCTGATAATGCCAGTCCTAGGAATAAGAATAAGAGGAGAAGGTGCAAGAAAAATAATAGAGAGCGGGACGGGAAGCAGCAAAGGCAAGGAGGAAAAGGACGCAGGACGGAACGTCGCTGTCGGAACAAAGAGAGAAACAAGAATAGTGAACAGCGCCAGAGAGCATCACAGAAGAATGAGAGACGTAATTATTTGAGAATTTTAATTTTTATTTCAATAATGACAATTAAATTGATTGGCAGCTGGTGGAAATAGAAATGGGCAAAACAGAAATAATAACAGGAGGGAGCAGCGATCACTTCTTGCCCAGTGTCAGTTCAGGGTTGTCGAGCGATGCTCTTGGCCGCAGTGCAACCATTCATGCCCTAAATTACACAACCCTTATACAGGTTTGTTTACATATGATTTTTTTTTTTTTTTTTTTTTTGAGATAATAATAATTAATATATATATTTAGGTGAAGAACTTGACTTCATAGAGTTGTTGAAGTCATTTGGTTTGGACATGAGTAGTATGGCTCAGGCCCTTGGGATCGATCTTGACACTCTACAAAATATGGAGCACAAAGAGCTTCTCAATTTGTTGACTCAGCAAGCCAACTGAATATATGCAAAACGCAATTTTTGCCCAGAAAAAGGCAGGGACGTACTTATTCGAATGGGCATACCAGCTGGTAAATTAGTCATGCATTTTAGGATATTTCAATGTATACTCTGCTTATAATGCAAATACTCAATTATGATGTATGCAGTAAAATGTTATAGGCCAGGCATCTAATTAGCAAGTATGTGAATTAATATTATCAATGATTGCTTGTTTCTACTTTCCTCAATAATTATACAAGAAGCCATTTTTAATTTATAGTAATTTTATAAGCTACCAAAGGTGTGATTACTATTTATTTAAACTTAACCAAATTTCCAATATTTTTGTAAAAAGAATTTTGAACTTTCTCTTCTGTGAATGTCAGTATTAATGGAGTCCCTGTGATACAACAACTTGACGAAAAGTTAATAATGTGGCTCCGCAAACCTCATATTGGCAGATACTTAGGAATTATAAACTTGAAACTGTTAATTTATACTTATAATTAATTTTAAATGTTTTAAACCTAATATTTTTCAATACCTACCTCCATGCATTATCGTGAAGTGATTTGCATTTCAGAGAAGTACAAAATGTTGTTGAACCACTTTTCTCATTGTATATTATTAATAATATTATAACATATATGCATGTAGTTCTGTAAAGTGACCATAAAATTGAATGTTTGTGTAAAATATTTTTAAGTCTCCAAAAAGTAACTTATGTGAAGAATGCAATAAAAATGAATTGATAGCATTTTTAAAAAATTTTATTACTTGCCATTTTTTTTAATAGAAAATGAAAATATATTTTAGATTAAAGATCATTTTATTTATTCATTAAACCCATCTGCTGGTCACAACTTTTTATGCGATGCCACCTGCTCCAGCAAGGCCAAAAAAGGGGAAAAGCGCATATTATCATTGATTTATTCGGATTTATTAATATAATATATTATCCTAAGAAATTAACGGGAATCGGAAAATCTGAGCCCGGCAGGCGGCAAGCCAAATGGCCTTTTTTATTTATTTTATTTACCGAAAATAATTCCACGTGGCTTTCCCGCCTATTAGTGGGTAACAGAAGCACTAAAATCGTTAGAGATTTTCAACCAATGAGATTTCAAGCGCTTGTAAACAAAGAGAATTTCTCGACCAATTGTAATGCACAGCAGCGGCAGCCATGTTGCAAAATTTTAAAAATCGTAGCAGTAGCAGGTAAATTGCAGGTTGGTGCGTTGTGTTGGGACTGTTGGGTGTTATTGTTGATTTTGTGAGATTTTGCATTTTGCTCTTTCGTCGGGGTCTCGGGGAATTTTCACGTATGTTAAATGAATATCCGCTTATCCATACCATTTGAAGCATTATCAACTGCAACTGATATTAATTTCGCTTTATTTCAATTTATCCATTGATATTTTCAGAAAATAAAAGGATCTTAGCTTGTGGATCGAAAATTCGTTGAAATTTGTGCTAATGTGCGAGGTTCAGTGAACTGAACGAAACCTTTGTCCTCAACTCTAATTCTGCGATTTTAGAAGACTGAGAATCGTTTTAGGAAATTAAGGTGAATATACAGTGAGATGTGAGATACTATAAAATTTAAATAAAATAATTTTTAGTGAAATTTGAATTGTTATGTTTACATAATGTCTTTGCTTTAACTTATAGCATGTAAATACTTTAACAGGCTAAATGTGATTATTTCAGAGTGATAACATGAATTTTGGCAACGAAGTAAACTACTCCAGTGGTAAAATGACTCCAAGCCCTAATTTCAACAAGTTTCGGCGTCAGAGGCCTTTTGACGACATCAGCAACTTTGATAGTCCACACTTGCCCAAGATACAGGAGGAAAGCGTTTTAGATGAGAAGGAAAATAAAAAAGCTGTGATTGAAACAACCCCTCGTCGAAGGATGGTAGGGCCAAGTCAGTCGAACAGTTGTATCAAGACGCCGGATACTCACAAACCTACCAGCTCGACGCCACTGTCGTCACGTCAAAATATGCCAACCCCTAAAACGCCTAGATTCATTCCTCGTAATCCATTTGATGCCGATCTCATTTCCCGCCTGCATCTACCAATCTGCAGCCCTAATGTGTTCAACACCGTTGTCAGCCCCACCAAAAGTCTTGATGTAAACTCTTTCAATTTTAATTTCGTGGATGAATTTAATATTAAAAAAACAGGGCGACAACTTTGATTGGACCATTGAGGACGTATCTCGCATCAAACCTGCTGCTATTGAGGAATATCCTGAGCACCAGTTTACAAACAGTGATGACCCTGAGACGGAGTCCCGAGTCCAGCAAACTTTGGACACGTAATAATTTAAATTGCCTTCTCTTTTTTTTAAAGTCATTAATATTTTTTAGGTTTTGGAAAGCTGAAAAACACATTGTCCCAAGTCCGTGGCAAGATAGCCGTAGATCTCTTGTGCAGAAAATAACTATTGAAAGCAAACCTAAGCCCTCTAAGGATGGTAATTTAAATAAATTTTCAAAATTTTAACAAATAAAACGTGGTATTTTTGCAGTTTCAACCCAAACTATGATCAGCTTGCCTCTTATTCTGCCACCTGAACTGGAGAAAGCTCTGCAGCCATATTTCAGGACGGTGTGTTTCAATACATTATTATTAAAATCGAGAATTAAAAACTTTTTTTAAATAGGAATTGGGTACGCCCATTAGCCCCGAGTCCATGTTGGAAGAGGAAGAAGAGGATGCTCAGTCTTCATTCCTAAGCCAATCAGGCCTGAGAAGAAAATTGTTGTTTATTCAGGAAGAAACTCTTGCCTCTAATTGTTGCCCTTCAAGCCCAATTGTGGTACTAAATTTTTACTTATTTACAAATTCTTTCCCAAAATTGGGATCCAGTGCGGAGCTTTCATTTTATTTGAGATAAAGTTAAAAGTAACAAATAAACAATAAGAAAAAAAGAGAACTAAAAAGAAAAGAATAGTTACGGCAGCGCACCACTTAGAGAAATTGAGGCTACAAAATGATCTTGTTCCTCAGCGCAAGGAAAATGTGTGCCGACCCCATGGGGCTTCATCTAAGGGTGTACTTAGAATTTATGCAAAACAGTATTCCAGACCAGTCTTGCCTAAATAAAAAATGGCACCTGCCGCAATGGGCAATAACGGTTTTGAGGAATTCCACCCCTCGTCATTTAACCTGGCAAAGCGATGCGCTCGGAAGGAACGACATCTTCCAACTGACCAGTTACACTGATTTTTTTCTTCTTAATTCTTTACTTAAAACTTGAACTCAAATGAAATGAATTTTCATTTACAATATTTTTATTTTTTACAACATTTTGTTTATTGCAGAGCATGTCGAGTATGAGAGGTCTGTCCAGAACCGACAAAGACTCAAACCTCATTAGATCTCCTACAATCTCTCCCATTAAAAGCAGCGATGAAAGCACTCCATCGGCTGTTCGAGAAAGTGGAAGTAAGTTGATATTGACATCAAATATTTGAATCACCTATTATCTCAATTACTCTACAGATGTGTTCTGCTCAAAAATGAGTGTTGATACGAGTGTCCACGGAAATGGCCATCAAATGTCTATTCAGTTGCATGAAGAGATGGTCTCTAACTCTGGATTGTCAATGCATCGTCAAGTTTTATTTGATGACCAAACCATGGAGAGTATAGCTCCCAGCTATCATGCTTTCCAAGGACAGTCAACCGATCATGGTTATCTCACTGAAACGAGCAGTCTAAATTTCGCAAACCATTTCCACAGCCGACTGCCCGATTACACTCTTCCTCTGGAACCATGGGTGCCCCACTTGGGCTCATCGACTCCTAGTAAGGAGAATTGATCCATCTCTATATTGACCACTGCCATTTGCAGGCAGCATTTATTTTTTGTTTGTTATTATTTCGGAATGTTTAATATCCGAATTGACTAGACACATTGCTCAAGCTTAATAAGTGCTTCTTTCAAGTTTTATAAAAATATTATCCAAATAGTGGAGCAAATATGTGCCTTAATCGAATAATTGTTTTTGAAATTAAAATTGCAAATTTTCGTGTATCTTTGCCAGTTAATATAAGCGTAATATTTTATGAGTTTAAATTTGTTGGTATTGATTATTGGTCAAACCTATAAATTTTAAATAATAATGCAAAAGACCTTCTCAAACATACAGTAACTATTTATTCACAAGAGTTGGCTTGTGACAATGATTATGTTCAGATAAGGATTTTTTGACTGAACATATCAGTGTGGGAATGGTAAAAGATAGTGATTCTCGAATGCCACTTAAATTTTGCTGTGGCCCACTGCGGCTCTGCAACAGTAAACTTGCAATGGTTTCTGATCTTGAAAGGATTGCCATGGCAATAAAGATTTTACACTTTGGCGATGCCAATGACTCCACAGGCAACCCTGGCACCAGCGTTGCCAGTGGTAGGGCTCAGCTCGTGGCCGCCCTTGCCCAAATCGTCTGGGTCAGCATGGACAACAACAGTCCTTCCAATAATGCTGTGAGCACCAGACAGGGAAATCAGATTATCTGAAATGTCAATGGTGGCCTTTCCGTCGTCTCCAGCATCCAAATTTCCAAGATCACCCACATGGCGAACGTCGTCCAGGGGGCCACCGTGGGTCTTGTTCAGAGGATTGAAATGAGGCCCAGCACTAGTGCAGCCTGTTGCAATGGAATTTATTTTGAATTACTGTATTGCAAAGAGCTAAGCTAGGCATTATTTACCATTGGTATTGTCCCCAAACTCGTGGACATGGAAACCATGTAAGCCTTTAGTGAGTCCGGTGACCTCACCGCTGACCTTCACAGGTGCACCCTCAGCCTACAAAAATTAAAATTATTAAATACTACATAGAATAGATATCAAACGCGTTAGCCTCAATGTAAAGTTTCATATGTATGTGTATGTATTATCACGTTTTCAACAATTTGATCAACATCATTAAAATATGTATGTATTCAATTAATGGAAGACCTTCATTGTTCTTGAAAGAGCTACCCGAATCACCGGTATGTAATCAACACAGCGTACGTTACACAGAATTTATCGAATTTATTATATTAAGCAAAATTCATCAGCGAAATACTCACAGCCTGCTCAAAAAATACAGTGCCCTTCACTGCTTCTCCATTCAGCACACAGACAGCTTTTGCAGCCATTATTTCTCTTGCAAAATATGAGAACTAGAGAATCAAATTTCAAGAGAAAAATAGATTATAGTTGACGTTCAATGATATTCTCGGCGTTTCTTCCAAGCAATTTTCTGTTTTGCACCCGGCGCAAGCGAGTCAATCGGGGGTGGGGTGGGAGGCAACCGGAAGATCTCCGCCGGCTGAAAAAACACAGAAGACACACCCCCTTTTTCCACCAAAGCAAAGCACCACAGAAGTCCGCTTTTCACTCTTTTCAACCGTATCCACGTGGGCCGTTTTTACGAAATTTTCAAAATTATTTCTTTAACAGCGCGAATATTTAGAATGGCATCCGCGTCGCCGCTTGTTGTGCAGCAGCTAGAAAATCGTGCTGTCAATGCCGAGCGCATGATAGCGGCCCTCACACAACAAGTGAGAAATACATACATTAGCACAATTTTTAATTCTTTCAATACATAATTATATATGCTTCGTTTTCTTTTAGATTAATGACATAAAGATCTACTGTACTAACAAAGATGACAGTGAGCAGGCATTGAAACTGGAAGCTGAAAATAAAAAGCTTGCAGCGGAGGTTGAAGCCTGCAAAAAGACATTGGTTGAACTTGAAATCAAGAATGGAAAGAAGCAGGTTTGTGATGAAGCCAAATTTATATATTGTAGTTATGTGTGTATTCAAAAAGATTAAAAAATTTATTAATATTACAGATTCCACTTCCTACAAGTGGCAGTCCTCAAACTCAGGCCAATTTACCTGGAAAACTGGTCACTGAAGTGAAGCAAGAAAAAGCGAGCATTGCACCCCAAGAAAAAAATCAGAAGACGGCTCAAAAAGAAGCTCCTCCAAGTGAAGGCAAACACTCCGAAGGGGGAAAAGCTGGCAAAAAGGAAAAGCCAAAGAAACCTCAAGCTCCAAAGCAACCAGAAAAAGGTTAATTTGTCCCACAAAAAAGTCACTTAATAAATTTTTAAAATTTGTGTATCAGCTGATGACGATTTGACCCGTCTTGACCTCAGAGTTGGATTGATAACCAAAGCGGAGCGACACCCAGATGCTGATTCACTATATCTTGAGACCATTGACGTCGGAACAGGCACTCCTCTGACAGTGGTAAGTGGCCTGGCAGGGAAAGTGCCTTTGGAGGAGATGCAAAACAGGCCAGTCATACTCCTCTGCAACCTAAAGCCTGCTAAAATGCGAGGCATCGTCTCTCAAGCTATGGTCATGTGTGCCAGTGAGCCAGGTGGAAGAGTAGAAGTCCTTGCTCCTCCTCCCGGTGCTGTCCCAGGAGACAGAGTTGCCTTAGAAGGAGAGGAAGTAGGACAACCTGATACTCAGCTCAAATCTAAGGTTTGGGAGGCTGTGGCAGCCAAGTTGAGGACGAGACCTGACCTCGTTGCTGGTTTTGATGGCAAGAAGCTGGTTGTCCCTGGAAAAGGTGAAATCACAACCAGCAGTCTTGTGGACGTGCCAATTAAATAAAAATTTACGTCCGCATATCTATGAAAAGCAGGCATTCAATAAAATTTATTATCGATTCTTGTAACTAAATTTTTATTTCCATTTATATTTGCAAGGTAGGGTAAAATTGCAAAACTTTACTAAAAAATAATTAAAGCACCACTTAATTTTTCAAATAGACAAGATTTTACTTAAGATTAAGAATGCTTAAAATGAATCAAACTTGGATAATTTCACATAATTACATTATCCTCAGTCATTCATTTTTTATACTACTATCAGGTACCTAGACCTTCTTCTGTTTCACCTTGTAATCAGACAGAGCTGCTTTGATGGCATCTTCGGCCAACACTGCAAATATTTATATCAATAAAAAAATGTTACATTTGATTAATTTTGTAATTACTTGAGCAGTGGAGCTTTACAGGAGGTAGACACAATTCCTTGGCAATGTCTGTGTTTTTCAGCATTGAAGCTTCTTCAATCTAAACAAATATTATGGTACATAAGTGTCGGAAGTACCGTTGATTGTTATTTTGGCAAACTCACTGTTTTTCCCTTGACCCACTCTGTTGCCAAAGAGCTAGAAGCTATTGCTGAGCCACATCCAAATGTCTTGAATTTGGCGTCAACGATTTTGCCATTTTCGTCAACTTTGATCTGCAACTTCATGACATCTCCGCATGCAGGTGCTCCAACTAGTCCTGTACCCACTTGAGTGTCGCTTTTGTCGAGTGAGCCCACATTTCGAGGATTCTCGTAGTGGTCTAGAACCTAGAAAAATTCATACAAAAGCTCATTAAACTCAAATTTAATCTCTAAATAAAGCTGAATTTCTACAATTTTTAATATTTTCATGCGTATTATGTATGCAATCAATAAATAAAAATTTTATCCATTACGTAATGTGAAACACATCCACCGATGCGCACTTTAAGTTTCTGACCGCAGATTAAATGATCGATAAAAATGACAATGACAACTAACGAAATAAAATTAATTGTTCTCACATTAGGATGATAGAAATTCTGAGAAGCTGTAAATGCCGGAATTATGCTGAGGTTCGTGGAGACTTTTCGAGAAACAGTTCGCACTAGCGCCATGGCTCAATCAGTTTTGTTTATATTTTGGTGGAAGGAGGGTGCGGATCAAGAACTTTCGTCGACGTCCGGTAGGCGGAGTTGGGGTCGCGAACTTTTACGATCTGTGGATTGGCTGATGCAGGTTGGCGGACGTCGACGGTGGTGGCAGCGTTGCCAAAGTGACCGTCTATGCGTGCTGAAAATGCAACTTTTTGTATCAAATTTCGCATCAAATAAGTATGAATCTGTGCAAAGCTGTCTCAGAGTGATTGCTCTGTAATCAGCCGTGATCTGTTCAGCCGCAGGATCGTCCAGTGCGAAACCGTGCCCGGCGTTTTGCGAAAACCGGGGGATTCGATTGCGGGTTTCGTGGGCGTGTTTGTCTCTAGCACAGTTTGTACCATGACGTTCCGTGTCACTGAGACCTAAAATGTACAAAAAGTTGTTCTCGGCTGCGCTTTGCCACACGGATAGCAACATGTTAATTCGCGTAATTTTACTTGTTGCAAGACGGTCGCTCTGAAATCTGCAGCTTTACCTGAAATGCACTTGCTACGACTGCGGGTTTGATGTGCGCCACGGGATTGATTGAACCAGATTCGGGTGAGTTTCTAGCGTTCAGTAAAAATCAGTTACCCTCGATCTTTCTGCACATTCACGCAACGCAAGCTCATCGATCTGCACAGATAGACACACATTCATACTATTGCAATAATTTTTTTATTTTGCTTTGTGCTCGGCAATCCATTTTCATGGATAACAAATTCGCATTTATATTCTTGAAAACTTCACGACAGTGGCTTTGTGTTATTTTTTGCTTTCATCTCGTGTGATAATTAAAAAATTTCACCAGAGAAAATTTTGTAATTAACCCGATTTAAAATTAAAATCTTCTTTGTGTATTGAGAAATCTCGTGGTAAACATAGGGGTGTTGGTTGGTTCACGACTTTCCGTAATGCCAACGGTACGTATAAATGAATCACACACGGCTGTTATTTCTTAATCTTGCTTCTATAGACAGACAGATTAATTTTTACTGTTGATAAAATTACTCTTGCGATCAGCAACTACGTTTATAGAGGCAATTATCTTATAGTCAGCCTGTTGTTTGCCGCCCTCTTGGGTGCTTTTGGGATATAATTAGGAGGGATGTATTGATTGGTACTTTGGCATTATTGAGAACTCATCAACTCAAATAATTGGCATGATTTTTCGTTTGCAACAAATCAGTTGTATTCAGTGAACATTAAATATATTTTCAATTTCGGAATTTCTTAATTATTGACTTAATTAAAAAAATGTGAGCTGTACAAGAATTTTCAAAGGTTGTCAGGAATGGTTAACCTCTATGGTCATACCAACTGCGAATAAATCGAATCATAATTAAATATAGACTTGGCTCGCGAAATATGTTTCATAAAAGGCACAGGGATATTAATGGACCAAAGCAAGCAACTGATTTTCACACTTAATCACGAATTATTTATATTGTTTGATGTCTCCACACCTACAATAATTAATTTGACGATCTGGAAATGCTGAAATATTTATTTTGGCGATTAATATAAAGTGGAGGTCTGCGCCTTATTGTAAGGAAGTTGTTAAATTTTGTTTTATTATCTTAAAAAAAAAGTTGAATCTTATTTTTAATCAACGTGAGTCCTAAAAAATGTTATTCCTCGCAAGGAAAGAAAAGTTCCGTGCATGGCCATTGACGTCCTCCTCACAAAATTAGATTTTCTAAAGCTTTTGTGGAAAATTGTCCACACCTTTAATCGTATTGCCACACTTGAGATAAAAAAGCCTTTATCTAAGTCTGCTGTTCCTCCATACTTTCAATCATAATTATATCTGCACTTGAGATTACAGGTGATTGATCATTTATTTTAGTCAATACTTTTTGTGCACATAATGATTTGATTCATTCATACTTTACCTTTGCACGTGTTTGAAAGTTATTTTCTTTTGTTTTTGCTAAGAGTGATTTTTTTTTTAATTTATAAATAAAATGTATAGACGAGTCATTTTTTATTTGTTTTTGAGTTCCCTGCAAAGTTCGAAAGTAATATTATGTAAGTTTCAAATGGCAAGAACTGAAAATTACTCTCATGGCTGGCCTTGTTCCTCAAGATTCATATATGCGATACAACTGATTTTTTATGGCGAGTAACTTAATATTTGTGGGAATAAAGAAGTAGCTGTGGGAGAGTGAACATTACACGCTTATTGTTTTCAAGAAGTGCTCAATTCTTAGTTAAGAGTTTCTTCATTTTCTAAAATGTAAAAAATAATTAGTAATAAAACTTTGGGGTGAAAAACTCTGAAAGCTTGTGATAATTTGCAAGTTAGGACGAAGGTTATGTTAAAGGTTTAATGAGTCGGTTGTTTTAAGGACAAGCATTGCTGATTTTGAAAGGAACACCTGTTTATTTTGCGCTCACTTATGATAACAAGCTTATCTATTTTGTAAGTTTCTAGCTAAAAAAAAATGCAAATAACATTCAGATTTTTCCAAGATAACGTCGAAAAGTCTAAAGTATGTAGTAGGCTCAAACTGCCAAGAACAAAAAGATATTAGTCATTAAACCAAATTAGAAACACTCTGTGTTCAATTAAATTCAATAACTCTGTTAGATAATAATTTAATTAAAAAGTCGAGCAATACCTTACTCAATAACTTATAAATTTGCCAAACTTTGCCTAAAGACGTTGTCGGCAGAAGTGTAGCTAATTTTGTGTCTCTCGAGCTTTCTTTATCATTAGCATGGCAAGTTTCGTGGAGCCTGAATTGAAAGCTTAACAGCCACCTTGCTTCAAAATTATACACAAACACAGCTATATTGAGATAATTTCCAAATCAACAAAATCATACTCAAGAATTATGTATTTGATCGATTGAGCAAAACTACCAAGTAATTTCCCTGCAAAATATTAATCTTACTTGCAAAACTCCGTTCCACTTTTTTTGCAAGTGAAGCACAAACACACATGTAATAATTTTATTGTGTGACGTTTTTGATGTTTTTCTGTGGACAGCCAGTTTTTCGATGAGGCTGCGGACTTGATTGGACAATGGACACATTGCAAGTTGTCTCCACTCACTCGAGTAGCAAATCTTCTAGTCGGAGTGCGTCCCCGTCCCGACCTCTTTTGTCCCCTGTGCAGCCCATGCCCTCTTCCAGATCCGTTTCACCCTCGATCTCGCCCACATCCACCGTCCTCGCTGTCTCTCCGTCAGTAAATAAGCCGTTTGTGCGCCCCAATCAACCGCACATGACGGTGCAGTAAGTTTTTTCAATCAATTTTATATTGATATTTATGAAACCAACCGCTAGCTTTGTTACTTTGCCTCCGTACTTGGTTGATTTCTTGGAACTTTAAAAATGAACTCTTGTTTTTTTTCCACGTTCTTTATTTTTCCAATGTGTCACTCGTCTTTTTTGTAATTTGAAACCTTTCGCAGATGTTGTAGATGTTTGCTTCAGTTTTGCAATTCATTAATTATTCCTCTGATTTTGGCAATAATTAGGTCGGGACATATTTTAAAAACCTCCCAATCGTTATTTTTGTAGACGGTAAACATTCTACTTCTGATCACTGATATCAATTCCGTGCAATTTACTTTTTGTCTAATAGTTTGATAAAATAGCACCACGAGAAAAGATCCCTTAAATCCCCTTCTCAGCTCCTAACAATTCCTAAAAGTATAGCTGATTGTGCCACTCCGCTCCATTAATTTCACCAAAAAAATGTCCAATGCATCAAGTTGCACGCAAAGCAGTCGTTTTCGTCTGCCATGTTTTTGTAGTAGGACGTTATTTGAAGTTGTCAATATTTCTTTGATACTTTTTCCTAGAGAGTTATTTTAAACAAAATAATAATAATAATAAAATACTAGAATTATTGAGAAAAAAATCAACAAAATCAATCCATTTATAATTTAGAGTAATCTAAAAAAAAATAGATTTAAAGAAGAATAATATATTATGCATGCATTAAAGTGGCGCAGCAGAACGTGCCTCATTTTGCAAGCGACAATTCCAACCCCTTTTTAGGGAGTGAAAAATTGCGCACACCGAACAAACCGTTGATGGCGATAACGCCGTCTGCAAAGTATGTAAAGCGGTCAAAACGGAATAAAAAAAAAAACAATAGGCGCACAGGAATAATCAGTCTCGCTCAATGCCACATTCCTCTCTGATGGCCTCCCGCCGTTCGCGCGAGTTGTTGCGAGGGTTGCATAAGCGGCGATGAAAGTGGAGAAGACCGAATGCAACCAAGTGCATGGAGTAAAGCAATGAAAATCAGCAAATCCAATTCGTGTTTGATGGCATTGGCTGTGACTTTATATTGATATTGCTCGTCCGCGTCTAACAAGTTACAAACGAGTCATGCATGTAGGTGAAGCCGAGCAGTGCATCATTGACGTTCGGATCACAAAGAGCAACACTTCGGCGCGATTATCAATTCTAGCGATTATTTCCTCATACACTTTTCTTATGTTCGTCATTTAAAATTGAATTTTTCTCCACCTACAATGTATTAAGTTAGTTAGTAGTTCTGACAAAAGTTTGTCTAAAAGAAATCGCACAACTAATCTGACAAGAATCCTACGTCGCTTGTGCTTTGATGACTCTTGCGAGGGACTTGCGCTGCAAATGGATACTAAGCAGAGGAAAGTGACTCACTCGTACATTGTCGGGGATTCTTGAGTGTGTTGACGAAGTGCGGCTAAATAAATTTAAATGGTGTCGTTTTCCTGGGTGCCAATGATAATGGTCGCTGTGTAAGTCCCATCATTTTTCTTGGCACTGTCGCTGCAAATTTTTTAGATGCTAGCGAATCATCTTTTTTTTATTTTACGCTGAGAAACACACTAGATTTGCGTCTAAACAAGATGCAAATGTTTTTTTTATCTGAAATAAAATGTTTTGCTTTTTTTAAGAATAGGAAAAAAAGGCATTGTTTTAGCGAGCTTGAGCCAGTTATCGCTGATAATTAAATTGCTTTTGTGTTATATGCAAAGTTGAAAGTATGCTTAACTTTAAACGTTTAATGATTTTAAATTAATTATATCGAGCAGAATTTTTCAGGATTCATATATTCATAATAAAAATTTTACTAGACAAAGTCTGAGGTTCTGTAAAAGATTGGAAATCCAATAATTCTGCAATTACGAAATAGAATTAAACTTGAAATTGAAGAGCTTCGTTAAACTGCATAGCTAGTGATTCCTTCAGAAAATAAATGTCCGCCACAAGTTTTACTAATTTTAGAGCCGTGTAAAAACGATTACCTGAATTAATTCATTTAAAGAATTGGATCATTCTGCAGTGATTCTGATTCCATTTATTCACATTTCTTCAGCCATCATGCCATTCGCACAAGTGTAGATCTATCCTTTTTTGTTAAATGTAGGGTCAAAGGGTTAAGGCTCGACCGTCTATTATTTAAAACGATTTAAACCACATAGATAGAATATATAAATGTATTTGGAGTTTGGAGCTTTCAATATATTCTTTTGTTTCTATCCACTCTGTTAAATGTCAAGTCCATGTAGTTGACCGTTCATCCAGCCTCCACCTTCCTGTGCTTTGTGCCTTTCTGAACTCTGTGAAAATTCTCTTTTCCAACAGGAAACACAGCACTGACTCAAAAATGCAAGCAGTCTCCACGCCGAGCGGCAAGGATGGAGGTCACAAGTCAGCCAGCGCGACCCCGCAGACAGGACCATCACGCAGGGACACCGCCTCGAACATCGTCTACACGACGCCGGCGGCGCGTGCGGTGGCTCTGCATGCCACCAGCATTGGGTCACAAGAGGCCATTGGCTTTGGAGATGATGAAATTGTAAGTTCAAGGCCACATTATCTTATCGAGTTTCTTTGTGTATCTTAAACAATGAAAAATATTTTTATACCATCATCCTATGGATTTTAGTGATTTTACAAAAATGAAATTAGCGGAAGAAAAAAATAAAAATGGCACTGAACAATTTCAAAACCCATCGCTCATTTTTTCAGGATTCCCAGTTGACTCCCATTGCCGGTGCAGCCAATGGTTCATCGGAAATTCTAGGAACCGGTGGCAGCGAGGACATCAGTGCAACGCCTGATCTGCAGAAAGCTAAAAATGCCATCACCAGGCTAACTGACAAAATCATGCGCATCAAAGATCAAATAACAGAAGAGCAGAATACAAGAGATGGTAATATTTTAGTAAAGCCTAAACTGGAAAAAAAACGCTTTTGATTTTTAGATAATGTAAATGAGTACCTGAGGCTATCTGTGAATGCAGACAAACAGCAGCTTGGTCGAATAAAGGGGATGTTTGAGAAAAAGAACCAGAAATCGGCACAGGTCATAGCAGTCCTCCAGCGCAAATTGGAGAATTACAATAAGAAAATGCGTGACATGGAGAACATGGTTGCCATGGCAAGTCAAGCTGGCTCCAGCCGTGGGTCTGACAGCTCATCATCTCACCACCATAGACAACCCAGGGAAGTCCTCAGGGACATGGGCCAAGGACTGAAGTGAGTCAAAAATTTGTGTTTCTGTCACTGTTGGTCCAAGTGTGTGTTTGTCCCCTGCTTTAGTTGTTCCCGTAGACAAATTAAATGCATTTTACCGCAAAATTTACTAGATAAAGCTTTAAAAAAATTATAATTTGCATATCCAATCATGCTCTGGTTTAACCATGTGCATGTTGCTTTTGAGTGTTAAAATGATTTTACAATATCATTGCATTATTCTCATTTGCTTGGTCATTTGTGTTGGCTAAAATGGATCGTATGCTTCATTATTTGCAGAAATGTTGGCGGCAACATTAGAGATGGAATAACAGGTTTTTCAGGGTAAGTTTCATTCTGTGTTTGTTGCACTGCAATATTGCATGCCATCCGAGATCATTCAGATCATCCACGGCTGGGAGAGTTCGGAAAAGAATTTGCTCACTTGTTATCTAATGTTCTAGGACTGTCATGTCTAAACCTCGCGAATTCGCACACCTGATCAAAAATAAATTTGGCAGCGCTGACAACATTAACTCATTAGGCAAATCTGCATTTTACACTGGTAATTGAGATCATATTCCATTTTAAACATAATCTTTTAATGAACACAAAATCAAGGCATCGAAGAGTCTGGAGGAAGTGAAGAGGACCAAAATTCACAACAGAGTCAACGCATACACCACGGTTCTGCAACGCTGCCAGCCAATGCCCCATCACACCAAAACTCGGGTGGATCGACAGGAGCGCGATTCCCACACGGCTCTGAAGAAGGGGTCTCGGAATGCTCCTCAGCCACAAGTGAATCTCTGCCCCCTCCTCATCAAGTAAATAATGCATCTAATGTCGGAGACGCTGGAACGACTCCACAGCAGACGCATCACATAACTAGTCCAAGACGCCAGACGAACTACCATCCTGATGTATTTTGTTAGTTCATTCATTTGGTTTGTAACTCACACAAGTGTTTCCAGCCTTCAGGATCGTTAGATAATATAGGAAGAATCATAGAGGAAGTGAATGCCTTGAGGGAAGAACTGAACACTCTGAGGGCAGATTTTGATGCACTTAAGGTAAATAGAATTATATCTCTGAAAAGACTTCTGATCAAAACCGCCAAATTAATTTTGAAATATTTTTGGTGCACACTCTTAAGACGTTATTACCCGGTTACTCTATATACGGGGTACTTAAGTGCAACAATACTTTGTTGATCAAGCAGGTTTGTAAAAGAGTCTTTTCTAGGGCTGAAACAAACACACTTCGGAGTGCTAAATAGTTCCACGTTTTATTTTCAAAGAAAATTTTATTATTATAAGGAGTGAAATATTTTGTATTCAGAAATCAATGTTACTTCAGTTTGATTCCATTTGAAATAGCCTTTAATCAAAGAATTGAAATTACAATTTCTTTTTCAAAGCAGATTAAAAAAATAAATATATGTATTTTCACCACCTGCTTTTTACACTGCAATTTCTTGCTATTTTTAGTGGTAATTTATTTATTATTTACTCACTATTGCATAAATTAAATATCACTGTGTGTATGCTGGAAATTTTAAAAGGTTTGAGTTTTTATTTTGTTGAACTTTTTAGAGTAACGTCCTGGCTGAGCAGCAGTTTACAAGTCAAGCTCTACTAGATGAAAGATTTCGAGTTGAGCGTCTTGAAGAGCAACTGAATGACCTTACCGAACTTCACCAGACAGAGGTAGAAAACCTTAAAACGCAGGTAGCTGACTCTGAGGAGAAGGTGCAGTACCAGAGTGAAGAGAGACTTAGAGACATTCATGAAATGCTAGAAGCCTGTCAAACAAAGGTAATTTATTTGCATGCGCATTTTAAATTGATAAAATGATCAACACTGCTGTGTTTAGATATCAAAAATGGAGCATCAGCAGCACCAGCATCAACAGTATGTCACACTGGAGGGCATCAACAATTCCAATGCACGAGCAGTTGTAGTCAAACTCATTAATGTCGTCCTAACTGTCTTACAAGTTGTGCTCTTGCTTGTTGCCACAACAGCAGGAATAGTTATGCCCTTTCTTAAAACAAGGTGAGCAGTTAAGTTTTAAGTCAACTTTATCTTTTCTCATTGAAAATTTTGCAGACTTCGTGTCCTTTCCACCGTTTTGCTTATCGGCGGCATTGTGTTTGTAATTAAACAGTGGCCAGAAGTGAGAGATGTTGGCGACCATATAATGAGACACATTAAGCAAGCAGTAGCAGGGAAATGAGAAAGCAGCAAGTGATAATTCGACACTCAGTGAGTGAAATGAATATTATACTTATTTATTTGAAAAACTGCAATGTATTGAATCTGCAAGTTTTGAGCCAAGTTTGGAAAAATTCACGACATATTTTGGCAACGTAATAATGAAATTATTATGTCTTGAAATATTCTTTTCTGGTCATCGTATTTTATTTTCCCATTTCAGAGTGGTTTGAACTCTATAAAATATAAATTATTCCTGCATACAATTTTATACTTTTTCATTGAGGCATTTTAAGATTCAACGATCTTTTGATTTCACCATGGTAAATTGCATTTTAATCAGCAAAAAATATTTCATTCTAGAGTTTTATTGTTTTTCTGTTTAACTGATCTATATATGCTTCAAAATTTGTTATACTTTGGTTGTAAAATTTTTTAACTAAAATTTTTACGATGAATGCAAAATTATAACTTGGTGATCCCTAGCATTCCAATTTTTCATAATTTGCACCGTTTACAGTTTATATTAATTTTGTCTGCTCTCAATTTTTCATGCCATATATATTTGATTTTATATGCTACGATCATACTGTTTTGACTTACACAAAGCAAAAAAGTGAAAATACGAAGTGTTTTATCTTCACAAAAGAGCACACACTGTATATCTCCATAAGCATTCGTAATTGCAGTTTTCCCTAGAGTATTTTACTTTTTATGCATCATTTTTCCAATTATAAAGTAAAATCAAAGTGATTTCTTTTGCACAATGTGATTTTTACCCTCATAAATTAAGTAGATAAAATGCTTCAGCTTGTGTATTTACGAATCAGCAAAGCAGACACACAACATGTATATCCATCCTTGTGTATTAAAAATATAACTTGAGTCTGAAAATGAGCAAATTAGTGTGATAATTTTAGGGTTACAATTTGAGAGGTTATAATTATGTGCAGTACTCTAGAAAATGGCAGTAGAGAAAAATTAACAAAGTAGAGCCTTGTAACGCTTTTAAGGTGATCATACTAAGCTCTCTTGAAACGAATACGTAGCGTCAATTATTTGAGAACGAAATTCACAACAAATTAATATAGGGAATTATGCCTGGAAATAAGTGCATTGCACTTCAGTTAGAGGGGTTTTGTGGTATATTTTTTAAAATAAATAGCTTGGGCCATGCGAAAGTTGGAATTTTGTATTCTTTGGAAGGCAAAATGTGGCAGAGTTTTATGCAAACTTTTTTTGTTTTTATCCTGTTTTTGTGTGAAATAAATAATTTTGATTTTTAAACCAGTAAAAAATTGAATCCTTTCAATTTTACCTATTTATTTTTCAATATTTACTATAAAAATTTCTTTTTTTTATGATGCACCTACATTTAGCTGTCATAATAATTATTCCAGGGTCATAAAACCTGCCACAAATAATTTGACTACTTTTCCATTTGAAGCCTTATAAAACTATTTTATTCATGCGTGATTTGTGCAGTCCAGTTAAGCTAAGGAAAGCCAAATTATCAAATTTATTTTGTATTGCAAATTGCAAAATAATTTAAATAATCAAATCATGCAGCCCTTGATGAACTTATTATGTAAGCGTGGAATGAAAATTTCCAGACAGCACGCTAATGTAATTATTATAATCCCACCAGAGAACTCTTATGTTCCTCCGAGCAAAAGAAAAACAACAAACTGTTGTGCGTCAACTCCAAGACCCAAATTTCGCAACCTGCCATTTTGAGAATTTAATGGTGATCTTAAACGTAGCAGCAATTTTGCATTTTTTCTTTCAGAGCGCTCAACTTTTAAGATATGGAACAAATTCTGCAAAAAAATTCTGCTTGTGATCGCTTAAACAAATTAATTAATACCATACATATATGCATATTATGACCATATGTGGAAAAAAATAAATGTGTATCAGCAAATTTTATTGTTCTCTCTTGCCTCTCTTGCTGCCATTTTTTAATGGGTTTTCTCTATCTTTTTTTTGTGATTTGTAGATACTTCGCAATAAAATATTTCGAGTACTGTTCCAAAGAAAGAAAAATTGACGTAATTTGTAGCACACTATAAAAACAGCTGTATAAAATGTAAGCTTGGCATTGGCCGAAACCTATAAATGTAATTATTATTTTCTATCCAAAATTTATAGACAGCTTTGCTGTTGCCAATTTGCAATTTGGGATAATATACAAAAATGCGTGAACCTTGTGTGTTCCTTTGCGTTTTGCTCACTTTTTGGATTTAATTTATCTTTTGCTGCGAGAAGCCCAGTTGTGAATGATGATTTTTATGGTGTTGTTCAGCAACTAGAAACGACTGAAAATCAACAATATTTCATATAACGCATGAATATAACAATATTTAAGTGAGAGTTGATGAATAATTATGGGATGGTAATTCCATCGAGGTCAGAAAAAGAATGAAGAATGTGTGTGGCGAGACTGGCGAGAGATCATTGTTTGTTCTCTGAGAAGTGTATTCAAATATTATGTGAGGCAGTATATAATATACTGTCGTGCAGAAATGATACTTTCCTCGTTTATTTGATCTGAACCTTGCAAAGTGTGTGCAATTGTCCATTGAGAGGGGTTAGGAAGAAGAATATCAGAAAATACAACAATGAAAATCTCATTTGTTAATTTGCATACACATATATATGAAACTCCCATTATGAAACCAGGAAAACTGCTGTAAATACACTTCGATTTGTCGTTTAAAAACAAAATGGTTTTATTTTTATATAATCCTACAACACAAATTATAATTATAACAACCGCCTTTTCTTTCAATAAAATATTCATAAATTAACACATATAAAAATTTGTGTCCAGACTTAAAATTTAATTACTTTTTTGAGCTGACCAAAATACACCTTTCTGTGGCTGCCTCTACAGCGGAAGCAATCCAACCTCTGACTCCCCCTTTCTCCAACACATGCAGACCTGCTGCAGTGGACCCTGCAAATTTGATGCATATTTAAATAAAAATATAAAAATCATGTAAAGTGTACCAGCAGGAGACGTGACGGCTTCTCTCAAAACAGCCAAATGATCATCAGACAATTTTGCCATTGTTGCTGCTCCAAGAGTTGTTTGAATAGCAAGTTGCGTGGCCAAGTCTCTTGGTAGACCCATTTTCACCCCTCCGTCTGATAAAGCCTCGATTATTGTGAATACCTACAAATCATTTTAATATATATTAAATTCAGAAAGAAAAAATTATGCAGTGTGGCAGTATTAAAATTATTTTTAACAAACAATTCAATTTTACATAGGCAGGTCCGGAACCACTTAAGGCCGTAATGGCATCAAAACTTGTCTCGGGCGCTGTTCTGCAAATTCCAACAGCCGACATTAGCTTTTCTGCAAGGTCAACGTCTTGAGGAGTTGCATATGAGCCACCGCAGATAACAGAAGCGCCGACCCCAAAGGCTGCTGGAGTGTTGGGCATTGCTCGTAAAATTCTGGGCTTTCCAGGAAGGCACTGTAATTACGTTAAATTGAATTATTATTTTTGTATATTTTTTTAATATTGCGCGTAACAAAATTTAGTAAAAAAATTAATGCACACAAATTAAAAAGATTAAAAAATAATGCGCCAAAATGGAACAAAAAAAAGTGTTTTTTTTTTTTATAATTTAGCTGTTCAGTTTGTTTGCCATGACTGGGAGAAACAAAATAAAACACAACCAAGGGCAAATTCATTAGCATTGAGATGAGCAGCAGAGGGTCTAAACGGGTCTCTCTTTTGCCTCTTCAATTTAAATGCATAGTGATGAAATTCTCTGATGTTACAAAACATCCAGATTTTTAATTTTTTAGTTACCTTTTCCAGTGCCTCGATTTTTATTCCCATCGCAATTGACATGAGAAGGTGAGAATTTGAGAATGAATTTTTAATGCTCTCCAACACAGGCGTCACAGCAAATGGTTTTACGGCCAAAATTAAAATATCTGCTTGACGCGTAACTTCGGTGTTATCATTTGTTATTTTTCCACCGAGACTCTGTTAGAAAAATTGAAAATAATGTAATTAGTTTGTTCTGTTGAAAAGATTAAGCTAATTTGATATTGTCTACACATGTATTTTAATTATACCTGGAACTCCTCCAACAACTTTGAATCTTGCGGCGGAGAGCTCGCGATTAGATTTTCCGCTCTTGTCAAGCCTGAATATTTGTTCTTTTAGCAAAATTATTAGGAACTAAAATAAAAAAAAAAAAATAATTTAAAATTTAATTGATAATTTAAATAAAAAAATTTAAGCGCATTTAAGTATTTAATCCTTGAATCAGGCCAAAATTTAAAAACAATAGTCTACTGCTGAACAAATAAGTTATAGCACGTTTCTCAAATTGTATTATATCATTTTGTTTCCGACTGACGAGAGATATAATATCGTCTCTACTCATATTATCTCAATAAATATATATTGGTCAATATATTATACATTTATGTGGTTTGATGCGGACCAAAGATCAACACAGTTAGAGGTCATTGACAAAAAAAAAGCTTTGGAGACCCATGCACAGGGAAAAATAAATATGAAGAAGATCAAGTAGTGCATAGTAAATTTATAAATTTTACACCTTCATTTACACATAGTTTTATTTAAAAAAAAATATGCTCAATTCATTAGATTTAAAAAAAAAAACTAGGACTTAAAAAACTGTTGATTAAACGAAAGTGTTACGAAATCTACTTATTAGTTGCATTGAAAAATAAAGAGAAAACAACGTGACGCAATATTCACGCAAATTCATTCAGATTTTACCTGATGCGATAAATCCTTTTGCCAAGGCTTGAGCCATTTTACCAGATCCTAGAAATCCTATTTTCAACATTTTTGTTTGATCGGGAAATATTATCAGTCCGTTTATAGATCACGAAAAAAAATCAACACTCAATGTTAATAAAAGTGTTTGACTGAGGGACGGGATGAGCTGCGAGGAGAGGAGCGCTCATTGATTGAGTTGGCGCCATCACCACCTCCACCAATTTTTTCACCCCCTCCACATTCAACAAAGCAAATGCGCATGCGTGAAAGCTGAAAAAGAGTTTTGTTTTGCGCGGTACTTTACCATTGCCAGCTGGAGTCGTGTTTCTGAGCAAAAAAGTAAAGTAAATTTTCGGCGTTAATAATTTTGCATCTAATCGGCAGGGGTACTTTGACTTTCGATTTTCAATCGAGAAAAAATGTCTCAGCGCAGCATTACGTGAGTAAAATTTAATTTAACTAAAAAATGTGCTTAATACACAAATGAGATCTCAAGAAATTTATGTAATGTTTACATGGTTTACATCAGTAGAGGGCAACGTAGAGGGTTATACAGTTCAAGGAATAATTTGATATTTTTAAAATCTATTCGTTAAACATGCTTGACGGTTTATTTTATTTCACAGCTCGTTCTTCACCGTGCAGAAAAAGAAGGCGGAAGAAGAAACCGACAATCCTGAGGAAGACGCAAACAAATCCAAGTGGTGAGAGATGTTTTCTGTCATGCTTCGAGGCCTCTTGTGCTCTCGCAGTACCTCAATAGCGCTTGCTAAGCAAGCTAAAAAATTTACATTGATCAAACCGCAAACGCACTGCTTTTTCTTCAGTGCCAAGTCGCCTGGCCCGAAATCGCCAATCAAAAGCGTTTCTGCTGTTGACGAAGGTTCTCCAATAGGCAAGAAAAAGAAAACCAAGAAGCTTGCGCTGAGTTCTGATGAGAGCGAGGAAGAAAATGTGTCACCAAAGTATGATTATTTAACTTAAATAATGTCAAATATTAATTTTGCATTCTGCACAAGGTCAAGCATGAAAAGAGCTGAAAAATCTGAAAGCAGTCAGTCGGCATCTTCATCTGAAGAGGAGAACGTGAAAGTCTTAAGTAACCTAGATTGATTTTGTCTCTACATTGCAAGGTTAAATTATGGCTATGTGGACAGGTACAGGCAGAAAGAAGAGAATGAAAGGAGCTTCTGCTCTGAAGGAAATAGAAGCCAAGCGAGCTGTGAAAAAGGCTCGTTTAGAAAGTAGCGTTGCCGATGAAAAAATCAAGGAACCTGCCGAAATTAAAGAGACCAATGGAAAGGGCTTGCAGTTGGACAGCGAAGCCTCGGCGGTCAAGGAGGAGAGTGCCATGGAGTTGGGAGAGGGTAACAATTTTGGATTTAATTTTCATCAAGTTGAGAACTGATTATTTACAACTTCAGAGACCAAGGACATCGTCAATGATGAGATCTTGACGGAATGTGTCAAAGACAAGCAGGAGACCACAGAGGCATCTGTAGAGAAAACTAAGGCAGAGACCGGAGATGAAGTTCTTGAAACGAGTGATTTTAGTGATGCGGAAGAGAAGCCAAAGGGTAAGATGAAAAGAGTGTATTTAATTTTAATAGCATCTGCTGATTGTGAGTGATGAAGACGATTATTAATTTTTGGAGATATGATTAGAAGGGAATATCAAATAATTTTCCCTGTTCTTGAGCTATATCAAAAAATGCTTATACCAAGAATATGGCTCAAGTTGACGGATGCACAGCGATATATCGGATTCTCTATATTTAAAATGTTTTCAAATTGTTAGAAGTAGAGAAGATGTCTGCCAAGAAATCTGGTGGCAAGAAAGGAACAACCAAAAATAAAAAAGAGAAAGCGTCAGATAAAAAGAAAAGCACTGCAGCTGAAAGTAAAAAATCACCAGCCGAAGCTGCACCTGCTAAGAAAGCTATAATGAATTTCTTTGGTAAAAATCTAGACAATTTTAAGTCGAGCCAATATAAAGCATATTGTTTGATGATGCAATAGGTTCAAAAAAAGCATCAGCCGATGATAATACAACAGCTTTGGTGAAGCCCTCTGGGTCTTCCAGTACGACTGAGTACAATCCTCTTGCATCAAAGTACCACCCCATCGATGATGCCACCTGGCAAAAAGGGAAACCGTGAGTTTGAATGATTTTTATTTTAAATTAATACTGAACTTTTTATACTTCATAGTGTTCCTTATTTGGCTCTGGCTCGTACCTTAGAAGCAATTGAAAACACAAGTGCTCGGCTAAAAATCACAGAAATCCTCTCAAACTTTTTCCGCTCGGTTATCGTCTTGAGTCCTGACAACCTCATTCAGTGTGTATACCTGTGCTTGAATAAACTTGCCCCTGCCTTTGAAGGCCTCGAATTGGGTCTGGCAGAAAAATCACTGATGAAGGCTGTGTCACAAAGCTCTGGTCGAAGTGACAAGCAAGTGTTGGAGGAACTTGAAAATACTGGCGATCTGGGCATTGTTGCTCAAAATTCATGTGGGCGACAAACGAAGCTGTTCAGGCCTCCAGCACTGACAGTACCAAAAGTTTACAATCAGCTCAAAGAAATTGCCGCAATGAAAGGACGTGACGTGAGTACAATTTTTTTTTGCCTCTTATCGATGATTTAAAAATTATTTTTACAGTCCATGACTCGAAAGCTGGAGAAAGTTTCTTCCATTTACAATGCATGCCAACCTATTGAGGCGCGCTACTTGCTCCGCTCGCTCAGTGGAAAACTCCGGATTGGTCTGGCTGAGCAGACCGTGCTTCAAGTAAACCAATTGCTACTCAGTATAGCATGTAAAATGAGAATTAAATTAATTACTTAATTTAGGCTTTGGCGCTTGCTTGCGTAACTACTCCACCGGAGCAAAAGGAGTTCCCACCTGCAATTCTAAATGCAGCTCATGGAGTTTCTACTGAAAATTTCAAATCAAAACTTGACGAGCACGCTCTCATCCTCAAAACAACTTATTGGTATGGAATTAAAATTTTTATTGTGTATCATGCAATAAATATATTCTAATAGCGAGTGTCCTGTTTATGACAAAATCATCCCAATCATGCTGGAGCATGGTTTGAAGGAACTGCCAGAAAAATGTCAGATCTCTCCGGGAATCCCTTTGCGACCTATGCTTGCTCAGCCGACCAAGGGAGTGGCAGATGTTTTGGCTCGTTTTGACGGTCGAAAGTTCACATGTGAATGGAAATATGACGGTGAAAGAGCACAGGTGTGTTGATTTCATTGGGTGCTTGGATTTGCATTGATTTGGAATTTGTGTTAGGTTCATATCAGTGACAAAGGAAAAACTGTAAGAATTTTCAGCCGAAACCAGGAGGATAACACAAGCAAGTTCCCTGACATTGTTTCCCGTCTTGGCTCCCAAGTGTCTTCACACGTTGAAGATTGTATTTTAGACTGCGAGGCAGTTGCTTGGGACAGAGAATCAAAGAAAATTCTCCCATTCCAAGTTTTGTCGACACGTAAAAAGAAGGCAAGTGTTACTAAATAACAAATTGATTGATATGACAGTCATTTTCTTGTTGCAGGATGCCAATGAATCAGAAATCAAGATCCAGGTCTGCTTGTTTGTGTTTGATTTATTGTATGTCAATGGCGAAGCTTTGGTGCGAGTTCCCCTCCACGAAAGAAGAGGCAAACTGAAAGAGGCATGGATTAATTTACTGTAGTTTTGATCACAGTTAATAATAATTATATATAAAAAAAGGTTGTTCAAGAGGTGCCAGGACAACTTCAGTTTGCCGAAAGCCTTGACACTGACTCCCTTGAAGAAGTACAGGCGTACTTGGAGCTGTCTATTAAAGGTACCTCAAACCTTCCCAGCCTAGTTATTACTCTAAATTTATTATCCACCTAAGGAAATTGTGAGGGCCTCATGGTAAAAACTCTCGAGGAGGAAGCTACCTACGAAATTGCCAAGCGTTCTCGCAACTGGCTGAAACTGAAAAAAGATTATTTGGATGGCGTTGGAGACACGCTTGACCTGGTGGTACTCGGAGGCTATCTGGGAAGAGGAAAAAGAACTGGTGTTTATGGAGGTTTCCTTCTTGGCTGCTACGATCCTGAAGCAGAAGAATACCAATCAATTTGCAAGGTAACTTGAAGTTTTGTAATAAAATATATAAAATTTATCATTATTTCTTAGATCGGCACTGGATTCACTGATGAAAGCTTGCAGACGCATTCTGAATTCTTCAAGAATCATATTTTGTCTGGTGGGGCAAGACCTTACTATCGATATGATCCGTCCTTGGAACCTGACCAATGGTTTGATGCTGTTCAGGTCTGGGAAGTTAAATGCGCAGATCTCTCGTTGTCGCCCATTCACAAAGCAGCTATCGGGATTGTGAGTTTAACAACGGATATTGTTTTCAGTGTTGCAAAATAAATTTTATTTAAAGGTGGATCCAGAGAAAGGAATATCTTTGCGCTTCCCTCGATTTTTACGCATCCGGGACGACAAGAAAGTCGAAGAAGCTACTTCTGCTTCACAGGTACTTTTATTATGAACGTACTGTGACAAGCTATGCAAAAGTGTTTTATTATTTCATGGAGGTTCTTAATATTAACCCTAAACTCTTGTTTATAAGTTTTAAATTTAATAATTTTTACTCTAATGAAGAAAATAATATTTTTTGCATATTGTGAAGAAAACCGTTTTTTTTTACCTAGATTTAATGTGGACAAATAAACAACAATAATAATAATTTAACTTTTTTACTCTAATTGAATGAGAGAAATTAATATTAACAACGATATATGTTTTGTTTCAGGTGGCAGAATTTTACCAAAATCAGGAGCAGGTGAAAAATCAATCTGACGGCAGCAAGACCATGAACGAAGAGGACTTCTACTGAACAATGAATGGAGCAGAAGTGTAAGCTGAAACGTTCAAAATATTTTTTATTGCTATCTTCGCAATTATTAAAATTAAAGATTACTCATTACAATGATAAGATATGACAATTTATTATACAGCAAACCAAATCGCTTAACATAAATTTGATTCAAGATAAGACGTTAATTAAATCAATCTAATAGAGCATCATTTGATATACTGAAAAATACATTTTATTTGCTTCAACTGTTAAAATGAGTCTATAGAGTGAGCAGTCTAGTGTTAATTTTTTTTTAACGGTCATCATTCTTATTGTGACCCTTGAGCAAAGTACAATACAGTCTGCCTCTGAAGCAGAGGCCAATGCTCCGTTTTATTTTGATAGCGTGCCGACCGTGAGGGCGCACAATAGAATTGCGTGGACCCACTGCCTAATGTACACCTGACCATGAGGAGGAGCGATATTTCTTTTGAAAAAATTCTAACAAAAAGACGGAATTTTGTCACAAATCTCACGATACCTTTAAAGAAAATCAGTTAGTTGAGAGCGCGCCTGAATGAAGGGAGCACCTGTCAGCATGAATTTGTCAATTTACGTGCTGCTGTATTTTGCATTTGCCCTGAACGCATATTTAGTGCACTCGCGAGCCACTGAAAAGGTGCTTTACGTTTATCCACAAAATGATACTAGTGCTCCGCAAACACCAACCAGTGCTCCGCAAAAACCAACTAGTGCTCCGAAAAAGGCCACACTTGTCAGAAAAGCAGTGAAAAGGGATGACCACGACGTGCCAGTGGCCACACTCGACTTGGAAAACTCGAGTGACTATTTGGAAAGCTTCACCTACGACGAAGTCACTGCAAATTTGGTCAGCGACCATTATAACGTGCACAACGACGAAGCCACTGAGAGTTCGGTCGACAACCTCTATAGCCTGGACAACCACACCAAGCAGTTTGTGGGTGACCTTGAGTTCTCACCAGAAATCCACGTCCACTTCAGACAGAATGACGACGACGACGATGATGATGATGACGACGACGATGAGGACGACAACAATTGCAACGACTGCGGAGATGATGATTGTGATAATTGCAATGATAATTGTGATGATTGCAATGATAATTGTGATAATTGCGATGACAACTGTGACAATTGTGACGATGAAGTTGTTGACATTGTTCAAGTAGACGATGGAAATGCCCAAGACAGAGCGCCAGCTTTTTTCCAGCTTCGCCGGATATTGCGGTTTATCGGCAGAATTATATATTTTAAAATTTTCATAAAAATGGCTATTCTGTCGTACGCGATGCTCTTTTTGCCAAGGATGAACTTGTACAGCATATTCCAAGCGATTGGCGGCTACGAAGTGGATGCTGAGCAGGAGGAAGACTACGATGATATGCTAAATGCAGATGATGGGGATGATGACGACGATGATGGTGGTGATACCAACATTGACTTCAGCCCAGATCTTGACTTTGATAATGATTTGGATCTGGACATAAACACTAATAACGGAGATGATGACGATGACGACGACGATGATAATGACGACGATGGTCGAGTGCTTGTCAGGAGAAGAAGGGTGCGAAATAGGAGTAGGACGAGGGTGCGCAATAGGATTAGGCGAGTGCGTCGTCGAAGACGCAGAGGCAACGGACGGAGAAGGAACGGGTTGAGGCGCACCGGAGGCCAGAACAGAAGAAAATTCACCGTCAAGAAAGCGAAGAAGAGGGCAAGGATAAATGCTGGAAAATATGGAAAAGTGACTCCAAGATAATGTTGCAAAATGTGGAATATTCGAGTATTTAAAAAAGGCGTGCAATATAAAAATATTAAATTGATGCTTCGTAATTGTAAAATAATATCTTTCAAAATCATTTGCATACACTTTGTTTTTTACCGCAAAAGTATTATAATCATGAATATTAGCAATATTTTTTATCTTATAAACTATGTGCATTAAACAATTGATCGCAATCATCAAAGGGCACAGATCAGTGAGCACAAGGCCATAACATTGCTAGCAATGCGTAATTTAAAGCTTTCAATGAATGATTGAGATAATTATGTGGCGCGAGATGCATGTGTGTAGCTGCAGAGTGCACGGCGGCGCTCGTGGAACGGAAAAATTAAATGCGTTGAATGATTTAATCGTAATAATGGTTGCGCTGGATCACAGTCCTTGTATCTTTATTAAAGTAGTCTGACGAAAAATCATTCATGGTGTATTAATTGGATCAATAAAGTTCCTTTCTAGATCATTTTACTAAAAATAAATGCTTTTAAATATTTCACCTTTTTTATAACCGTCTTCTTCAAATTATGTCCTATCAATTTTTTTTCTTTAAATTTAATCAAATAAGAGCATTTGAGGCTTAGGTCAGAGCCCAAATTCGCCGCTCGTGCGTTTTGTTCCGCTTATATGAAGTCAATAAGGGTGGTGAGAGAACAACATCCAACTTTTATTTAGAGTGACGTCATAATAGTAATACCGGATCATAGCGGCATATTGAGCCACGGCTTTCTTGGGTAGACCTTAGTTGACTGTTGTTGATTTAGCTGGTTCATACGGCGCGTGTGTGTCTTCAATGGTCGGACTACTTTGCTCGTTGGTAGGACACGTACCAGTGGTGAGCAGGATCGCAGGGCAAGGGTCCGATCCACACTTCCATCTATCACGTGGCCTCGTCGTGCCGCTTTAAATGATCCAAATGACACTGGTCGCGATGGCAGTTCAATTTGACAACAGTCCAGAGTGGTTGCTTCAGCCGCTGCGACCAACACTTCAGAGCCATGCTTCCTTACTGCAGGTTGCCTGTGGCTGCCCTTCGGCGGGACCTGCTGAAGCAGCAATTCCTCCTCAACACCGGCAGGACAGCCGCCGCACTGCGGTACAGGAACATCTCCAGCTGGGTGAGAAAAATTTAAATTATACTATTTTTTTAGTTAAAATGTTTACTTTTTCTCTTCAATAATTCAAAATTTTGATATCTTGTATGCATTACGAAAATTATAAAATTAATTTCTTTAACTACCTGTTGCTGCGTTTATATAAATTGAATGCTTTATTAAAAAAAAACATTTTTTTTTAGTCAGTTTTCATTTTTAAATTTTTTCAGAATCAACACATTAGCTAAATGATTAAAATATTTCATTCCAAATAAATAATTTGCTTCCGTCAGTTCTCATGTTTTATGCTACCAAATTTTAACCGGCCAGGAACAAGTAGGCACTGGTTTTAACAGGTTTTATCCACCAATAATTCACATTAATTTGAAAATCTAACATTGCGACAGAAGTCTTTAACCCTGGATTTTTTAAACAATAAAAAAACTTGTTTTACTGAATATTTTGCAAATCCACGCGTTCCTCAAAAACAACATTTTCTGGTATAATAAAATGTCATGATCAAAATATTACTTAGCTCATAAATATTTCTCAGCACCTATTAGCGACTCACTCGCGCACGCGTCCGCATGTTCACAGCCTATAAAAAAGAAGCCCATTTCTATAAAAGGCTCTTATGTCTTGCAATGAATTTGTTTGTGCTTTTTTAATTAGTGCATACATGTCATGTTGTGTCAATTAGAGGATTTTAGTAAACAAATAACAAAAAATCTCGCGTTAAGCCGAAGGGAAAAATAAAAAAAGTCAGGTGATTTTTTGAGTAAACATCTTGGTACATCACGCGAGACGTGCTTTGGTATAGCGTGATATTTTCATTGCTTCGTTTTTGTCAGGTCATTGAGCTTAAATTTTTTAAGATTCAACGGCAAACGTCAATTTGTGGAAAATTAATATAAATTTTAAAATAAATTCAATAGTAAAGCTATTAAATTAAAAAATTTGAGATCGTATTGCCAATTATTGGTGAAATTTAAGTCATTTATTTATCTAGCAAAATATTAAAAAGTAGGAGTACAAAGAGTTTGAACTTCTCAAATCTTCAAACAAAATTTGTTCGTGCGGTTCAACGTCGTGAATGGCAATAAATGTTTTTGCCGCGCACAAACTTGGCTCCAACCTCTCGTTAAGAAACTCGTTCCACTGAATCATTTTGGCGTTTAATCTCCAATGGGCTCCAATTCCCGTGATCAAAACGTCTTCCATCGAAAGCCATTGCTCTTTCAGCATAATTTTATGCAAATCGCGTATCATTTCTCCGCATAGGAGATAAGCTGGCCCAATCAGGAAAAACATCCGCGCCGAATTGCTCCACCGGCACGTAGTATTTGTGGGAAATTGAACGAATTGGTTGCACGTTTCTTTCTTTGCGACCTGCAACAAACGGTCCTGTTTTAAGGTCTACACGCTCCAGTCTATCCAAAAGCAGTGGGATATTGATATAAACGTCTTCATCGCACTTCAACAAAAATTTTGGATTGCAGTTTTTTTACACCTAAAATCATAAGTAGTAACTTTTAATGATATTTATTTTTTAATTTAAATTTTTACCCAATCAAGCATTGCCACACTTTTAATCGTCAAATTTTTGTAAGAGTCGACGAAATTAGCGATAATTAGGTCTTCCTCCTTGATGTCTAGTTTGTGGTTGTCCAAGCTTTTGCCTCCAATCAAAAAAATAACTCGCACCTGGGGGTGTATTTTGTGCGTCAGTGAGGCCCACGAAGCCCTGATTGCCTGTCTTTTTATTTTGCTTTGAGGTGCAGAAAAAACTACAATTAACAGCTCAATATTGGAGGCGCAAGGTCGAGCAAGCGGGGGTAAAAACCCTCCGTCGTAAAGACTTTCAATTAGGGCACTGCTTGGTGTGTGCTGGCTAATGTTGAAAGGAGGTAATCGATTAGGCCATTTAGCACCATCTTCAACTTGGTCTGTCAGTCCTGCTGAGAATAGAAATCACGTGCAAGTGTTGAGCGACTGGCAAGTCGACATATTTTTCAGCTCCCTTGCACAAAAAAATATTATCTTACCTGACCTTTGGCGTCTAGAAAAAACATTTTGCAAACAAAACATCGAAAGTGCGCAGCATAAAATTAAAAAAATAAGCGGACGCCTACGTCGCTGAGTAAATTGCATGTTAATAGCAGGTTAATAGATGATAATACTGTAAAAATTTGTATCAAGCATTCGTTTTTTTTTTTAAGTGTTTAAAGGGGTATATCTTATCTTTTGAGTAGCCGCAAAACAGAAGTATCTGGATGGTAACCGCAGCGCACAGTCGCACACTATAATTTGATTGGTAATCAAATTAAATTGATAAATATTTAATTTTTTCTATCGTCTATTGTGATATTGGTTTTTAATTGCACCATCCTCTTGCTTTTATTATTGGAAATTAACAAAAATTGATGTTTATTAGCCGATCATGAATGTATAATACTTTAGGCAGGATACATCGCTAGAGATTTTATGTTTGATGCGGTGATTCATGCAGAGATTGTAGTCATTGATTTGCACTACAAATCCTCAATTATTTACTACAGCTATCGATTTGTGTACTATGCTGTGTTCATCAGCGTGTACACTTTCTCCTATAGCTTTAAAAATCGTTCCTCAAAGGCCAACAAATAATATTTCTTGCTAAGATCAGGGAGAAATTTTAATTTAATTTACCATTTGCCACAGATGTTATTTTTATTGCTCACTCTTTTCTCATCGGAAATATTTTTTTGTTACTCTGAGAGAAATGAGATAATTTTAAACGGCACTTGAAGGTAGAAGATACTTTATTATTATAAAACACTTAATTTAAAATAAAATGTAAAAAATTTAGCCATTGTTTGTAACAAGAACAAATGTGGTTCTTGCAAGTGCAGCCTCCATTAATGTTGAACATAAACAAAAATAAAGAAATTAAATTATTAATATGACAACATGATTTTCTTAGATCTCAAAATCTTGCACTTATTTACTTTTAGGATTTAAGGAAAGTGCTCTAAATTTTCCTCTTTTTTTAACATAATTGTAATTTAGTCTCTCCTTTATTCTCAATTCCTAAACTCCTGCGAAAATTTATAAAAAAATTTGATGAAGAATTCCGAATTAATTTTGTAATATTATAATCATATTACTGGAAGATTAAAATGAGTGCATAAACTTGCCAAATACAAATAATAAACTTTTGAAACACAATTTTACACCCACGTTGTGCCAATTTTTTGCAATTTATGTATTTCAGTATTTTGATTTCATTAATTTAATGTTATAAATATTCTATTTATAGCTAACTTTTGCTTTTCTTCATTCACTTTGTTCTAGAGTGATTCTGAAACTCACACTCCGAGTCATCATGAAATTCGAAGATCTTTGGCCCATGCCGTTGAGCGCAGGAGACGAGGCACTGGTTTTGCCGACCGGAGTCAATTGAAGCAAGCAAGGAGAATCGTCGTGAAACTCGGTAGTGCTGTCATAACCAGAGAAGACGAGTGCGGCCTCGCGCTTGGCAGACTTGCCTCTATTGTAGAACAGGCCAGTCAAAAAAAAAAAAATTAGTATAAAAAAAACACGAAAAAATTATTGTAATGCAGGTCGCAGAGTGTCAAATAGAAGGTCGCGAATGCCTAATGGTGACCAGTGGTGCTGTTGCTTTTGGAAAGCAAAAACTCACCCAAGAGCTGCTCATGTCCCTCAGCATGAGAGAGACTTTATCGCCCAAGGACCACACCAGAGACGTGAGCAAATACTTTCGACACGTGGGGGTAAAATTCTGAAATCAAATTGGTTGGTGGTGGTGCGACAGAAAGTTACATCAAAATTAAAACAAAATTGAATAAAAACAAAATTTAATTGCTGACAATCTGTTAAGTCAAGTATTAGTATAAATATTATAATTTCCTATTAGTTTCGAAAAGAAAATTGTAAGACCTTTTTTATCTGTTTTCTGCAAGGAGGCCGACACATTGGTGGAACCACGTGCTGCAGCTGCTGTTGGTCAGTCCGGACTCATGTCACTGTACGATGCAATGTTTGCTCAGTATGGTGTCAAATTGGCCCAAATTTTGGTTACGACCTCTGATTTCCGCAACGAAGAAACGCGCCGAAACTTATTCAGCACACTTTCCGAGCTCATCAGTCTTAATATAGTGCCGATTATAAATACTAATGATGCAGTAACGCCTCCGCCAAAAGACGACGAGGATCCTCACGCTAGCAAACGTGTGAGGATGCCGCTGTAGATTTTATTATTAACTTTTTTTCTCGGTGATTCAGAAAAAAACTCATTGGCTTTTTAATTCAACCAGCAGGTGATTCGTATAAAAGACAATGACAGCTTAGCTGCAAGACTGGCTGCAGAAGTGCAGGCCGACTTGTTGATTCTGATGTCAGACGTCGACGGCATTTACACGTGCCCTCCAAGTCAAGAAGGGGCAAGACTCATCAGGACTTACACTCCTGACATGTCCGGCCACATCGAGTTTGGGGGCATAAAATCTAAAGTCGGAACTGGAGGAATGGACTCAAAGGTGTTTGTTCTTACTGTTGATTTATTTTCACCAACTGAGATAATAATATTTACTATTGTTCAAAGGTCGAAGCTGCAACTTGGGCTCTTGATCACGGAGTCTCGGTTGTGATTTGCAACGGAATGGAGGACAATGCAATCAAAACTATTTTAGATGGCAGAAAAATTGGCACATTCTTCACAGAGGAAAAGAGCCACCATCTTCCAGTCGAACATCTTGCTGAGAATGGTAAGAGTTTTAAATAATATTTTTTTTTTTTTTAAATCTGCAATAAAATTCAAAATTATAAAAAGCATAAACAAATTTTGCAGCCAGAATTGGTGGTCGTCAGTTGTTAGCTTTGACACCCGACGAGCGTGCTGGAGTAATCAAAACATTAGCTGATCTCCTTATCTCAAAGCAGAAAGTTGTTCTGGAAGCAAACTCGGCAGACATTTCCGAAGCCCACAGAAGAGGCACCGCCAAACCTTTGGTTGACAGACTTTCGCTGACACCATCAAAACTAAAAAATCTCAGCACAGGTAAAAAGCATATAAATATTGAAATTAAAAATTATATACATTTTTTTTATTTATAGGTTTGTATCAAATTGCTGATGCGAGCCATACCAATGTCGGAAGAATCCTTAAAAAAACTAAAATTGCTGATAATCTGGAGTTGAGACAGGTAATTTTAAACACAATTTTACTGTTTAGATTTAGAAGAATTTTTTAATTTTTACAAGCCGTTTTCCGTACACGTTAAAAATAATTGACACGAGGCACCATATTCCGCTAAATTTTGTATGCACCTGCTATTTCTTGCATATACATACTACCCGCTCAGCCGTAGTGTCGAGCAGGTTGCATACATATTTATTTTGCAGGCGCTCAATTCCTTAAAACTGTATGTATAATATGTATTCCTACTTGTTAACAGATTTCCGTTCCAATTGGTGTGTTGCTGGTCATATTTGAATCTCGACCAGACTGTCTTCCTCAAGTAAGTGGACAATATTTTATTATATATATAGTACAGGGAGATAATATTAAAAAAAAATATATTTTAAATTCTCATTAGGTGGCCGCACTTGCAATGAGCTCGGCAAATGGACTACTGCTGAAAGGTGGAAAAGAAGCGTCCCACTCCAACAAGGCTTTGATGAATTTGGTCAGCGAAGCTCTCGACTCCGTGGGCGCTTCTAAAGCTGTCAGCTTGGTAAACTTTTCTAAGAAAATTAGCTCTTCACATATCTAAATAAACAGTTTAATTTTGGAGATTTCAACACGCGACGAGATTAGTGAGCTGCTTGCAATGGAGAAACACATCGATCTGATTATTCCTAGGGGTTCCAATGAACTGGTCAGATCTATTCAAGAGCAGAGCCAAAATATTCCAGTTCTTGGACACGCTGAAGGTGTTTGCCATGTTTATGTGGACAAGCATGCAGACCTTGCGAAAGCTTTGAAAATTGGTATTTTTATTTTCCATCCCAGAAGACTTAAATTGATAAATTGTGTATTTAGTACGTGACTCTAAGTGTGACTACCCTGCTGCGTGCAATGCAATGGAAACTTTGCTTCTCCACGAAGATCTGGTTAAAAATAGTTCATTCTTCTTAGACATTTGCAATATGCTCCGCCGAGAGGGCGTAAGATTTTTTATTTTAATTTGCCAAGCACATCTTTATTATTATTTCTTTGGCTAGGTGACGGTGCATGCAGGCCCGACTCTATCGAAAATGTTAACTTTTGGGCCATCACCAGCAAAGTCCATGAAGATAGAGTATGGTTCTTTAGAGTGTTCCATTGAATGTGTCACAGACGCCGAGGCAGCTGTGGAACATATACTGCAGTATGGCAGTGGGCACACGGACGTAATTGTGACCGAGGATGGTAAAACAACAAATTATTTATGTTTTTTAATCATAGAATAATTGTGTTTAAATAGAGACAACGGCTAAGACTTTTATGAACAAAGTTGACAGTGCGTGCGTTTTCCACAATGCCAGCTCGCGTTTTGCTGATGGCTACAGATTTGGTCTTGGTAAAAAGAGATTTATAATATTATGTTCGATTCTTACAAATTATTTATCACCCTTATAGGAGCCGAGGTTGGCATCAGCACGGCAAGAATCCATGCACGTGGCCCAGTGGGTGTTGAGGGACTAATGACGACCAAATGGGAATTAGTGGGCAATGGACATGTCGTGTCAGATTTTGTTGAAGGAGGGCCATGCCAGTATATTCACCAAAATATTCCCGTTTGAATTTATATAACGTACTGATCCATTCATTGTAAACATTAACTTAAGCTACTAATTTTAAAATTAAATTAATTGAAATACAATATTTCCGTATTTTTCATTGGGGGCTTTATTGTTATCAAAGTGCTAATCAATTAAATATATTTAAAACTGCAGAACTAAAATTCGAAGCAAGGCCAATAAAATTAATACTTGCAAATGAGTACTTTTGAGGAAAATATAATCTTAATAATGGATTAACTATTGAAATGAGAAAGAGAAAAGTGAATCACATTTACAACCCTTTGAAGAGCTCTCTTATATCTGCTACCCGTGACTTAATCTCAGGTTGGCTGTCTCGACTGGCCTCGTCCAAATTCTTCTTTAAGTTCCTTTCCAGGTTGTAAATCTGGTCTTTCCGATCATCATCTTAAATAAAAACAGATTAAAGAAACCATTCTATTTCGAATAGACTCTACGTACCTTTAAGTCTCTTTGCCAAAAGGAACAAAACTCCTAGAGCTTCTTTTCTCAATTTCGGATGTTTTGAAACACCTATGAAGAAAATTGAACTTTGTGTTTATGAGATATTTTTTGTGTGTGCTTACTTAAGGCGCAAGATAGAGCTTTAGTCAGCTGTCCTAAAATAGTCTCCAATTCGTCAGGCACTTCCTCGTCCATTGGCACGGGCGGCAAATGTAAACGTTCGACATACTGCTTCAGCGCTGCGATGATAGAAACTTGCAGTGACCGAGGGCTTGGCGGAAGTTGCTCCACACATTCTTGCAAAACCTGCAAGCGGTACTTTGCTTGTGTTTCAAGTGTTGGGGGCCAAGCCTTTCCGAGACATTCATAGCAGGACTCTTTTAAACGGATACGTAGTTCTCCACTCTTGTTACCTGGCTCCTCTTCTTCACTCTCGGAGCTGTCTTTCTCAGTCAGTCCCTTATTTGTTAAAATAATTTAAGGAAAATGAGAGGCATTTAATTTAAATGCTACCTTTTTTAAGATTGGAGTGACCATTGTGTACACTTCTTCAAAGTAATCCACTTCCAAGGCCTGCAAAGTATCACCTAGAGCTACTAGTGCATGGCATCTATACTGGGGAGCCTCTTTATGCGCCTCCCTGCACATAGCCTTTAGAATTACGCCGCCTTGATTGTCTGCTGCGCCTTGACTCAACTCTTCTTTCAAAGCAGTGCTGATAGAAAATTCTATGTGAAATAATCATTTATCTATTAATTTGATCAAATTCTACCTGCAACTCTTTGTAAAACTAGCAGTGGCAGTTAGAATAGCTTCTTTGCCTGCAAAAGTTCTTCCTGATAGGGCTGTAAGTAGCATGTCACCTAGCTCCCTTCTAGTGGCAGCCGGCAAATCGTCTTTTAATTTGGCCGCTACCAAACATATTGCTTCGGCAGCTTGTGCTTTTAAACCCCAGCTGCGTGATTCAATGGCCTCTTTCAGCATCAGAGTGACGGCAGGCAAATGGGCCTTGAGGCCTGCTTCAGTCCAGGTGACCGACTCTGTCCAAACCTCGGTCCACACTTCTCGAAGATTATTATCAGGACTAGAGGCAGTGTGCATTCCTAGGAAAGCTAGTGGAATAATTTGACTGCGGATGTGATCCTTCAGGGCATCAGAGTAGTTTTGGCCCAAAGTTAGCAGTACAAGGGCAATAGCACCGCTAGTTGCTTCGTCTAAAAATTAAGGATAAAATTGACATTAAAAATTAAATTATTTCACAAAAGGGTACCTTGTTTGTCAAAGTACAATTTCTGCAACTTGGCAAGGACTTTTTGAGCTATGCCTTGCTCAGAGATGTGCAGCAAGTGTCCTAATGTCTGGGCGTAAGTTGTCCGAACGGCTGCATTACGGTCCTCTAAGCCTTTTACCATAGCCCAAATTAGCTTGCCCACATGAGGACCTAATTCTGCACCAAGTTGGCGTAAAACCAAGTCCACAAAATGTGCAACGCCAACCCGTGTGCCCAGAGGCACTTGAGTTCCACAAAGGTCTACTAAGTCGGGCACACAACCAGCAAAAATAGTAACATCCACATAGTGCAAAAGCTAAAATTTTAACTTAGTTATGTTATGAAATCAATTACAAAATATTTACCCGGGTGATCGTCTGCATTGCTGGATGACCTCTCACGGCATGTGCCCTAGCATGATCCAGAATTTCTTGAGCCCGCTGAGCACTGGTATTACCACCAGAAAGTTGTAGGCTGAGGGTGTTCAGAGAAGCTGGGTCTGCTTCTCCAACAGCTTGCAAAAGAGCCACCAAGATAACTCGCAAATGTTGAACAAGCAGTTCACCGGCAGTTTTGACCAAATCGCTTACTGTTGACAAACTAGAAAACAATTGAGCTACTGTTTTATATTCAAAAAAATTTACACACCTCACGGCTCTAACTTCCGAGATGTTACTGTGCAGGCCTTTTAGAATCGAGCCTAGCGCTTCTATTATCAAATTTTTAGCTGGCCCCTGATCACAAATCTTAACGATAGACTGAAAATGAATGGAATTATTTTTTACACCTCCCTATTTGGCGTATAAACCTACCTTAGACAAAGTAAGAGCAGCGTGACTTGCTGCTTGCCGAGTGCCTTCATGCACATCATCCATTACCAGTATCAAAGTATCCCACAAACGAGACACTTGCTTTTCAAAAGGAAGCAAATTTCTGCTGCGCAAAAGGTCGGAAACGGCATTGCAGCATGATAGGCGCACTCTCCACTGTCCAAATGTTAAGTGAGTCAGCAAGTCTTCCATGATCTCACACTCAAAGCGGTCGACAGTTTCCTTTTGCTCTTTCACCAAAGCTTGCCAGATAGACGCCATTGATGCCTGGATTCGTGGATTTGGATCAAAGCGGTAACGATAGAGTCTCGGAACCAGCTTTGGCAAGTACGGCTCTAACTGCTCCCCAGCTTTTGCCATGATACTTGAAAATCCAAAGGCAGCTCCCTGAAAATATGCATTAATCTTTTAAATGTAAAAATTACAAGGCTAACTCACAAGCTTTGAATTCCAAGCATTATTATGGTTGGCCAGATGCATGAATTTATAAATCAAATCTGGCTGGTTAAGCTCTGATGCCAACGAACACAGCTCCTTGTAAGTTGACAAATTGCCACTATTTAAGATTTATTATTAGTTATCATCTCCAACTATACAGATTGGGACTATACCCTGTTGGGGTTTGTCCTAACTGTCCTTCGGCAAATAGTTTGGTATCACCAGTGACCTTCTGCACAGCTTTTTTCCCAGAGGAGAGCTGATCAAGTAAGTTCTGCACAAGCTCTTTTTGCTCTTCGTCGCTGCTTGCCTCGTAAACAAACCCGAGACCTTTTGACGCAAGATCCTGAACCAAATCTGCAATTAACAATGATGAGCATAAACAAATTAAAATGATAATCTATATTTACCGTTGTTGTCTGAAAGTAAGTCCATAAATGCTCCTTGGATTATGGCTCTCCTGCATGCTACTGGTTTCAAACTATGGCAATTTTTAACAATGGCCAACAACCAAATGCATGAAGCCTGTCTTGACGCTGGGTGTAAATCTGGTACCATTTTGTCCAATAATTGTTCCAAGAGCCATTCCACATGAGTAAGATCCGTCTCGGGAGACACACTGAAATCTTCCTCAGAGACAGTCCACAAATCCCTTGAGTTGGGTCCACCAGGACCAAGTGCACATGTGACAAGGGTGTCACTCACCATCAGATGGGCATCAACTTCCCGGCTCTCTTTTGCTGTATCGAGTAAATTTTGAATAATTACTCGTCTGTGTGGAAAGTCTTCTCCAACGCAAAGAAGACCAACAGCTTGGGCAGCCTCTTCTTTCACTTTGATGGGCAACTTTACATTTCTTATGATGCCTAACAGTTTGTTAGCTACGTCAAGTTTGCTCGGATCTTCATTACTACCATCTGCCAAAAGAGGCAAGCTGGTGCGACGACAGATTTCGCCAATTGCATAGCAAGCAGAGGCCACGATCATTTGCTGATTATCGTCAATCAATCCAACTGGAAAATATACCGATTATAGGGACATAGAAAAAGGGGACAAAAATAATTTTTAGTAAAAAATATTATACTAGTTTGTAACTCAAGTCAAATATTAATTACCTATTGAAATAATGGCTTTTCTAAAACTTGGCCACAGGGTTAACTGTTTCTTCTGTTGGCAGAGGAAAAGCCTTCTTTCTAATCCATAACTCAGCGTCAGCAAGGCTCCGTGTTTTGTTTCAAAGTTCTGTTGTGGACAATTCAAAATAATTATGCTCATTTTAGTAGATAAAACTAGCAAATTTCCTTGTCTGCAAGTGATTTAGTTAGGTCAGCCAAGGTCTTGTCGAATTTTGATTCCTCCTCAGTGTACGCCAACAGCATTCCAAAAAGTTGTGATCCCATCTCTCTTAGGCCTCGCTTAGTAGAAACAGATAGTCCATTCACCATTTTAAAGTTGTCTTTGAGAGCAGGAGCAAGCTGCACTGGTGCACAGCCTAAGAGCTCTACCATGAAACACAATGGGTTGACAACTGGAAAGAAATTGCAGAAAAAAATCAGTAAGAAATTATCTTGACATAAATGAGTCTGACCAGGTGAAACTGAAAGCAAATGTTGCAGAAATTTGAAGTAGTCTCTCAGGGGTGAAGCAGTATTTTCTGATGACAAAAGTTGACGAATGTAATTGCCCAGGATTGGAGTAGCAGCCAATGGTTGAGGCCGGGCAGTGTGGGCTGCTATCGAAGCTTTTGCCTCAGAAGCCAAACACAGCCTTGTGAAAGTGAGAATCTATAATCATAACGTTTGATTAAAAATTATCTGTATATTAGAGCAAACTAAGAATTACAGTACCTGGGTAAACACGTCAGGGGTGAATGGCAGTGCAGCTGCACCTATCGCAGAAGATGAGATGTCGTCAGCTTTGCCTTCAATTTTGAGTTTAATCTAAGACATTGTTTAAAATTCTTAGTAAATTTTACATTCAATTTTGTAAATAATTAGATTAACCTGAGCAACCATGTCTGCAAACAGAGGCATGTCTGGTCTACCCTCGTCTGACTCGCCTTTATCAAAACCATACAACGCCTTTTGAGCCTCATTTGCTACTTCGTCTTTCCTGTTTTAGTTTTTTTTTTTTTTTTATAAATTTTTACAGATTTTTTTATAATATCTTTCAATAGCTTACAAGTCTGTGGTTGCTAAGAGGAGCAGTAGACGGGAAGCTGCGTCAGTTGACGGAAAAGCTGTCACTATGTACCGTACAGTGACAAACCGGACCATAGCTTCAGGCGACTCAACAGACTTTGCCAGCATTGCAGCCAACATGGTCTGCTTAGCTGGTTCCAAATTTTCAAATGCCGTTGCGAAACTAAGCAAAGCCTCCCTTACAGCCTCTTTGACTTCCACGTCCTCGTGAGCAAGAGCCTCAAAAAAAGTCTGAACCAGAGCCAGGTCCTTATTAACTAAAGAAGGCATTTTCTGTCCTAATCGTCCAACTGTGCAATAAGCCTGAATCTTCAGTTTGCTGTCTTGCTACAATTTAAATGAGTTTTATTACAAAATAAACTAGCTAAAATTAAAAGCGTACCTCTTCTGCAATCAGTTTCAGCATACCAGATAACAAAACACCAGCTACAGGGTTGAGTCTTGGAGTGGCAGCCCAATGGATAATTATTGTTGTAAATTGCAGCGCCATACACTTAAGCCGGGGATTGGTGTTTTGGCCGTAAAGGCAATCGAAGACAACTTGGATGCAAGCCGGAAATTGAAGCGCTGGTCCCCTTGATCGGCACAGCAATGGCAGCAGTTTCAGTCGAATCCTGGTATTTGCAGGACACCTCTTCAATTCTTGCTTTATCTATTGAGTCACCCAATAATGAACAAACTTAATTTTACTAAACAATTTAAATACCTGTTTTGCTGCCATGTTGCCAAGGAAGACAAGAAATAGGGGCTGGGTGAGAGTGGGACTATTCCAATCAAGAGCCCGAGCTATTTTCTTGAGCTCGGAATCGGCAGCTTCAGCCACTGCAAATCTAGTGTCGGCAGCAGCAACGATCAGATGACACAATTTTTCAGAATCAGGAATGTCAGAGCCAGACAGGAATTTTATTATTCCGAGCTTAATTTGCTCCAGCTGCTCAGCCTTAAGCTCTCCTTCACCACAGACTCGGCGGAAACCATACTCGGACATGCCAGCTGGCACTGTGCAAACAGGGCCTTGATTTGCTGGTGGTGGCTGCCCACTCGACGCTGGCGACTGAGCAACTTGCTGCTGTGGACGACTGCCCGATGGCGATTTAGTAGGCCGCGCACTGACAATATTTGTTTTTCAGTAAATTTATTATCTTCTTAAACAAGCATACCCATAGGGAAGCAGCAACATATCAAGAATGAAATCCAACAGCAATTTAGCCAAATTTGGTTTTTCACTCAGTCGAAAATAGTTTGATCCCTCAAACTTGACCTCTCCTATCACAGGCATCAAGAGCAGCAAAAGACTATTTGTAAGAAATAAATAATTTTGGAATTGTCAGTGTGCATTAGCAGATAATCAGTACCTATCCTGGTGACACTGAGGTTTTCCGTCCAATGCATTCAGCAAACACGGAGCAAGCTCTGCCTGTTTTGCTAACGGCATTCGAGGATATCCCAGTTTGATGTAAATAATTGTGAAATTCTAAAGGCAAAAAATTAAATAATAATAATGAAATTGCAATCAAATATATAAAATCTTTTACAGTGACAAAGGTGCTGGCTGCTGGATCTTGGTACTGAAGAAGCAACGCCTCGACTGGCAGTTGCACCAAAGGTCTGCTTTTTATCCTTTTGTTTACATGTACGAGAAGCTCCATCACCTTGATTTATTGAAAATAATTTTTCTAAGAATAATTTTAAATGAAAAAAAATATATATACCTTTTTGCGAACTCCCTCCTGCTGACTGGATAGTTTAAGCAGGACGGGAGGTAAAAATTTTGAAACAACATTTTGAAGCTGGTCGTCAGTTTCAGCCGAACCAATTCTCAGCAACACCCTTTCAAGTAGAGCTGTAATTTAAATTAACATGATAAATATTTCTGGTTATTTTATAGTAACTATGAAACTGAGTTTTATGGATGCAATAATCTTTGTACGAAAACAATTTTTTTAACCTAAGTTAGAAAGCTTTCTAAAAATTATCAATGTCATAAAAATAGTGAAGAAAACCTTAGCGTATGCAAATATTATCATCTATTTCTTATGATTAGGTTTTTTTTCTTCAAATTTCCACAGTACACATACGTTTTTTAAAAATTAAATCGCAGTATAAAAAAGGAAAAATAAGCAGGCCGGTAATTATTCAAAATTGCCTTGTCATCTGCCACAAATCAAAGAGGGTTTTTCAAAATTCAGAAGCATTATTATGGAAGGAGTTTACTGTCAAACTTACTGGCTTTACAGCGATATTACAAAAATAAAGGTTATCGTGCTCCTAAAAACTCTTAACATTAAAATATAATTTACATAGGCTAATTAATTGAAAAAGGGCTGCAAGAATTTATCATCATATACTAACACAGCTCATCGGTTGCTGCCATTTTTCAGGCACACTGGAGTCCAAAAAGGACTCAAAGTACACTTTACAGTTCAATCAACCATGTAGAGATTACAATAGTCGTGGACTTGAACTATACGGAAGATGTTACAAACTGCAGAGTCGAAAATTCGGGCCGAAATTCGGTGTTCCAACCTCACGTGTGTCTGTAAAGTTGAGGTCGGTCTGTCGGTCGGCCGTCGGTCTTCATGCGATGTTGACGATTATCGACACCAGCGCCATTGGTTCAGCGAATGAACACAATAATTAAGCGCTCTTTCTATCAGGAATAAAAAGTGGCTGCAAAATTTATCAAAAATCATAGAAATTTATATATGACACTTTAATGCTGTTTTGCAATATTTTCTAGAAATTCTGGGGGTAAAATATTAAAATTGAAATTCTTGACTATCGAAATAAAACTATAAAATACTTTTTCAAAGATATTATGCATTATTTGATTTTGACGCACTTAGATAATAATTATTAATTAAGGTATGATTATGTTATGTTTCATGTAGAAGATTGTCCTCAGATAGTAATAGCAGTTGAAAATAAACAGGGATATTTTCATCAGAACCACTAAAGAAAAATGCAAATTTTTCTTTTTCAATTAGTTTTGCAAAGCTCTATTTTTATTCTTTGGGCTTATTAAACCAGAAATCAGGCTAATATAAAAATTGTGAGTTTCACAAGAACCCATCAAGCGTATAGCACATTCAGCAATATGGCGTTCTTGTAATGCAAATTAATACAACATATTTCCATTTTGCTTGAGGGAGTTATAATTATGCTGACGGAGAATTTAATTTTTAAATAACTGTCTAAATAAGGTCTTCGAATGAGATGAAAGAAAACCCTTAACTACTTGACTGGTGATCTTGTTTTTCTTCCCGCTCGTATTTCCATCGCCAATATGCAACCTTCATGCGATCCCAGACGTTTTCAAAAGAGTCCATAGCTGGACGTACGTCAAGCAAGGCAAATTGATACGAGTTGCCGTCAACATCTCCACCGTCATAATAATCAATCACGTAGCGCACATCTTTTCCACATCTATCGACTATCCAGTCGTGGCGGTCGAATGGCAGTTCGTAGCTGAAAAGTCAATCTCATAAGTGTTTATTCTTGCAAATTTAATGACATATTTAAATTTGCTAACCCAAGCATTTGCCTTATTCTGGCTCTGGGTGAATAATCCTTGGCTTTTCCACCAAAGCTTTTGAGTCGGGGATCACCGCACTCCTTGGCATGCAAAGCCTCCCACTTGAGCACCTCTCGCCACGCTTGCTCATTGTTGGCGTTGTGAATTCTAATGATGTGACCCATGTCCTGTTGCTTGATGTCTTCCTCCTTCCATCGCCAACCCTTGCGGAGCATAGCATTCCAGAACATCTGTTGCGAAGGGTAGACCCAGAACTCTTTATTTTCACCAATTTTGGGAATCGAAGAGACTTGTCGTTCGGTAGGCAAGGGGAAAGGCTGTCCAGCCGAGGGCTGCTGATTAGGTGGTGGCATCTGAAGAAGGAGGGTTCAAAATGGAATTTTTGTATTTAGTCAGCATTGCATAATAAATACCATGTTTGTTGGATTGATATCATTTCCTCCACCTACCGGACACTCGCTCATCAAGACGGGCTGGAAAAACAAATGTTTTTATGATTTTTTTTCATTCGAAATAAATTAAATCACAACAACATCATAAGAGGAATTAACCATTTTTTAAAATATTTTATTTAGTGGATATGAATACGATTTTAATGTTTTGTTTTACCTCGGTTTTTGGAGCAGAGTCTGCTTTTTTGTGCATTGGGCATTCAGGTGGTGGCTCCATCCCCCCTGCAGAAGACACGTTTGGGTGACCTTTAGGCATTGAACCGGTCACATGGGCGGCCACCGCCTCAGCAGCGGATACCGAATTGCCCATTTCTTCGACTTAAAATTACGTTATGCAGCAACAGAATTACGAAATTGCCTCAGCACAAATAAAAACTTTTAGAACTGCATGGTCCAGAAATCTTCCTGAAACAGCTGAGTATTTATTGATATTTTGAGCAAGTAAGGGGAGAGAGATTAGAGGGGAAGTTGATGATTGGAAGGGGGCTCGTGTGATTGCGGTGCACAATTTTCATCCCCTCTACTTTATAGTAGCACTGCCTCAAATACATTGCCGCTGTCACGAATGGTCACGACTTTGTTGAAAGGGGGAGGTAAAAAAAGCCATAAAAACACAAATCTTGCCGGTCAAATCAATTTTTCGCAATTTTTATTGGAAACTGCAAATTTCCTCAATCAAATTTACATGTTGTCCCATCAGAGCGGCTGGAAGAACTTTTAAAACTAATCACAAATTTTCGTGCGAGCGTAAAAATGGCTGCAACCACGAACGGGAATGGAAACATTGTAGACGAGTTTGAGGAGGCCTTCCAGGTAAAAGGCAGAAAATACTTAAATTCATATTTAATTTCTAATTGCAATGAATATTTTTAAGGCTTGCTTGACCGTTTTAACAAAAGATGACACACAGAAAATGGAGTGGGATGAGCTCAGATCGGAGGTTGAACAAGTAAATGTAAAATTTGTTGACCTTGCAAGACAAATGGAAGCTTTTTTCTTGCAACGAAGATTTTTACTTTCTGCGTTGAAGCCAGAACTTATTGTGAAAGAGGTTTTAATCTTTAAATTTATATAAATTTTTAGCTTAATGTGAAATCTTGTAGGATATCCAAGAATTGAAACTGGAACTGATGAGGAAAGAAGAGTTGCTCCACAGGCATCACGAAAAAATTGGTCAGTGGCAGAATCTTCTGGCAGATTTGCAGAGTTGGCAAAAGTCTCCAGCACACGGCCCAGTACCTCCAGGCCAAATCACCCCTGGACAGCCTGCACCACAACCACAGCCTCCGCCGGGGGTAATGATGCCCAATCAAGTATATTAAAATCTAAGATCATCTTTGAACCGATAATAGTATAAACGGCTAATTTCCAGGTGCCTGTAATGGGCCCGCAAGGACCTCCTAATCCAGTTGTCCTGCAGCAGCAGCAGCAGCAACAACTTCAGCAGCAACACCTTATACAACAACAGCAACAAATGCAGCAAGTAAGAATTAACCAATTTTAAAATTAATTCTTGTGTAATTGAAACCAATCTCTCAGGGACCACCTATGTCTCCAGCTGCGGGTCACCCGGGTCAGCAGCAAATGATGTTCATGCAGGGCCCGCCGAGAGGCCCGATGGGATTCCCCGGACCATCTGGGGCCATGCAGGCTGGTCTGCAGGGACCCCTGGCCTACCTGGAGAAAACCACTTCCAATATAGGCATGCCAGATGCACGAAGGTGACGGGGAAGGGGCAGGGGGCGCGGACGAGGCCGTGGAAGGGGCCGTGGAGCCAACCAGCCGGGCATTGAATACAGCCCGCCACAGTGAGCCCTTCCGTAGCATGCACGCACACATAAAAACAAGGGGTGGGACCTTATAATTTTTTTGTTTAAAAGTAGCCCCATCCCGCACAAACTTGCCTCCAAAGCCTGGGACCATGATATGATATCTTATTTAGGTGATGTTCAGGCTATTTAATTAGTTATACTTAATTATTCAGTGGTTTCATGAGAGTAAAACGATGGTTGCTGTGGATTGTAAGTTCAATATTGGGAAAATGCACTATATTTCAACCTTTATGTTTCATGGGTAAATTTATGAGTTGATCGTTTTTTTTTTTAAGTTATAAGCTCACAAATTCCATTGATATTTGCACCCCTCTGAACCTATTTTACTATCATTTGCAAATTTATTAAAAGACTTACTTTAATTTTTCTTGCAATCCACATATATATGAATTTTTACTACCAATATAAGAGAAGGTAGTGAATTTCAATACAATGCATTTTACCACAAGAATCCGGACAATTAAATTATAAATTTTTATTTCGCTCATACCACCGTTTTTGTGTCCAATTGCTATAGTGTCCTGCTGTGTGTCTAAGCATGTCATTCGCCTTGCGCCTTCTGCCCACAAACTGATGTCGAAATTCCATTTAATATGGATTTCGAATTTGTTAAAGCTGCTTTGTTAATAATTCTCTGCTTCGGAGACCTGCTCAAAATGTTGCAAATGTGTACAGCAGGTGTACGGTTTTTTAGAGGAAATTCCTTTGCAAAATTTGTAAATAACTTCGCAAGATATTATTTCCCATTAGGGCAGGTATATTTTTCAAAATATGAGACCTTTTGTATTTTTGTAAATATTTCCATTGTTGTTGAGTGCTATGAAAATCATCAACCAATGAGTGGAAGATGGAGATCAAATTTTAGAAAGTAATGAAAAAAATGCTTCCGAATATATGTATCAATATGTATATTTATGAATTTCTGTATAAAATTCAAATATAGTACAGTTGTATGAAGAAATCACAATAAAAATAAAATCAAGCAAAATATTCATGATTAATTTTTTTCAAATAATTTAATTAATAGGAAAATATGCATTAATTTTGCGCTATTCTTCCGCTATTATTGCAAACTAATATTTCATCCAATTTAACTCTCTAAACTCCTCTTTGTGCTTTGCATTATTTTTTGTAGAGCGCGGCTCCACAAGTTTGCCAATAGCGAACAATAGGAGAGGAATTTAGTTGAAATAATTGCAGACAGGTGGCAGTGCGAGTCAAGCGCCCGAGGCAATTTTGTGATTGTGAATGTTGGAGTTCAGTCAAGTTGTCCGTTGCCGTGCGTAGCTGCCTTCGTTTATGTTTTCGTATTGTTTTCTGAAATTAATCACCTTTCTTGGGACATTATGATGAAGACTATTTGAGCTTCGGGTACTGCGTGGTGAAGTACGTTGCACCATCTTAATTAGAAATAGCCATTGATGCTTCTAATGGGAGATTTTTTGAAATCGACTTGATCCCTTTCGCACACACGTATTGGGAAGTTCAACGAGTGAAATTTTGATTTTCCGCCACCAAAACCGTATTTTTTTCAATCTCATCCGTTCAAAAGCTTTGTGAGTGGAAACTGGTGAACATTTGCAAAGCTAAAATGCCTCAGTACAGGTTTTTAATCACCATATGACATGAGTTGTTTGACACTTTTTTTCATAGTTTATAAAGTGCAACAAGAAAACACTTTCTTTTTCTAAGGTGTTGATTTGCAATTATGCAATGTTTTCACAAGTGCATTGAAATATATACATGTTAAATCTGTCTTTATAATTTCAATAAATCATGTTTTGCAATCAGTTTGATGAAAATTTACTTGTCGTATTGTCCAGATGGACTAAAATATTTTACAAAAATTGCAATGAATATACTCTAAAAATTAATTGTTTACATATTCCATTAACACCGCAGAAATAATCATTATTAATTAATATTGAAGATCTCAAAATGGCAAATTGATTTGAAATAAAATAAACAAATTTATCTGCAGGAATGCATCAAGTGCGACGGAGGAAGCGGCGCTCGCAAGGCCTAAACGCTGCGTCTCAGCACAACTTATGCTGTGTTGACGTTGTGCGTGGTGCTTATGGCTTTGGATTTACCATATCTGGACAGCAACCTTGTCTTCTGAGTTGTATCGTACCTGGAAGCCCAGCCGAGGCCGCAGGACTGCAACCTGGCCATGCATTGGTGGCCGTGAACGGTCGAAATGTTGCTCGACTTCCGCACGACACCGTTGTCCGTCTGATAGGTTCCAGTTGCGGTCGCCTGAGGTTTTTCTTTTTTTAAACTAAAATTAAAACAGGATAATAAATTTTAAATTCCAGACTACACGTGTCTCCTCACTGGCACGAAAGATCAAGTAGCAGTGAATCTGACGAAGACACACCTGTGAGAAACGCAGTACGTTTGTCACCAAGAAATGCTGCACCTCCAGCTGAGCTGCGTGCCGTTGTTGGCTACCTGGGAACAATAGAACTACCTCGGCACCTCACTCCTGGCTCGAGGTAATTGCATCAAAATATCTACCTGTAACCTTATTGAAAAACACAATTCTTTTTCTATTTAGACTTGCCGTCATTCGGAGTTGTGTTCGTCGAATGCGAGCAGAGCGTCGTGTGCACACAGTTGTCGCCCTCTCCGTCCGAAGACGCCACTCGGTTTTACTCAGTGACGCCAGCGGAGCCAGCATTGCTGAATTTGGTGCTGAGCGAGTTGCCTTTTGTGGTGCTTGTGCTGACGACAGACGATTCTTTGGTCTTGTGACTGCTTCCGAGGCTGGTTCTGCGTGCCATGTGTTCATGATTGATCCCTCATTGCACCCTCATCATGCTCACTTGCAACGAGCTGCCGCCTTCAGAGTTGCTTGCACGCCTAATGGAGTCGGATGTGCGGAGTTTCCCTCTCATGCAGATCCAATTCTGCGAGCCATTGCCTCACTCACCGCTGCCGCTTCGCCTCCACCGCCACCACCAAGGAGCAACGCTAGTAGTTGTCCCTCGAGCAACTCAGACTCTGGCATTGGCTTTCGGGATGAAGACTCCCTTCAAGATAGACTGACTGTTCGGGCCATGCCAGATCCACCTGTGGTGCAGATGCGGAAACTTAGTCCAAAGGTATGCAAGGATCATATTTTTTGTTTTGTAAAAAAAATGGCTTAGCTCATTAGTCTAGTGCATTAAATTATTAAGTAGCCTCTCTTTACTTCGCAGGGGAGAAAGTGTCAAAATTTACCCACTTTGCAATTCTGCAGTGCAATTATTTACATGGTCATACTAATTTTAAAGTTGCAAATATTATTAAACTAATTTTCTTTTAACCTCCAGCTTTTAAATCTTTCTGCCCCAATCTTTTCCAACTAACACATGACCTTTCAAAAGTATGTACACTATCTTGCTAAAGTCAAATAGAAATCCCCAATAATTTTGTGCCTTAGCTATAATCGAAAAAATTAAATTTGAAGAAATAAATATAATAATTAAGAATCTGGCCTTATTTTCTCAATAACAATCTCTTCTGTTGGACCTTTAATATTTTCTGACAAAAATGTGTTTATGTTGTCAGGTATATGGCCTAGAAGCACATAGCCTGGAAGATTTGCCAGCAATTTGCCCAGCTGTGCCATCGGGTGACGAGTCAATGACCTCAATAGACCATTGGGGCAGTTTGCAAGATTTGGCTAGGTTGGACCAGGGCAGACAACGAAGGAGGCGAAAGCATCCAACACATCATCAACACCCAATGCAACCACCCTCTCTTGCTCCAAGAACCCATTCACCCCAGCCAGCGCCAGACGAGGAGTCTGATGTGAGTATTTTTTTTTTTAAATTTATAGTGAAGTTTTAATCCGACCAAAATTAATGTAAATTTCCATTTTGATATTTTCAACAATTTTTTTTTTTTAATTTGAACATTTTAAGTTTTCACATGGAATATTTACGTATTTAATATTACGGCAAGTAAACCTCTAAAAAAAGCAAGCCTAATCGACCGTGAAAGTTAGACAAGGCCATTAGTTTCCACAGCAAAAAGTAGCAGTGGGGGCCTGCTAGAGGTCGACTTTCACAGATGTCGCTTCTTTGATTCTGTGGGCAAGAAACATTTTGCAGATCTAGTAATATCCAGGCTGGATAGTCGCTGTTTATTTTGCTCCACATCAAAGCTCTTCTTTTAATCATCGGGATGAATCTTTTGAGATGGTCGAAACAACAGAGATGTGTTGAGGAGGGTGACTGAGGGTGGGGCAGCAGCTCCGAGTGGGGCAGAAATTTGGGTCAGGGGCAAAGGAACTTGTATGAGAATAATAAAACGCACTCACTTAGCACAGAGTGGGAAAGGCGCGTGTTTACTCAAATATAAATTATTTTTGTAAATTTACATTTTCTGTCTCAAAATACATAAAAATCACTGGAGCATCTTGGAAACGCTTGCCAAAAGCGCTTTATGCATGTTGCAACCGCGAAGCAGTAAATCAAAATTTTATTTTTGGAATGGCTACACTATAAGTGGACGGACGCTCTGCTACGCACACAAGATCTCACTTTCCTTTCGCTGCTTGCAACAGGCATCGCGCGATTTCTTTTTTCATCGAAATCTAAATTTTGTTTACGACCATCTCACGAAAAGTGCACAAATTTTAGCACTTCCCGTGTAATCAACTTCAACGCGCGGATTGATTTGCTTCTTAAGCGTTTTAATTGAGTTGAAAGTTAAAGTGGAAACCAATCGGGGATCATCACAAAATTATACGGAGCGCAGAATACAGTAAGGTTCGCGAGTGGAGGAGTGGAGGTAAAAGCTCCAGTGGACGAGCATCGAGCGGCGGGGCTGGCGTGATTCAAGGCAGTCAATCAGTCAGCGCTGGCATGAGCGGCGGCGAACAGGAGGCCGCCGCGGCCCACAAGCCCCCCAAACCCCTGGCCGGTCCCCGCTCCTTCACCCTGCCCGCTAGACTGCAGTTTGTGAGTAACTTTGATTGGAAATCATGCACTCGTCAGCCGCCTTGTTATTAATTCTGCGATGAATGGAGTCTTGCGCACAGCATATGGCCTTCCCTTTTTACCATTTTGATATTTACTATGGGTGGGGACGCAAATTGGCAATTAGTGCCAAGTGGATATTGTGTTCGTTAGCTCGCAATTTTGCTGTATGGCCAGGTCATCTTTTTGCGTCTGTCTCGTTCTCTACTTGCGTTGCGATAAATTGACAATGGGCACCTTTGTTGCCCGCGCCTCGCTGAGGCTTGCACGTCTGGCTGAGTGAGCAGCGCCTTTATCACTTATTCCTCTTTCAATTTGTTCACAACCGTTTAAATGAAAATGGTAAATTAATAAAATCAATCGTTTCCAAAATTTTGTAGAAAAGGATTGCCTTTGGTGCTCATTGTCAATCCGTCTTTAAGGAACTTGCCTATGTTTTTAATTAGTTTAGAGTAAACTTCAAAGTATTATTGCGGTTAAAAAGGCATTTAAGCGAGCGAAATTGCATCCCTTGTGCTCTGAGAATACAGGTGCATGCGTTGACAGGATCTTCTAACTTACTTAGATCGTACCAAGACCACAGTTAAAACGCATGCGCTGGAGTACCTGCGTATATTACCTGTTGGAATAAGGTCAACTTATTGGGCTTTTTTTCTTTACGCTGGTAACAGCGGTGATTTGTAATTTTGGGGTTCGCAAGAGTCTGTCCCACTAAATTGCTGAAAAATATCAACCCGCCGACTTGAGTGTCTGTTGAGTGCCTGCCGAGCATCTTTTTATTACTCGGAACTACGTTACATTCTTCAAGTGTGCTTTGAAATGGGACGTGATTATTTTTTTAATATCCACTGGCGACGTCTACTGCTCAAAAAATGATATTATAAAACGCTGGGCGTGGGTGATGTTTGTTGTAATAAATATTCCTTCAGGGATTTGAATCAGAGTCCTGTGCAAATGGAAAGGTGAACAATTATTTTAGAACACATAGTCCAATATTATTAAAAAAAATTCAAATTTTATAACCATTAAAACTTTTGTTCAATGATTTTTTATTTTGATTACTCCGTCCAGTATCAAATTTCTAATATGGTTCTCCACAGAGAAAGTGGGAAAATTTTAGTTGTTGTTCTGCGAAGAATATCTTCCTCCTTGTTGTCATCATAAGCAGCAATTATTATAGTGGTGTTAGGCTTGTTGGCGAAATGTATGTATGTTTACGTCAAGGCTTCACCTCAACTCAACTGGAATAATAAAGGGGTTTTCTCCTATGGCTTTCATTGAAACTTAGGTGCCCCAGCAGCAATGTTGGTAAACAGATTTTTGTTTGACGTCAGGCAAATGATTCAGCGGTCGTCTGCGGCGGTTTTCCTGTTCGCGCAGCAGGGCGTAGTTCTTGTGCACAGCAGTTCCTGCAAGCAGTGCGCTATGCTTCTCAGGAAAAGTCTTCGGCGCAAAACCGTGGGACTAGATAGGGACCTGTTGAAGGTTGATAGCAAGGAGATCGCTGTGAAACGCAGCTCTGCAGGGATGTACATGAGATTCTTTGCGTACGACCCAAGGGTAGGATATAAATAAGGGATTCTTTTAATACAGTATTAACAAAAAACAATAATAACAATAACATTGACAGGTCATTTTTTAACCATATAGCGTTTGATATTGCATACAATTTTGAGTTATAAAATTGAGGCTAAAAATCTTATTTGGGCTTAAGAACAATGTCAACTAACATAAATTTTTGATAATTTATAGTTAATCTTATTAGAGATAGTAGCATTGCGATAGTTCTTAATTTCCTGTTTGAGCCATATGCTAGTCTTTTTTTTTTTTTTTTTAAATTACATGTTATTTAATAAGCAACTTGACCACAAACCAGGCAGGCGCAGTTTGCTTAGTTGCAGCAAATCAAATTAAATGTGAGCGGTAGCATCTCAATTGCTAAAGATTTTTAACATGCTTATTTAGTGCGAGCAACCATTCAAAAAGTGGTGCAGTGGCTCATACCTGGGATTTTTGCACCGAGCCACCCACGACGAGGAGGACGAAAAGCTGCCGTCGCCCAAAATGCCGCCTCCGTTGACCCCACTTTGGGGCGCGTGCGGTAGATACATTGTTGGAGAGGTATTGTTGGCTGCGGTATATCCCTAGCCTTATCTGTGTGATGAGCACTTCCGTGAGAAAAACCCCTTTGCACTCCCTCACAGTTTATGTTTTTTGATGCGTGTTTTCCATTTATTTACCTTGACTAAATTTTATTGTTATTTATGGTTTCCTGTAGCTCAAGAACAAACAAACTTGGTAGAAACTTTTCAGTTGGATTTAGGCATGAGTTGATAGCAGAGTTTGATTATGTTTTTTTTTTATCGTTGTGTTCATTTTCATACATGAAAATCTGCAATGCGGAATTTCCTTTTCGACAAATTCATATAATATATGTGCGTGTGTGTTCAAATTTAGGTGTGTTAGTATTACATATTTATTTTTATTTTTGTATGTTTTTGTGCAAGCGTTATAATATTATGGCTTTTAAGCACTTTTTAAAAGAGCTTAAAAGCTTATCACCCTTTACAAAGCACTCTACAAAATGTTTGACTTAAATTTAATTCTTTCACAAGACAATACAATGATTTAATTATTTGTGTTTGTGTCTTTTTTCAGAGCCACAAGGAAAATGCAGAGGTAAGAGGGAATTTTAGCTCACACATTAGGAACCAAGTTGACGGAAGCGAAGTGGACCCCTCGAAACAAAACTGCTTCGACTCCTTTGAGAAATTGCTTGATGACCCAAATGGAATGCATGTCTTCTCGGTTAGTTAAGTTTTTCTTTTACTCTGATTGGCTAGTTAATCAGGCACACATTGAAATTGACTCTTCATAACTGAAAATTCCCATTATTTTCAAACTGCAACATTAAAATGTTTGATTGCAGGAATTTTTGAAGAAGGAGTTCAGTCACGAAAACATCTATTTTTGGGTAGCGTGCGAGAAATACCGCAGATTGAAAGATCCTTGCGCGAGGAGGGCGCTAGCTCGTAACATTTTCCAGAAGCACCTCTGCTCTGGTGCTCCTGAGCCTGTAAACGTCGACTCGCAAGCGCGACAGGCTACTAAAGATGGTCTCGAAGATGCCAAAGAGGACTTGTTTGTGGCAACGCAGAAGCAGATTTTCAATTTGATGAAGTTTGATAGTTATCCGCGCTTTTTGAAATGTGATTCGCACAAAGATGCAACTGAGTATTCGGGCTGTGGTGATCTAGACCCCGACCTCATCTTGCACGCAAGAGATGAGCCAAACCCAGGAAAGGTAGGGGTGAAGGTGATTTTTTTTTTAAATTTTTAATCTCTGAATGTTTATGCATGGTTTTCAAAGCTCAAGAAAAGTCAAAGTGACGCAGAGGATCGAAGACGGAAATCACTCTTGCCATGGGGCCGCAAACACTCCGGCCAAGCAAGATCAAAGTCGAGGGACAGAGGGGAAGAAAGAGTACAAGACGATTCAAGTTCAGTGCGTTCGGAGCTGACTGGCAGTAGATCATCTCTTGCTTCCTCAGACTTGGCTCTCATACAGAGAAATAACAATAGCAGACAGGTATTTATTAATAATAAGCAAAGATTATTACTTTTTATATTGATTAATTTTTGGTTAGTCTGTTTCCCTTGGTGATGTGAGTCAAACAGGAGAGCTTTGCAGAGTAATACTTCCTGATGGTGCCACAACAGTTATTTCTACTGTCCGAGGAGACAATGCAAAGCAATTAATCTCTCGTCTTCTTGAGAAAAGAGGGTTACAGTTCAGCACATTTGAATTATTCGTGTCTGGGCAGTCAAATGTAAGTAAAAAAGCTTAAAAACTCGGTTCAAACTCGAGCTGTGAGAAAAATAATATTTGTGTCATTTTTTCAAAAGTTTATTATTTATCTAAAAAGAGTCTTTTATTCCAGTGTGTCAACTTATCAGACGAGAGTACAGTGCTTAGCGGAAAAGAAGTTCGAGTAGAGCAGAGAGTCGTATTTCGACTTGATCTTCCTAGCAAAAAGACTCTAGGTGTGAAGGCAAAAGCCTCTAAGACCCTAGCGGAAGTGTTGAAGCCAATCCTCAACAAACATGGCCTTAAACTAGAAAATGCTACTGTTACTTTGGTATAGTGTAGTTGTGACTTGCAGTGTAGAATATTTGACAGAACATGTTTCAGATATGTGATACAACTCCTCTTGATATAAATCGAGCCATCGCATTTGTAGAAAATGAAAGGCTGCAAGTTTGCATAAATAATACTTCAGGTAAATAATGAATTTTGGTTAATGAGCAAGTTTCATGAGACTTGGACTATAGGCCCCGTTAAAGGCAGTAAATCTACATTAGATGAGATCACGAACAAGGTTTTTGAAGAATTACTCCAAGGGAAACCCACTGAGAGCACACAGGGATCAGATCATGGATCTGTAAAGGTAAGTCAAATCTGCATTTTTAAGCTTCAGCTTGGAAATAGAAAATTGCTTTTTAGTCCGAGGACTGGAGCTCTGATCATGGGTCTGGAATATTTGGACGTTTTCTCAGGAGAGACTCGGCTTTCATGGATAAAACCAGGGTTTGTAAAAAAAAATATGCTTTTTCTGCTAAGCCTGCTGTTGACATACAATTGTTGATAAAGATTTAATTTTAAAGCGTGTTTTTAAAATCATTTCCTTCATCAGGAATCGAGGAGCAAGAAGGGAGCCGTGCCAAGATTGATTGAAACTCATGAAAATACGCTTAGGGTACCTGGGCCAAGAGCAAATATTAAGGGTCAATCAGAAAGCGAAGGTATATAATCATTCAAAATGGATTGTGCTAGATTATTTGATTAATATAATGGAAGCTCCGTTGTAACAATAATTGGGAATTTTGATTTGGAATTATTGTTTAAAACTGAATATTCCTTTCTCAATTAATCCTTTCCCTTGAACACACAAAAACACAAACACTTTTATTTAAATTAATTTATTCGTCGTCAACATTTTATTCTGCGTGTGAGAAGTGTCGAGTGCGCGGTGCCGAGAAGAAGAGAGAAAGAAGTGCATTTGCACTCGCCGCCAATCAGTGCCCCCACCACCTGCACTGATAAAGAGCACACAGGTTACTCCCGGGTAAAGGTCTTTGACCTCGTGCAGTTTTGGTTTAGTCGCCCACGATCAGTGGTTGTGAAAACACCACCCGGCCTCTGCTGTGCCAGCAGCAGGTTGGCCGCTTCCTCTTGCAAATTGGAGGATACGAACGTTCTGCGAGAAGAGTCAACGTAAGTTGCTTTTCAGAATTTTTTCCCTTAATTGGGCGGCATCCCGAATGGACCTTCTGGACCATTCCATCCCTTATTTCATTTTGAAAATTGGGCGCGTCGACTAAACCAAATTCTTGTACAACCCAGGTGCCCTGTGGGGCCGTTGATTATCGCAACTGTCCAGCCCGGCAGAGCTGCTGTCCGCCAGCGTCGTTTGCGGATGGGGCGCTGTCGACAATTGCAGCGCTTCGTGCTCACGTGTGACCACCACCACCCCGGTCACCAACCACCCTCAGCCGGCGGTCGTCCGACCGAACACCTGGTCGACCTTCGAAGCACCGACACCATCAGGGGTCGCTCCCCTCGCCGAGACCATCTCGACACACAGCTCACGATGAGTACCTCTCATTTGTGCCTTTAAGTGAACTCGATCCGAACGCTCGTCGAGTGAAATTTTGATTATTTATTATATTTTTCCAAATTGATATTTTGTTACACATTACACTTTCTACACAAATTAGCCCCACCTACTAACCACAGACAGTTAAATCACAATTAATTTGCAAATACAAATTTCTTATTATTTTTTGCATTGACTCGCTTTGCAATTAAAATCCGTTTAAAATTAAAATTAAAAATTAATTCTTTTCTTTTGCAATTTTAGTTCTTTAATTTGAAATGAACCTTTTTGTGCATCTTTTCTGAATTTGAGATTAAGTTTCTGAGCAGTTAATTTAAACTTCTGGATAAGCAGAACCCACTTATTGGATCTGAATCAAAAAGTAACCCTGAGTGTTACATGGCGCCCAACTTAATTTAAACCCCAGCAGTTTAAAGCAAATTAAAGTAAATTTAGTGTGAGTAAAGTTTCTAGATCTTTCTTTTCACAAGCGTTACGTAAGCGAAAAATCTCTGGAATTATTCTCGAATGATAGTTGTGCGATTCGTTAAATTTTAGGAATTTGGAAGCATAATTTTTGAGCCGAGAAATTTGCGGAATTTTTGTAGTGTATTGTACAGATAAAAGTAAGCGAAGGTTGTCGGCCGTCGTGCGCGTTTTGATGGTTTTGCGTGAAAAACTTTTGCGGCGTAATCTTTGATAGAGTGCGAGCAAATTAATTTTTTGAGATACCGATTTTGAGATTTTTGAGAAAATAAATTTGATTCGATAATTGGATTTGAGCAATGTCGTCTCCGAATTTTTGTCTTGTCCCGATGAAGCTCGACTCAGCTTCGGGTAAATTTGAACCACTGGCAGAATTTTGCCCAGGCCACGGCGCCGAGCAAACCCGTATTCTGGCCAAAGTCATTCCGACCGCGGAATGGAACTTAAAGTTTTCTGGTGAAGATGATTCTCATTTGACCGTAGATTTGTTTTTGCGGGAGGTGAATCTGAAATTTGGCGAAAGCAAATTGAGTGATGAACAGTTTTGGAGAACCGCATTTAATTTGTTTTCTGGCCCCGTTCGGAATTGGTTTTTGGCCAATTTTGAGAGGTGGTCATGTTGGACCGATTTTGTGCCTGATTTTGTGCGTAATTTTCGCCCTCCAAATTACATTGAAAGATTGTGGGAGCAAATTCGTCTCCGCACGCAGGGTGAACACGAGCGAGTTAATATGTATGTTGCAGAAATGCGGATACTTTTTTCCTTGCTTGACGTTGAACCGCCCGAGCGAGATAAATTTGTTTTCATTCAAAACCGACTGCATCCTTTTTGGCTAGAAAAATTGCCTTGGTCTTTCATTAATTCTTTGGACGAATTAATTTCAGAAAGTTTGCGAATTGAGAGTGTCCAGGACCAGATAGAGCGCTACAAAGAGCCCTCTGCCCCAACTAATCCTGTTTTGCCCGAATTTATTTACAGGGGACGTGAAGATGAATTAATTTTGTCCGAGAATGCGAGTGAATTGGGAAGTGTTTCGCGTGAGCCTAGTTTGCTGTACGGCGAATCGCCGAGGCAAGTTTGTGTTCCGCAAAATGCAGCCGTGACTCATGAGCAGAGTAAGACAAATATTGATGGTCTTCAAAAATGTTCGCCATGCAGTGCAGAATGTGGAAGTGCGGAGCATGAAAGAGAGAGCATTGGCGCGGAGACTTTGCCTATTACATGTTGGAATTGTCGGCGTGCAGGTCACCGCTGGCGCACCTGTAAGTCGCGCAATTGTAATTTGTTTTGCAAAGGCTGCGGCGCACAAGGCGTTTCACATGCGTTCTGCGACCGAGAGGCATGCAGAAGGAAACGGCGAGACGAATCTTGTCGTCTTGAAAGAGTCAAATGCTTTGCGAGGAGAAAATGTGCGAGAATGAATGATGAGTGGCAAAGACACATTAATAAAATCAAGGTGCAGAAAGTTCGCGAGAAAATTAGTGCTTTGTTTTTGAAATATAAAACAGAGTTTACTGAGTTTGATTCTCAAAGCGAAGTTGAAGGCGAATTAAAGGAAAGGGTTAAGGATGATGATCGTGTATTTTTGAAAGTGACCATTTTTGACGTTAAACTTGTGGCTTTATTAGATTCAGGCGCGTCAACATGTATTTTGGGCGGCCCTGGTAGAAAATTAATTGACAAGTTGAGACTCAAAATTCATAGTACCAAAGTTAAAAACGTTCAATTAGCTGATAGATCGTGTCAGCCAGTTTTAGGTCAGATTGATTTGCCCATTTGTTTGGAAGGACAGTCATTTGTAATCAATGCATTGGTTGTTCCTGCAGTTGAATCTGATTTAATTCTTGGGCTTGATTTTTGGTTAAAGACCGGTTTTGTTCCCGATTTGTCGCGCGGAGTGTGGTATTTTTCTGGTGGCGCGGAAAAAGAATTTTCTTTGCCCAGTTTGAGTTCTGTAGCAGTTGACGGCGATAAGTTGGACGATGCCCAACGCGAAATTTTGAATAATTTTATTTCTGAAATTAAGTCAAAATTTCCGGCTAGTCTTGGACGCACAAATGTTATGGAGCATAAAATTGACACGGGAAATTCACCGCCAGTAAAAACAAAGCAATTTTACATTCCACCCGCCGAGTTAGAATTAATGAAAAAAGAAGTTGATAAAATGTTAGAGTTGGACGTGATTGAGCCCGCCATAAGCCCTTGGAATAATCCAGTTTTTCTTGTGCGAAATGAGCAGCGCGGTAAAGAGCCTAGATTTGTGGTCGATATGCGAGAAATTAATAAAGTCACAGAGTCTGACGCGTATGCAGTGCCCATATTAATGAATATTTTGGATGGTTTAGGAGATGTAAAATTTTTGAGCACAATTGATCTCAAAAAATCGTATTGGCAAATTCCATTGGATTCCGAAAGTAAACCAAAAACAGCATTTTTCATTCCTGAAAAAGGACAGTTTCAATTTAAAGTCATCCCATTCGGAGCGAAAAATTCTGGTCCGGGTTTCATGCGTGTAATTGATATTGTTGTCGCGAACTCGTGGATTAGAAAATATATTCGAATTTACATTGATGACGTTTTTGTTGCAACTCCCACATTAAAATTGCATTATAAGGTGCTGAAAGAATTATTTCGTTTGCTATTGGAAGCCAATTTAACGCCAAACTGGGATAAATGCCGTTTTTTGAGAAAATCAATTAAAATTTTGGGCTATGTTTTGGATGAGTTTGGCCTGCATACGGACCCTGATAAAGTAGCTTCAATTTTGAATTTGGCTAGGCCCACCAACAAGAAGGAGGTGAAGCGATTTTATGGCGCTTTGTCTTATTATAGGCGATTGATAAAGGATTTCAGCACAACCGCGGAGCCGTTGCTGCGTATGCTGAAAAAGAATGTGTCTTTTGCGTGGAATGAGGAACAAGAGTGTGCGTTTGTCGCGTTGAAGCAAGCAGCCGTCTCTGAGAATGTGGTGCGTTTGCCCGACTTCTCAAAGCCTTTTTACTTGCACACTGATGCTTCTGATGTTGGAATTTCAGGTGTTTTGACGCAGATATTTGATGATGGAGAGCATCCTATTTTTTACGTGAGCAGATTACTTTCTGAGACTGAGCAAAAATATATTACAATTCAGAAGGAAGCATTGGCGATAATTTGGTCTATTGAGCGATTGTCAGGATACCTTTCATACTCTAAATTCTTTGTTGTGACAGACAATAAGCCTCTTAAATATTTGCAAGATCAGAAAAATCCAAAAGGTCGACTTGCAAATTGGCGTATTAAATTGCAGCAATATGATTTTGAAGTTTTTCATCGACCTGGTAAATTAAATGTTGTTCCTGATATTTTGTCAAGAAGTTTTGATTCCAATGCAGTTAAAGTTTTTTCAATTAAATTTAGCAATCCAATTACAGATAAGTGGTATCTTGATTTGTTGAGTAAAGTAAAATCAAATCCTGAAAAATATCCATTGTTTAAAGTAATTGAAAATAAATTGTACAAAATGTGCAAAAATTGGAACCCTTTTGATGAGGAAAAATTTAAATTAGTAATTCCTAAATGCTCTAGACAAAAAGTTTTTGAACAGTGCCATTGCCTTCCTGAAGCAGGACATTTTGGTTTTTTGAAAACGTTTAATCGAATTTCTGAACAATTTTATTGGCCAAAAATGCGCGCAGATATTTCCAAGTTTTTGAGTAAATGTCGCACATGTCTCGCACAAAAACCGATTCAAGCAGCCCCCGCTGGATTGATGCATTCACACCCCGTTGAACGCCCTTGGCAGGTTTTGTGTAGTGATATTGTTGGAGAATTCCCGCGTAGTGTTAAAGGCAATAAATATGTGCTTAGCGTAGTTGATTTGTTCACCAAATTTGTTCTTTTGTTTCCGCTGAAAGATTCAAGTGCTAAGTCAGTTTGTAATGCGTTAGAGTCCACAATTTTGAGTTACGGAGCTCCACAATTAATGATTCAAGATAACGCGAAAATTTATACGAGCGGTCAGTTTAAAGATTTAGCTAGAAAATATGACGTGAAATTGCAATATTCGCCGCGTTACCATGCGCAAGCAAACCCGACGGAGAGAGTGAATCGTGTTTTTGAGACCGTAATGCGTTGTTTTGTCAATGAGAATCAAAAGGAGTGGGATAAATTTTTGCCCCAAATTGCTTTTGCGATGAATAGTAGTTTGCATGAGACGACAAGATTTACACCATTTTTCCTTTTCTTTGGTAGGCAGCCCACGCTTACTGGTTCAAATGCGGTTCGCGACAGTGTTGATTTTGACACTCCTAATCAAATTGATAATTATGCGGCTCGATTTCCGAAGTTGAAACGAATACACGAATTAGTTAAACAGAAAATTGTTGATGCTAATGAGCGGAATAGGCATTATTATAATTTGAGGAGACGTCCGGGTGATTTTTTGTTAGGTGATAAAGTGATGAAAAGGAATTTCGCAATTTCAAACAAAGGTTCAGGAATTTCAGCTAAGTTATTACCCTATTTTGTTGGACCCTATATTTTGAGAGAAAAGATTGCAGAAAATGTTTTCCGATTAGTAGACGAAAAGGACGAAAGAAAAGATATCGGTGTTTTTCATGTTCAGGACCTTAAAAAAGTCCCAGCACAGAAATAATTTTCTGCGAAAATTATTTTTGGTGGCAGGGGAGATGTAACAATAATTGGGAATTTTGATTTGGAATTATTGTTTAAAACTGAATATTCCTTTCTCAATTAATCCTTTCCCTTGAACACACAAAAACACAAACACTTTTATTTAAATTAATTTATTCGTCGTCAACATTTTATTCTGCGTGTGAGAAGTGTCGAGTGCGCGGTGCCGAGAAGAAGAGAGAAAGAAGTGCATTTGCACTCGCCGCCAATCAGTGCCCCCACCACCTGCACTGATAAAGAGCACACAGGTTACTCCCGGGTAAAGGTCTTTGACCTCGTGCAGTTTTGGTTTAGTCGCCCACGATCAGTGGTTGTGAAAACACCACCCGGCCTCTGCTGTGCCAGCAGCAGGTTGGCCGCTTCCTCTTGCAAATTGGAGGATACGAACGTTCTGCGAGAAGAGTCAACGTAAGTTGCTTTTCAGAATTTTTTCCCTTAATTGGGCGGCATCCCGAATGGACCTTCTGGACCATTCCATCCCTTATTTCATTTTGAAAATTGGGCGCGTCGACTAAACCAAATTCTTGTACAACCCAGGTGCCCTGTGGGGCCGTTGATTATCGCAACTGTCCAGCCCGGCAGAGCTGCTGTCCGCCAGCGTCGTTTGCGGATGGGGCGCTGTCGACAATTGCAGCGCTTCGTGCTCACGTGTGACCACCACCACCCCGGTCACCAACCACCCTCAGCCGGCGGTCGTCCGACCGAACACCTGGTCGACCTTCGAAGCACCGACACCATCAGGGGTCGCTCCCCTCGCCGAGACCATCTCGACACACAGCTCACGATGAGTACCTCTCATTTGTGCCTTTAAGTGAACTCGATCCGAACGCTCGTCGAGTGAAATTTTGATTATTTATTATATTTTTCCAAATTGATATTTTGTTACACATTACACTTTCTACACAAATTAGCCCCACCTACTAACCACAGACAGTTAAATCACAATTAATTTGCAAATACAAATTTCTTATTATTTTTTGCATTGACTCGCTTTGCAATTAAAATCCGTTTAAAATTAAAATTAAAAATTAATTCTTTTCTTTTGCAATTTTAGTTCTTTAATTTGAAATGAACCTTTTTGTGCATCTTTTCTGAATTTGAGATTAAGTTTCTGAGCAGTTAATTTAAACTTCTGGATAAGCAGAACCCACTTATTGGATCTGAATCAAAAAGTAACCCTGAGTGTTACACCGTGATTTGTATTATCTCCTTCTTTTCCTTGAATAAAAGTAATATTTTCACTTCAGAGCTGTACGAAGGTCTAAAAAGGGCTCAGCGTGGTCGTCTTGAGGATCAAAGAGGCACTGATATTAACTTTGAACTTCCTGACTTCTTGAAGGTGAGCCAGCCTGCGAGCTGAGCTATTGGTGTTGCATGTGTGGTATTTTGGCTACATTTTCACACTCCAGTGCATGCTATCAGGTTAACATCCCAGTTTTTTTTTTATCATAATTTTCAATTTCTCATTTGGTATCATTCTTTCAATTAATAATTTCCACTGTAAATCTAAATCAAGCGACAAATCCTATTATTATTTTAATAATAAATTTCAGGATAAAGAAAACACTCCTAGGTGGCTACAAAAAGGCCGGCTCTCAGAGGGTGACTGTCTTCCTTTGATGTCAAATGAGGGCATCGACCTTTCGTCAGGTCTGCTGCCCACAGTTGAGCAAGCTGAAGCTTACTTTGGAAGTAGAGTGACTCCTCTTTCACCGCCAATTCGACACCCTATGGACCCTCCCCCGTTGCCTCCTAAGCCTAAGACATACCCAAAGCATGTGTCAAAATGGACCCCTGCCACCTCGTCTGATGATGAACGCAACTCAACTTCTATTGTTTAATATATTAATTTATTGCTGAGTGAGTGTACTGGTGTCATTTTTCTTGTGGATGCAATTTTATCAGATTTGTTATGTATTTCACCGTGAATATATAGAAAAATGATTATTAAAAATTATTACTCCTAGAATTTATGCAATATGTATATAATTTATGTTTGTAAATAAATTGCATTTTATTGCATTTTGATTTATGAACAAAACTTACTGTCTTGCTTCAATTTGTGTCCAATCTATGTAGAGGCAGAGGATGTTTTCTTCATTAATTAAATCGCATTAAATAATGCTATATAAATTTGTGGCAATTTTATAAAAGCTAGGTAAATGGTAAATTGAGAAGAATAGTATTAATTAAAGTTATCAAATTTTATGACTGCAGAGAAGAATAATTAAATACTTGAAATCTCTACATCTCAAAATCGAATATAATTATAAATTCCACTTCAAGTCCACAGCTCAGACTGGGCGCTGATTGGTTAGGTAGCGGACGCTGATTGGCTGAGAGGCTCAACCTAAGCACACATGTTTTTTGTTTTGTTTGTCAAATACACCGGCCGGGTTGCTCGCGTAGTTGTTATTAATAACTATTAAGCATTAATTTTGACTGGTAATAATTAATAATTGTTTCAATTATTAAGCTGCTTGCATTACACATGCACACACCTGATGGTCATATTGTAGTATATCATTATTAGCATTTTTTGAACTGGAAACTGGATTAAGTCAGGAATTGCTCAAAATAATAAGACAAAATTATGAGATTATGAGTGAATTGTTTCTGTTTTTAGTTATTGTAATTTATAATAAATAATAAATATAATATTGTTTTATTATCAAAAATTTCTTTTTTTGCAGAATCGCAATTAATCCAAGATGGATGAAGATGAGTACCAGATTCAGAGAGCATTCCCAGTCAGAGATTTGTTAAATTCAAAAGTCAAAATTAAACCTGGTGAGGCGCCGGCAGATGCAATGGAATACCTTTCATTTGTTGCGTGAGTCTATTATTACAAATAGATTTACAATTTTTTTTTTAATTATTCAGTGTTTAATATTTTTAATTGCTTAAAATTAAGACACGAGGCGTCCCAATGCAAAGAAGTGGTTGTGGCCGTAATAGATCAGAAGAAGCTCGGCAAACAAACTGTCACTTACCTGAGCGAAGAAGTAAATTTTATTTTACATTTTATACCTATGAATTTACAAATGTTAAAAATTATGTAACATTGATTTTTGTTTTAAAGGAAACAAAAGCAGAAATTGACTCTCCAAATCAACCCACTCGAGAATGGAAAATTTGTCAAGTGTCTGATTTCTCAGATGTCCGAACGCAGCTTGCTAAAATGAAAGCAGGGCATTCTGTAGACTCTAAAAAAGTTGAAAGAAAAAGCTTGGTAATTTTTATTTCTTTATAATTTTGCAAGTTTTAATTTGATTATATATATATTAGCCTCTAAAATGCCATGAATCTTCTTGGTGCAAGTATTGCTTAGGCTCAAATGTTGCAAGGTCTTTGCCGGACTTTAAGGATTCTTGTGTTGAAGAGTGTGAGGCCAACCTTCCAACAGCATCAGTAATATGCTCAATGGACCAAGTAATAATAATTCGAGCAGTATCGGAGCCATTATAATGCTTATTATTATTATTTATAGCCTTTAATTGAAAAGCTACTGGAGTACCAAATAGGATGGATGGAAATTTGTGGATTTTCAGCTATTCAAGGACTTTGGATTTATTCCTTGATGGCTGGTCTAGAATTACCCTTGACACCAGATGTTTGCAGTTTATTGAGAGCCCTGGCTAGAAGATGTGCCTCCGTAAGAGATCAAGCAGTAAGATTTTTGTTTGCTTCATCAGCTATTATACAATTTTTCTTTGTTGCAGAGTAAAAATTTGACTGAATCATGCAGAACTACTCTGAATTTGATCATCTGCCTTGTCTCCAAATATTTCCGTCAGCTTGATCTGGAAGATTTATGAATTTTATCTCCGTGATGTCTCAGATGCTATACATTAACTAGGGTATGTCTTATATTAATTGTTCTCATGAAAACGCCATTATTTGCGGACTCAATTTTAATGCAGTATACAGCAGTATAGTTGTAATCATTTAACTAAATAAACCTTAAAAGTCCCCAAGGACTACCGAAAAAAATTTAGAAATAATTAAAACCTCTTCCCAGCCGATATCAAAATTTTAAATCATAGATTCGAGACTCCTCTGAATCACACCATCCATTTCTTCACCAATATCACCTAAAAAACAGGACAAAGGTTAGAAGGCAAACACGGTAAAACAGATCGTTTACCATTGCTGATTATGTAAATATGCTCCTTTTCATTTTCTTGAATCTGAGGCACTGGCACCTCCTTGTCAAGCTTTTCATGCTTCTTCGAATGCTTGTAACACGCAGACATCTCCGTAAAGCCTGAAGGTTGTTTTTTATTTACAAATTTCATTTCAATTTATTTACACATACTTTTTTGGCAGTACTTGCAGGAATAAGGCCGCAACCCGTAATGCCGGTTCATATGTTCCGTTAATGTTTGTTGCCGAGTAAAAGTTTTCTTACAAAGCAAGCAAGAATAAGGTTTTTCTCCAGTATGCGTTCGTTCGTGTCGTGCTAAATCACCTAAATTCCAAATTTAAGTTAGCTCTTTTTGAAATGGAACAAATAAAAAAATCTCACCTTTAGTAAGAAATTGTGCAGGGCAATTTGTGCACGTGTACCTCTTGATGTTATTATGCCTCATTTTATGACACCTTAGTTGAGCCTTTTGTCGAAAAGACTTTCCGCAAAGCTCGCAAAGGTGCACTTTTTGGTCTAGGTGCATTGCCATGTGCGACTGAAGCACAGATTTTTGTGTAAATGATTTTGGACACAAGGAGCACTGGAATGGACGCTCACCAGTGTGAAGTCTCTCGTGCACCTACAAATCAATAATATTATTTCCAATTGTAGATTTTCCAAATTCTTAATTACTTTGAGAGACTTTTTCTCCGTAAACTGTGAGCCGCACTGTTCACAGCGCCAGGGTTTATCCCCTGTATGCACTTTCTCGTGCCTGGCAAGGTTGCCCCTGGTCGTAAAGGCGCTGTCACACTCCTTGCAATGATATGGTTTTTCACCAGTGTGGCACCTTCTGTGCACTGAATAAAAATAATAATTATTTCGTCAAACGTCGTCTGGAAATTTTCTCAAAAACTTACCCAATAGATTATTTTTAGTCGAAAATTTGCAGCCGCATTCATCACATTCAAATGGCTTGTTGTGACAGGATTTATGTGCTTCATGGGATTATAGTTATAAAATTTGAGTTTACAAATAATTATCAAACAAATCGATGAAACTAACCACTTAGTGCAGAGTTTGAGATGAATTTTTTGCCGCAAATTTCACAAATAACCGAGTAATCACTGCTTTCAACAGAACTTGAACACTTTAGAGTGACGACGCTTAAATGGTCTTTTGGAATATCATTTTTTTCTGGAAATAATTATTATTTTTAATAAAAATGATACAGCCAAAATATAAAAATCTAACCTGTTTTAGCCCCAGACAAGTAGTCCTGATAAGTCGAACTGCATTCTGCAGCCTCCTGTGAAAAAATGAGAATGAAACTCGGATCAATCCAACATCCAATTAATAATTAAAAAATGTAAAATTTTACGATAAAAAAAATGATATTTATAAATTAGTTGGTACAAGTTGATTTTCTCAAAAATATTTTAAAACATTAGGAATAGGAACCTTTTCCTTTTCAAGCGCAAGGCTAAGCGCACTGATATCGGCTGCCGAATGGTTGACGATTTCTTGGAGTTTCTCTGACATGGTGTTCCAAAATTGTACAGCCTCCAATTTTTGCTCTGCTGCCATTGTGGCAACCATTGAAACGGCATTTTCAACCTGGAAAAATAGCTCGATTAATACTTAATTATGAAAATGACAAATAATAAGTGGCAATTTTTTTTATAAAACTTTTAATTTTCACCCTCTTTTTACCCTTGAGACATACATTTTTATTTAGCCCTCATCGTAAAATAAGAAATAAACAATGGTTGAAAATTTTATTACTTATATTCACAACTTCAATCATATCATCATATTTATTATTAAATCTCCTCTATAAACATAAATATTTTAATAAAATATTCAAAAGAACCCAAATATGTATTATTCAAGATTTTGATTATTATTTATGCTTTTTTTTTATTTATTTTCTGTTCTTCAGAAATCCTTGGCCTAAAACAAAAAGTAAAAATGAAATTAAATGCTATGTTAAATTGTGCATAATATTTTTTCAAATATTTCCAATCCTCCAATCATGATTCAAACATTATATAAATAAATGAATTAAACCTTTCATAAATACACAAAATAAAAATTTGTTAAGTGTAGGCAGTTAATAATATAATATTACTGTTATTACATATAATATTATATTACTTCCAAAAATTAATTTTTTGTTATCTAATTTGTAATGCTCGTCATCTCTTTTTTGCCGGCCGCAATTGACATAAAAATTGAGGCATTCAAAATTCGTCACCACAAAATATTAAGAAAAACATTGCAGGTTCAAAAGAACAATAAAACGCTGCGTTATTAATAAAAAGGACATTGAATAACCCAGAATAACCTTTGATGTGTCAGAGCCTTTTCCGCACCCCCAAACCCCCTACCCTGTCCCTACCCAGCGACAATTATGCACATTATTTGTTGGCCTGGTTTTTGCTTTGCTGGGTGGTGCGATTGATTGAGAGGTCGTGCCAGGTAAACAGGACTGGACTTTCGAGCACGCTTCCAGGTACACGTTTCCTCTCTGCATCCTACGAGTTTGATCAAAACACGTACCTTTTGCTTGAATAGTGGCAAAGACTTGCTTGCAGACATGTCTGATTCGATCCTAGCTACCTTTTTTGCATCAAGTAAAAACGTTGCTTGCTGCCATTTTAACCAGTGTTTATAAGGGTAAAATCAACGGGAACAATGGTTTCGCCAAATGTGCGCATTTACGTCGCGAGATGACGCTAGTATCGCCATCAGCTAAGATTTCGTCTTGATTTCGTCTTTTTCGGCGCTTCTTTTTCGCGTTTTCCGTGGTTGTACGCAAAGAGCGTTTAATAATTTCAGCATTATTATTTTTAATTTCTTTTAATTAAAAACTTATTTTGTTCTTATTGAAAGCTGTTAGATCAAACGGAAATATTTACTCTTTTGGGTTCGGGTTCAATACCCTTATCTGGCGGCCTTGTCCAAAAATTAGTTTTTCACTTAAGTCATGCATGATTTTTAAATTTTAAAAAGGTAAGATTCCCAATTAAAAGGTGAAATTTTGACATTTTAATTCATTTTCCGAGCAGTTGTTTTCTTGCTTATCTTCTAAATCTAAATCCACGTTAAAATTCATACTTACAAAAAATTATACATATTTAAATTTGAAATTTCATTAATTATTTAAAATATAAAAAATACAATAATAAATTTATTTACAGGTATATATTTTTGCCGCAAAGATATGGGCAAAGCAGACAAGAGCAGTTATCATCCCATGAGCGCATCTGAGGATGAACAACAAGTCAATGAGGTTTAAAAGAAAATTTTATTTTTCATGCCGCCACCAATTTTTTTTTTCGTTTTTTTATATTATTGTATTTTTAGGTTGACTTGACTGAAACTCCTTCCAAAAAATCAAGGAAAAAGATTAAGGTGGGCATTCCTTTGTACTCGACAGATGATATATCCGATCTATACATTTCTGAAAAATCTGAGTTCCCAACGGACCTAAAACTGAGACACCCATTGTTTGGCTCTGGTACTGCAATTTTATATTTATTTTTAACGATTTATAAAATTTTAATCATGATATGTAAATTATAGATTTTGAAGCCCGGTGTAACCTCTTGAATGATGCAACACTTTCAAGTCAAGATAATTCACCACGGAAGACAAAAAAGATAAAGTTGGAGCCCTCGGACATTGATGTTATTGATATTGAGGATGAAGACTCCAGCAGCAAAGATCATCATAAGAAAAAGTTGAAGAGGAAGCGAGACAAATATGATATTGAAGGACTTCCAAAGAAAAGAAATCATAATGATAGTTAGATAGAGTCAATAAAATCCAAGGAATTCCTATAAAATGAATGTTTATTTTATGAATTTCTCAAATGTATGGTGAGTGTGTTTGAACAAAAATTAATTAATGATAGCCCAGATGAGAGCAAAAATCTCGATTACAGCTCATCACGCTCTTCTGTTTTAACCTCTTCCTCTGTTTCTTCAATTTTGTTTTGCCCGTCTTCAGTGCTAATACTGGAAATTTAATTTAGAAGTTTATTGAAAGTCAAATCAAATTCGGTTGTAATAATAGCGACAATAGCAAGATACTTTTGAAGCCTACATCTGCTCGGACTAATCTGCCATTTTCATGTATTAATTTCAACATAATTATATTTGGCGCTCTCAACATAGATGCAATGGAGTACACAGACTCAAGACAAATCCCATGATGACCATCACAAGAGAAAAGTTGAAGCATAAGCAATACAGACACGACATTAAAGAACTTTCAAATAACATTAAGAAATGTACGGAAATGAAAATTTATTTTATTTTTCTCATATACACATAACAAACAGACAAACAATGGAATAATGAACCAAATGAGAACACAAATCCTGATTACAATTCGTCATGCTCCTCTGTGTTAACTTCCTCCTCTGCTTCGTCAGTCTTGTCTTCTCCACTTTCATCCTCATCGGGCTATTGAATTCAAATTTTTTACTACTGCTGAAGACCCTTTGTCGGACGTGAGACCCATCGAGACCGTGCTCCAGACCATTGGTATCAGTGGGTCTCAATGGGTCTCACATCCAACAAGGGGAATTTAAAATTTAGTTTTTGTACCTTCTCATCTGGGGAAATGCCTAGAGTCTTCCTCATCATTGCTTCGACACTGGCAGCAAACTCGGATGTATCTTTAAGCATGTACCCCGACCTCAGGGTTGCCGTGCGGAACATCATGAGAGCCATGTCTTTAGCAGTAGGATCGGCAGGGTCATCTTCGACTCTTCGCAGCAGTTCTTTAATGAGAGGGTGGCGAGGATTCACCTCCAAGACCTAGAAGGATTTTTAAAAAAAAATACATAACGTTAAATAATCATGTTACCTTCTTCTGGTTGAGATAATAAGTCCGCTGTGGGTCATCTGTCTTCTGATGGGCATTGGAAACTGCAAGACGCTCCATGTTGCCAGTCCAGCCAAACATGCTGGCGACAAGGGCACATGGTGAATCGGACAGCCTTTCAGACAAGGTTGCTTTGGCAATGTGATTCTTGAGAGCATCGTCATTGAACCATTTGATCAGAGGCTCAAAGCGGGTTTTCAAGGCCTCCTTCTTTTCCTTGTCAGATTCCGAATCTGCCAATGTAAATCCTTCTTTCGCAACATTTTGGAACTTTTTTCCTTCAAACTCTGGCAAAGCAGAGATGCAGTACTCATCTACGGCTTCGACAAGGTACAGAACCTGAGGATATAAACGGTTAGTATTTTGTAATTATAAATTTTATTGGTTAATTTACCTCGTAACCCTTCTTCAGAAGCCTTTCAACAAATGGCGACTTGGCAACTTCATCCCTGTTAGCTCCGGCAATGTAGTAGATGTGCTCCTGATTGGGCTTCATTCTGGAGACATAATCTGCCAGACTAGTCAAGGCAGAGTCATAGGAGGAAAGGAACATGAGCAGCTTAGCCAAGCGTGTGCGATTAGCAGAGTCTTCAATCACTCCCAACTTGATGCTAAAGAATAGGGTCAGTCTCATGATAATAAATAAAAATTACTTCAACACTTACTTTGTGGAATATTCTTTCCAGAACTTTTCATATTCATCTTTGTCCATTTTCTTCAACATGTCCAGTGCCTTGCGGACAAGTTTCTTCTTAATGATTTTAATCAACTTGTGTTGTTGCAGCGTTTCACGAGACACATTCAGAGGCAAATCATCAGAGTCCACAACGCCTTGGATGAAGCTCAAATAACTGGGCATCATATCTTGGAGGTCGTCACTAATGAAAACACGGCGCACGAAAAGCTGAAAATTCACATCAAAGATCAGCAATGTCCTTTAAAAAATTCCTCCCTCCTACCTTGATGTGGTCGGTTTTTGTTCCATATCGATTGAATCCCTCACCAGGTTGGGTCTCGGGAACAAAAAGAAGGGACTTGAAAGTGACTTCTCCCTCGGCAACAAAGTGCACTTTAGTCAAGGGGTCTTTGGTGTCCTTGGTCAAGGTTTTGTAGAAAGCATTATATTCCTCCTCCTCAATTTCTGTAGGCCTAAAATATAAATAGTAAATACACAATTGCATCAAAATCTTGTGTAGAAACATACTTTCGGGTCCAGATGGGCTTTGCTTCATTTAGCTTTTCCCAGTCCCAAACAGTTTTCTCCACTTTCTTGGTCTTAGGTTTTTCTTCCTTTGCGTCTTCCTCTTCAACCTTTCCATCCTCATCGTCAGCAATATCCTTCTCTTCCTTGGTTGCTTCCTCTTCAATGGGCTCCTCTTCAGTGATTGTCTTGCTGGCCCACAAGTAAATGGGGAAGTTGATGAACTGTGAATATTTCTTCACAAGGTTCCTGATAGTTTCAGGCTGTAGGTAATCGCTGGCTTCTGGTTTCAACTGAAGGCTGATCTGTGTTCCTCTTGGTAAAGTGTTTCCCCTTGGATCCTGAGCAATGTTGAAACTGCTTGTGTCACTCTCCCAGATGTATTGGTCATCATTGTTGTTTTTGCTGGTGACAACGACATTATCAGCCACTGAAAAAAATGTCAAATACATATATAATGAGTTTAAGCAATGATAAATCAACAAAAAATTACCAAGGAAAGCAGAGTAAAATCCAACACCAAATTGGCCAATCATATCGTTGGTGTCTTGTGAATCCGAGTCTTCTTGCATTTTAGTTAGGAATTCTGCTGTGCCTGATTTTGCAATGGTGCCCAAGTTGTTGATTAGATCATTTTTAGTCATTCCGATTCCGGTGTCTATAACATGCAGCACCTTGTTGTCAGGGTCGAGCTTAATTTTAATGGCTAGATCAGGAGTGGATGACAACGCGGAAGGATCTGTTAACGACAATAGTCTTATTTTGTCCAAAGCATCTGAGGCATTCGAGATCAGTTCTCTAAGGAAAATCTGCAAATTAAAATGAAGGTGATTATTTTCATGCTCAAATTAAGTAATATGTATTCTGTAGTTCTACCAATAAGCAATACAAATGAAGATGTTTATTATTTAATAATACAATAAATTTACCTCCTTATTTTTGTACAAAGAGTTGATGATCAGCTTCATCATTCTATTCACTTCTGCTTGGAACGTGAATTTCTCTGCTTTTTCCCTGAGCTGTTTAAATTGTGCGACATTGAGACCGTCAAGTTTTATTGCTTCCTCTTCTCTTTTGACAGCTTCATCGTCTAAAATCATATCGCGTGTCATTTACAATCGCATATTTCATATTTTTATTTAGAAACAAAATAGCTAACCTGTCCTCAACGCCTCTCTGCTGCTTCCTAAGTCTGGTTCAACAGTTACAGTTTTTATGTCTTCATCCTCATCCGCAGTCACACCAGAGAGCCCTTAAATAATGAGAAAAAATGTGTTTATTTGAGGAGTAACGTGCACACATTGCCATAACAATAATTTCTTAAATTTATGAGCATTTTCTTCAAGCCGGCACATTATTGTTTATCGACGACATCAACAAAACAATGAGAGCAGTGCATAAAATCATAAATACACACCTGTTAAGAGCAGAATTCCCACTGCTAGTAAAAAATAATTTTTCTTCATTCTTAAATGCGAAGATTTCTGAAAAAAGATACTCAGAAGCAGAAATTTCTGCCCTTCTGGTTCTACCCGCAAAATGAAAAGTTGTCACTCTTCGACATTCAAATTCGAACTGCGAGTTTACGTGTTTAAGCAGCCCCTAGTATAACATGAGTTGAGAGCGACGGTCGACGTGCACCAATAATATGGTACCACGCGAAACTTTTCGGCCAATCAGAACATGCTATCTGGCAACCAGCTGGAATAGCATGCTACCGCAACGATTCTCATTGGCCCATCTCTCTCGCAATAAGAACAAGCAAAATTTCACAAAATTTATTCGATTGATAATACAAATCAAATTATTTAACAATTTGTCACCGTTGTAGCTGTTCTCAAATATTATTTTCCTTCTATGATTTAAAGATTATATCGATTATATTATTCCAATCAAACGTTTTACACATATACCTTATATTAAAAATATTTTGTAAAAAATATGTATTAAATATTTGAAGATAAATTTAATTTTCAGCAATAATTTTCTGTGATTTGTTGCTATTCTAATTATATTCTTTGCATATCAGAAATCCTAAGCAGGATAGAAAAATTAATTACTCCAAAATTTAATGGTTCAATACAGTTATTTATTTGATGAAAAAACAAAATACTATTCAAGGATAAATATCTCTCCCCAACATTTCAATATTTTTATAACAACAAATATCGAATTTAACCGCATTATCAATTTGCTTACTAGATTAACTAAATCCATGGAGATCACATTCATACTGCAGAATCAGTCCATGATTTATTTTAGTAATGTCAGTCAGAAAGATCAGTTTGATGGACGAACCTCTTTATTGATGTCCTGTAAGACTTGCTCCCAGGCAGACTGAGACTGGAAAATCACAAACTTAGTTTTAGTTACAAATCACAACTTTCATAAGTTCAAACCTTCTCATGGAATTTTATTTGCGCATCAGCCATACTAATAAAAAGTTGCTTCAGATCTCTTCTTTTTTCCAAATGCCACCGTTCAAAATCAGCCCTAAGACTCTCATTGGCACATTCAGTTAAGTCTTGTTTTTCCTGATTTAAGAAGAATTTTTAAACTGGCACAAATGTAATACATTTGATATTTCACCTCAGTTTGCTTCATTAAGTCTCCAATGGCTGCGCTTAACTTTTGAAGTCTGTCCTCTTTGTTTTCTGGCACTTTCCAGAAGGCTAAACTATGGCCAATTGATTCTGAACTTGGTCCAAGATCATTTTGGAGCTATATTATTATTGCAATGTGAATCCAAAACTTTGCAATTCTTAATTTAAGTATTACGAGCTGTTTTTCTGCCCTTTTTTTGCCTAATTCCTCCAACACTAGCTCGTATTCAATCTGAGCAGCATCTCTTCTATCAAGCGATTCTTTCAATGCATCTATGTACAAGAGGAACTCTTTCAAAGGTTGGCTGATAATGTGTGGGTACTCATTAATCATAGTCTGCTCTTCGGTGCTTATTGATTCATAAGCTTGGCCAATCGATGAAAGGATATGATCTAGTTCTGGCTCAGTAGTGGACCAGAGGTTGAACACAGGCTGGAGTTGTAGATTTTCAGAAAGATGTTCTGAAAAATAATTTTTTTTAATCACAAGAAACTATTTTATTCCTATACAGACTCTACCTTCCAGTTCCTTGTTAATTCTGTTGCTTATTTTCTCAATGCTTGTCAATTTTTCTGAAAGAAGCTGAGAGTAATTCAGCATTTCTTCAAAGTCTTGAGGTCGGCCTTTCGCCAAGTATATTCCAGAAATATTTTGCAGTGAATCAGTCCATCTGCTAATCAATCCTTGCTTGCTCCTTCGAAGTTGTGTGAAATCCTTGAAAAAGTATTATTAGTATGTTATTATGCTGCCACCTTAGAAACTAATAATTTTGTAAATAGATTAATATTTTCAATAGATAAATTCATCCTGATTTCTCTTACTGTTGGTTTTGCTGATAAAAATCCTTTCAAGTTAGCATCAAAGCACAGAACAGGGTGGTCAGCTAATCTGTTCATGAACTTGTGAAGCATGGCCATGCGATGAAGAATGAATTCCTTAGAATATCTGTCGAGCTGACCAATAAGTGAATGTTTTCCTGGCAGTGGCTGATAAAATTTTAATAAGAATAAATATAATTTTATGAATGAATGCATCTGCTTACTGGAATGAGGTTATTGGGGTAACTTCGAACTAAATTTTCTCGGAGCCAAAGAAAGTCATTGAATCTTCTACGAACCATATACTCAGTTTCCTCGAACTCTGCTCTTGATGTCTGAAAAAATAATTATTGACACACTAGATTATTAAGAAGAAGAAAATACTCCCACTAAAGATTTTTTTAGAGGGAAATGAAGTTTGAAACATTAAAATTTGCGTACTTTTGTGGTTACTCTAAATGTGATGTACGTCTCTAACGCACTGAGGTGTTTCTGAGGATTATCAACTCTAATTTGCAGATCTCGCCCATCCTCATGTAGATCACCAATGTCATCTTGGTCTTGCAAAGTTGAGAAGCTTTCAATCGATGGTGATGCAGCCTAAAAACAAAATTAATTTATTTCTGCCTTTTCTTCATTATTAAAAATTATTAAATAATGATATCTCTATGATTTATCATAAGTTAGAGATTAGAGCATTCTTTTCTCCCTTACAACAGATCCTTCAAAAGAGGCACTACAGGTTGAAAAGGGTTCATCAATATCATGACACCCATCAGATCGTGTCACTCCCTTACACTCTGTTGTAACGTCTATTACAGCCCCTGGGCTCTCCATTTCACATACAGCAGCCTAAAAAAATATTATTAGATAAAGAGATTTATGTTTAGAGAATTTTTTGTTTAACAATGAGCAGTAATATACATAATAAAGGTATAATAATGCAATAATAATTAATAACATATGCATGAGCTGCGAGTTACAGATGTTACAGATAAGCTATTATATGTTTACATATTTCTTATTGTTTTCTAAAAAAATCCGACACTCATACCTACGTATATGTACCGTCGCAATTGAGCTCCAAGTCCAAAATTACGGTAAACTGAGACGAAAGTTATCGGAAAGAACGGCTCAGCTTAACAACACGGAACTCTTAACTTCCTAATATGTATCTAAATATTTTCCGCAACTTTTAGGAACTTATTTTGGTTTATTTATACTTGCGGCCACACCCACGTGAGAATAAAGTCGTCAAGGAGGTAATCGTGGTTGTCGTCTTCCTTCCAAATTCCAAAGAGCTTCGACGATTTTGATTGGCTAAATATCCCTGAGGGAGGATCTCCTCCTTTTTGATTGGTTATTCATATCTCAGAATCTCAGAATCGTAGCAAAATCGAATATTTACAGTTGTCGTAGCTTGTTAGATCTTGTACTTTGCACAAATCCGAAAGCATTTCACAGGAAAGGAAAAGGGACTAGAACTGTGATATAACCATCCATATTCTGCCGAATCTTCTCTTCATGCTTTCCTCTGGTAGTTCTGTTATTCCAACCAAGAAGACCTCTTGATTCCAACCTCGTTCTCATCTCAAATCTCAACGTGCTCTTTCGTTCTGCCTATGTTCTTAACTATACTCGGGCCGAATAATAAGGCGAGGTTCATTCGGCCTGCGGAATTTTGTTCATGATCGCGGCTTGGTGTGTGCAGGGCTGCCTAGAAATCACACAGAGACCACGAGCAAGAGCAAGCAAGAGCCATCATGGCCAAACGCTGACCACCACACATTACATACATTATACTCGCTTAATCTGATTTGCTGTCTATTTGTAACAAATCTTCTTAACATCTCAGTAAGTATTTTTTTTAATAAAATTTTACATCCATTAAATTTTGTCTGCCAAACGTTTTAATTGAAGTTCTTTGTAAAACTCAAAAATTTTTGTAAAGAATTGAAGCCGTCCATTTCCAACGTGTTAAAACCAATTTAAATGCATTTTATTAAATTTAGGTATAATGTAGATTCCGTCAGTTGAGTCCTTCAAGCTCTCAGTTTTATCCTAGTTTATTTGTTTTTTATTTGCTACATGTAAATGTATTAATTAACTATATACATAAATATCATAGTTATGCCGGTTACGGTTACTTATAACATGATAACTTTTCTTCTTGTTACAGAAAAGTGCAGAAAAGCATTCATTGAAGATTAATAGCAATGGCGATCCAAGATTTGCAGACTTTTATCCAGACCTACGCCCCTGGCGGATGCGTTTCTATCGACCTGCTGAAAATTGCTGCCAGAAATAGGAAGGCACAACCACCTGGTCGAAGACTTAGGCTTGTACTTGATGCAGAATGCTGCCTCGACAGATTATATGGTGGCTTTTTCTCAGGTGATGTGTCTTTGTTAAATTATTGTTGTGAAATTTTTTTTTTCAAATCATAAGAAAAATCTGTAAACTGGTATTAAATGTAATGGAATGAAATTAATAATGGGCAACTTAATTTTTCAGACTGGGCTAGTGGTGGCCAGTGGAATAGAATGGTGCAGTTCTTGTCTACTCTGATCCAAAATATGCAAGCACATGGGATTGAGCTTGTTGTTTTCTTCAACGGCTGCCAGGAGCTGGATAGAATTGAACAGTGGCAGCAAGCACAGCAGAGTATCTACCACAGAGCCACATCTGTGCTTCGCCATCTTGCCTCTAAAGGCACACCGCCTCCAAAAGTTTGGTGGATACCTCCTGAGTGCCTCCGAACTTGTCTCAGAATGGCTTTGAGGCATCTCAATGTCTCTGTGGTATATTTATAACTATTATTATTCAGCAAATTTCTTAACGCTCATCTCGAATTTAGATGTGTAGTATGTACGACCACAGGCAGGAAGTAATTGCTTTCTGCAGAGAAAACAATTATCACGGTCTTCTTGTTGAGGATCCCGAATACGCAGCTTTTGACCCACCTCGATACTTCTCTTCACAGCAGCTGAAACTCACTTACAAGGTTTAAATACTTGATTTCAATAGCACAATAATTGATGTTATTAAAATTCTAGGGTGCCCTTGAAACAAAGGAGTACCTAATAGGAAAAGTTGCTGAAGCATTGGAACTTCCCAATAATAAATTGCCTATGGTTGCCGCGCTCTTGGGCAACCATCTGATCTCTGAGGAGAGCTTGGATTCATTCCACCGCAAAATATGCCCAGAGCACCAGTCAGGAAAGGTGTGATGCAGCAGCTAATAGCTTCTGTACATATTTAAATGAAAACTTTTATAGATACCCTCTGATGTCATCGTAAAAGCAATAGCTTCATTTTTGAATGGACTAGGGTCAATTTCTAATGATGTTGATGAAATAGTTGATCAAGTCTTTCCTGGGCCAGGAGCTTCCCACTTACGAAGCAAATTGCATGCTGCATTCAAATATTACATGAATGGTACAAAGGAAGGATTCCTCAGTTACAAAAGTGGAGCTAAAGGTTTGTAGCTTTGAACTCTACTGCATTATTGTAAATTTGCAAATTCTTTTCAGGCCGAAATGGCAAATTGAAAGGGAAGGCAAAGATAGATGCAGATAAGACATCTCGAGCATTAAAATTTGCCTCTGATGCATCTAGCTCCATTGAAGCTATACAATCAACTCCATCAATTAAAGTTGATCCTCCTACTTCTGACGAACAACCTAGTGAAAGTAATTTTTAACAATGCAAACAATGGATAGCTTCTTAAAACTAACTCAATTTTTAGTCGCTAATGGACTTGCTAGCCTTCAACTAAGCTCTTCAAGCTCCAGCAGCACAAGTAGTGCTCCCTCTCCAAATCCTACTGGGAATGAATGCGAATTCAATATCTCAGTCTTAGTGTCTGCAGAGGTGCTGAGAACTGCCAGTGAGCGACATACAAAAGGCATGATGTCTCCCCAGATTTACCAAATCCTCAGTCACGGTCAACTTCGACTGCCAGCTATACTTGCAGATGAAACAGAGCTGCCGCCTGTGCACTTATTTTTCAGGCCTCTACGCCAAATGGTAAATAATACTGATGACTACAGGAAGGAGGCTGAGTTCATTTTTTAAGGTCTATGGAGTTCTATTCAATTTGCATCACCTGAGCTTCCTTCAAAGTCACAAGGCAGCCAAAGACAAGGCCTCTCAAATGGCCCATATCAATCTCGATTCAATTACAATACAAGAAATATTGTGGCTCAAAGATTCAATGAGAACTGACAAAGTCAAACCAGAGAGAGTAGGATGGGGCGTGCCCACAGTTCAACGCCTGTGGTTTGGGTAAGTCTTTCAGTTCCTTGATAGGTCACTATTTATTAAGCAAAATTAATTTTTCTGCAGTTCCACTGTTGACGATAAAAGGAGGCGCTTGAGGGCTTTCCTTTCTTGCATGAGATCTGATACAACCATGATTCTCAACCCTCACTATGTGCCACAGCCAATGCTCTTATTTGCTTGTGTTATTAGGTAGTACTTCTCTAAACACAAGCACAAACAAATAATTCGTATTTTTTTTCAGGTACATAATGTCGCACACTGAAAAACCTATACTAAGAAAGCAGGAAATGGACGCTCTGATTGCTCAGGCCTTTTCTCCAGAACTGATGAATGCCAATTTCCTGCAAGATCTCCAAGTAAGAAATTAATAATAACATCTTCTGTTTTCTGTTGATCAATGAGCACCATTTATTCAGAGGCTAACCATTATGGTTTTGATCTTCTGCACACGGGTGCTAAATCAATTCGAGGTTGATCATATTCGTAAGCCTCTTTGGCCTAGGGATAGTCAATTTTGAACATTTTTGTTTCCATTTGTCAACATTTATTGTTCGAAATGGTTTTGTGAAATAAAACTTAATATTTTAGTTACCTAGACTGAATGTAAGAGGTGTTCAACTAGCTGCACTGGTGATGAATGGCATTGAAAATGCCCTACTGGCCAACGATGCCTGTGGAGCACCCATTCCTTGGCTCATGTGCTGCCCATGGCTCTATTTTGATGGCAAACTTTTTCAATATAAATTGTTGAAAGCCGAAAATGTACGAGGACTTCCTGTGAGTTTAATGCCAAACTTAAATGTTCGTTAATTAAAATTAATTTAACACAGGACTTGTGTGACCACCGCATGGAAGATGTCCTTAAAATTGAGAAAATGAAAGAAGCTATTCTGGAAGGTCTCACTCCCACCTTTGCAAGGGTTGCACCCCCTCAACACTTACCACCTCCGATAAGGATGCCAACCCAAGTGAATCTGATGGCAGCTCCTTTGATGTCCGTTTTTCCACCAAACGCAAGGGGGGTGACTCCTCGTGGACGGAACATGGTAGCTGAAGGAGGACGTCTTAGAGTCGCAGGAATTGTTGTTGGGCAGTGGGGTGACAATTATGGTAGCGCTGCAAATGGACGTTCCCAAGGACATCGGAACAATCCTCCATATCAGCATGTGAGCCCATTAATATGACTTGCTGTTCAAATTTCTTATCTGAACCACCATAGCCTGCTGGTAAAGGGTTCATAAATGCTGGAATGCCAAATCTGCATCCAGGCTATAACCCTCGTGGTGATCCAAAAGCAACCCGACTGGCTGTTAGAGGTCGTGGGGCCATCCAGAATGGGCGCCGGGGTAGGACAGCTAAAAAATCCACACCCAATGGGTAATGATTTTAATTTGCAATGCTAAAATCAACTTGTCTGATCTTGTCGCTGATTAAAATTTCAGGACTGTCAGCAAGGGCGGCAAAGTCAGCTCAGAAATCAATTCGGCCAGCACGCTTAAGACTGAATCAGGATTGCAGCCAAATGGACACCCTGATGGAAAGACTGCTAGTCTGCAAGAGCCACCTTGCCCGTGAGTTGGTCAGCTGATGCGCTTAATTAAGACTTGAAATGTAGGCCAATTATTGCCTGCTCAACTGATATTTTTCTATGTTTGTTAATTTGTAATACGAAAGTGAGGTCCCTAGGAATTTTCCTTAGGGCGCCACAAATGTTGCCAACAGGTAGGAACGGTTGTGAGTGTTCAATCCAAAAGAAATTGTGATGAACCTTGTGATAAAATCAAAGATATTTTGACAGAAACAAAACTCGTGTTAGGCATGCCGTGTAGATTTCTTTGCATTGAATACTTTGAGCCAGCCGCAAGGTGCCTAAATCTCTGGGCTAGCACCTCGGTATTTTTGTAAATGCTACTGTTTCTACCAATCAATGGCCAGTGGCCGCTCAAAACTTCATGATGCCCACTACAATGCCCACTCACTACCAAAACACAGTCTGAAACTGGCTAAATGATGCCACGAAGAAAACAGAACTGTAAAGTCAAAAATTAAAATACCTGGACGGAGACTTCTTGCGGAGTTATCTGCAGTCTATTGGTGTTACAACCACAAATCACTGGAAAAAGCTTAACTTGTTTGTACTGCTGCCCGAAATTTAATTTTAAATCTTTTGCAAGTTAATTTTTTTTCCGTAAAAACATTTTATTTTTATTTATTTAAAAGCAGTTGACGCAGAGATTGCAAAGCAGATTTTGGTTACACAATTGCCTCTCCTTTCATAATTTATTGTTTAAATAAAAGGAATGCAATGCAATGTTTGTCCAGTGATACAAATAACAGTGCGAGAAAATATGTAATTATTTTTAGCTAGCTAGCTAGGGTCCACTGAATTTTTCTTGCTTTATTTCAACAGATTAAATTTAAATAATAGGAAATCAAACGACAGAAAAATTTAATGTATTCAATCAAACAATAATATTGTTGCATATTCAATGGTAAAATGTGGAAGTGTTTGCCTCAAAACTACATAAAAATATAATGCTGTAACATATTTATGCAAACTTTGGTAAGCTACCAAAAGTACAGCTTGCTTTTAATTTTATTAAATGCTCATTGATTGTTTGTATTACAAATTAGTAAATTGATGCGGCTGCCTGTATATCCAGATGCAAAAGTTATCATGGAAAAAAATTGTTTATAACCCTTAGTTAAAATAAAAAATCCGTGTTGTCATTCTATTTGTTAAATAATCTACGGAATCAAGTAGTGTACGACCATCTGCAATGGAAAATAGAATTTGAAGTACTTTAATGGTGGAAATTTGCTATCGGGAGTAAAATAGAAATAGAACAGTATGTGTAACTATTTGTATAACTTTTTTGCTTACCAACCCAGTGGACCCTGTGGATTACACTTACGAACAATGAAACTTTAACTGTTACATACATTTTAGGACCCGCAGTTTGACGTTAATTTTAAGAACTGCTGTTTATCTAATTTGAAAACTCTTGCCCCCTTCACACACTGCAAAATTAATCAATATTTATAATCTCAACTGCTATGATGCAGTAAAAATTACATTGTATTCCCTTAACCACAAAATAGTCTTATTGCTTTTGATGCTGAAGAACGGAGTTAATCTTTATGTAAATTCTCATGTCATCATCTAAATCAATCATTCATAAATAAATGATCAACAATTTGTGCTGGCTGGCGTGACATAAGAATAAAACCTCTCAACAAATATAAAATGATTTAATTTTTCAGTCCTGCCAAATGTTGTGCAATGTGCTGAACAAGAAAGAATTATTATCTTAAATGCTCATTTGACATTAACATAGTTATGTTTAATGTAGGGGTTTAAATTATTTGGAAAAGATTTTTCAATGTTTTTTTTATATATTCCTTTATTCTTTTACCGTGCCTCATTTAGATACAAATTATTCAATAATAAAAAAAATGTGGTTCAGAATAGTAATCATGACTAGTTGGACCTACTAATTCAATAACATAAACAGCTGAATTAAATGCGTTGCATAAAATTATTGTTAGCAAATTTTTATATTACAATCACAGACTGCTCTGTCCATGGAGCAGAGTGTGTCGATTATATCTTGATTACATAATTTAATTAGGATCAAATCTGTCGTTAACCACACCTCCACAGCATTTTTGAAGCAAACTTGGCGGCGTCCCATATTTTGTCCGAAAAAGCACGAAATCTTGAATGTCCGAAATATTTGCTAAGACACCTTGTCGGAAGGGACTTTTACCATTTTGCATCAATAAAGTCAAACTAACCATTTGACCTTACTGATCTACATATTTTAATAGGAATTTATCAATTGAATTTTTTATTATTAAATGGATTCCTTGCCAGGAATATTCAAACATTCAATTTAACGTTGTTGAGAAATGAAATTTAATTTTCGGACAAATTGTATTTCGGCTTTTGGACAAAATATGACAACCCAACTTTGCAAGGAAAGTTAAGCTTCCACAATAAGCTCATTACTTCACCTTCTTTTTTTCTTGTCACCTTTTCTGCGGTGGTGTCCATGAGGTCGTCTCGGAGTATTGTGAGGACTACTATGGTTTGAGTCTTCGTCTGTTCCTTCATCCTAAAACAAAATAATGCACGGTAAAATGAAGTCAATTTTAATATCTTTCTCATTAATTTATAACCATAAAAATATTTGGCTCTGTAGAAAAATAGCAATAAAACTGAGTTGGCAAAATAAATACAAAATGGTGATGTATCCATTGATTTACTGAGTGTGTATTTATTTTACTGCGGACAAAAATTATATTAAAATTTAAGTAAAAAGTAATTAGCTAAACGTAGAATGATCAATATGAGGGAATTGATTACCAACTTAAATTATGTGCAATTGTGCGTTTTGATTCTAAAATGACGAAAAAAATAATATAAAATTTATTTTTACCTTCGGTGAATCCAAATATTTCTCTGGAATAACAATAATAGCTGCTATACAGAATAATTGAAATACTGCGCCTATGTAAAGTCCATATTTAAGCAAAGTCTCCATGAAAGTATCCGGGGCGATTATTCCATTAAAATCTTCTCTGTAAAATTCAAATTGGTGTATTTCAGCGTTAATAGAACTAAACATTGTGTCTTCTTCACTTACGATTCAGCCATTCTTCTTCAGGGTGGGTTCTTTGGAGGAGGGACAAATTATTTATTTGGCCGACGAAGTTTTTATTTCCGACACATCTCAGGGTGTAACTAGTGGAAAGTCAGCGGTACAGCTCATTTGATGTGATTTGATGTATTAAATAATTAAGAACTTAATTCAAAACCAGCAAACTCTAGGTGGATAATAGTCTCATAATCCTTTGCCGTAAATTTTGTGTTTAGTAAACTTTGAAGCACACAAATTTCATGTAGTTTGCGATGTTTTGTATTTTGGCTTTCGAATAACGCGCCTTCGCGGAGAGGACGTTTTAGTTCTCCTGCCGGCCACTCGCCGTTGCATGCAAGATCAAGCGGCTAATGTGGCGCTCTAGTACTACTTCCGATCGGTGGTTCCAGACTCGCGGATCCGTGCCCGCTTTGCCTTGTAGACCCCGTAGCAGAAAAAGCCGCCATATTTCTTTAGTTTGCAAACGATGTTTGTGTCTGTAGGCAATATCAACACTGTCTCTTCCCGAACACCGCCCGTTTTGAGTCCGTTTGCAAGATTGAGGCCGGGCCCTTAGGTTCCCGAAAGCAAGTGGAACTCGTACCTCAACGCTGAAACCACTGTCGGCTCGAAATTTGCAAGAATTAGAGGTTTAATCGACGCCTAAAGCCAGCCTGTCTCGTTGACAACTTGAAAGGTACGCCAATCAACAAAGCCCCCCGATGCCCCCGATGGGCAAAACATTTTGTGTGCCCATTTATGCTCTTTGTCCGTGAGGAAATTTAACTTATTATCAGGGAATTTTGGTTTTAGTCATTAAGTGGCGAAAACGACAACGAGCAATACAATAAGGAGGCGTTCCCGCGATTCGACCGGGGATCGCTTCATCCCACACCGGCCCTTTTACTTTTCTACCACCCTTTAGATGCCCTTGCCGTCTTTTCTAGTTTTAAGTGAAGTTATTTTACCTAAACCAAAAATTTCACATCTGTAGAAACCGTCATTTTTTTTAAATTTTGAATGTAACCAACTCTGAATTAAAAGTTATTAAATATTTATTTACAGAATATTTCTCAAGCTACTCCTTAATTTATTGTTAACTGTATTGTTTGCAATCAATTGCAGATCATCTAGAATTATATTACACAATTTATGTGCATGCAGACTTCAATTCAAAGACGGTTGAGACAGTTAGTACTAAGTGTCTGGCTAAGGCCACTATGTATATAAAGTCAACTAGGTAATTAAAATAGATAACCGAAAACAGAGATAGGAGAACTTATATTAATTTTAATGCACAATATTGTCATTGTTTAATTATAATTAATTTATTGTTTTAATTTAAAAATTTCAAGGATCATTTTATTCGACTTGTGATTCACAACACATTTGGCAGGGAATTTCCAAATAATTTTAGTTTAAGAATTTATCAAATAATTCAGGAAAATATAACTTTGATTCTTATTTTTGTGCGTTGGACAGTTTTTACTGAGACCTTGTTTACATTTTACAATATAACTGCAATTGTGGAATGTTTTGACCAATTTTTGTAATGTCATGCAGTTAAAAACAGGAACAGAAAGAACATATATTAGCCTGGAAAATTTATTTCCATACAGCTCTGGGCTTATTATTTCATGTAGAAAAAAATATGATCTAAACCGTGAATGAAATATTTAAATACTTCTTATTTGATGTCAGAGTGTTCTATTGTACATAATATAGCTTTCAAAAATTAATTTTTAATGCCCACTAAATGTCATTGTGGTGGGCGGTCAATAATATTGTTTCTATTGATTAATTTTGTTTTGTTATTGTTGTGCAGCGCAGAAGATCGATTTTAATGTGAAGTAGCACCCGAGTCCTTTTAAGGACAAATCTTGAGTTGGCCGCTCTGTGGCGACGGGGTCGTACTAAGTGTCCATGATTGGTGCGGTCACCAAACACGAGTCCCGTGTGTCCACAAAAATAGTCGCGACGGCCAGCAACGTTACCGAGAGCAATGGTGAGCTATTGCGCATCACCCCGCATCCCCCCTCCATCAGACACTTCTTGCACTGCTACCGGTTGTTGCCCAAAAGCAGGCCAATTTTGCCGCATACCGGTTCTTGGGCGATATCGACCAGGGTGCGTGTGACGTATTCTGGGGTTGTCATGACGACCCCTGATTCACCTGACCGCGTCGGACCTGTGCTGGAGAAATCAATAGTCGTCTGCTTTGAGGCGGTTGCCTTTTTGGCACTGGAAACCGGTTGATCCAGTTGAAAAAATGCGCACTACTTTCCCAAATAAATCCATTTTTGCGAAAAATGCTGCAAATGACTTCCTTTTGAGAAATATACATTTGTGTCGGGTGTAAATATTTTGATTCAAAAAGAGGGTGTAACGGAGCATCGGAATGCGCGATCGCGACTGGGATCCCAACAGGGCCCCTCTTAATTAATTAAGCACCAACGCCACGGCTGGTCGGGCTAATTTTGTCCCACAACCCAAACTAGCGCGATACAACAATGGATAGTGAGAGTGATGCCTGGTCTTGCGATTTTTGGAGCTCTTTTTTCCAAAATTATAAAGGCGTTTTGCGGCCACGCCCCTTGTTAGGTGAAAGCATAATATATCCTTTTTGGCCTCGAGTTTGGGTGCATTTTGTTTGGCAATAAGGCCTTGACCAAGCTGAGGCGGTGTTGCCGCACCTTCAAACAAATCTTTGGAACTTGCTTAAATTCAGCCAGCGTAAAAACTGCGTTGATGTTCCTCCGACAATCATTAATGGGAATTTTAAAAATAAATCAAATTTATCAATCAATCGTCTTGTCAAAGGAAAATTCAAAATTTAAAAAAAAAGATATTTAAAAAAGTTATGTATTATTTCCTCACCTCAATTAAAATGAACGACTTTGAGAGATTAAATGATTTAAAACATTTTCTCCTTTAACTTGCAGTTGCTTGTTGCTGTCAAAACGTCAGTGCCATCAGTGATCCAGTGCTCGGAGGGTTCGGGGGCGCACCAAGAGCACTCCTCCACACTCAACCTGCCCCCGACACTCAGCAATGCCACCCCCACCGTCCTCAAGAGAGAGCTGCTCTCACCTCAGAGGCCAACACTTAACAACAACGCCCCCGGTCACGAAGAGGCTGACCTGATCCTGCAGTTGGGCACTGTTGTCACTACTACACTCAACCGAGTTGAAAAGCCCTCCAAGGATCCTGTTATCACATTCAAAATGGATCAGCAGTAAGTTTTTCCTCTCATCCAGTGCTGAACGACACTGAATTAAAAATAAACTTAATTTTGATTTTGAACAACCTGTTTCAGATCGTGCAGGACAGAAGCACGCTCTCAAGTCGAGCAACCTAAGTACAAAGCTAACAGCCACCCTTCGTATCATGCAAGTCTTTGGATTATTTTATTCGTGCAGAAAAAATTTACAATTTTTTTTAGTTCGTCCTACAAGACCACAATTATGGGGCGCCGCCCCCACCAACACCACCTCTTTCACCATCTCCAGCGGCTCAACCACAAATCAAGCATAATCATTTGATCCCACCCCCACTCTCTGCTCACGATCTCTCTGGTATTAGGGCCCTTGCAACTGTAGCTGACCAGGTTAGTAGTTTATTACCACTTAGCAATCTCTGTTTTATAGGCAACATAAACATCTAATTTGTAGATGAGGTCAGGGGTTAACTCGCTGTCGAGTATGCTGATGAGTCAAGATGACAACTCTCGAGGGTCGATGATTAGTTCTGGCGACGAAGGAAATGATAGAGGTTTAGAGGGTGAGGAAACTGAGACAGCTGCTGAAGGAGAAGGAGACGAAGACAGTGTGACAAGGTGTATCTGGTACGTAATTTTTAGTCCTGTGCTATGAAATGTGTATTGTTAATTTTGTTTATGTTTACAGTGACTTTGAGCATGATGATGGCTACATGATTTGTTGTGACAAGTGTCTGTAAGTGGTTGCCTACACATACTTGAATGGTGCTTTGAATGATATATTATTTTCAGGGTTTGGCAACATGTGGACTGCATGGGTATTGATAGGAATAATATTCCTGAGGAGTACCTTTGTGAACAGTGCCAGCCACGCAGGGTAGACAGAACTAGAGCTCGAAACTTGCAGCTTCGGAAGCAGATGCACAATGATACCAGCTCCTCGGATGATGAGCATGGTCAAGCTAATAAAGCAGGGCCTCCAAATCAGTTCAAAAAGTATTAAGAATAGTTTAACCATATTATTTGATACATTATAAGAAAATTCATTGCAGATTGGGTAACAACTCTGGAGTAAGAAAGAGGCCAGTCAAGAAAGAAACTAAGAAGGTTGTGAAACGCCAAAAAAGGGACTCTGCTGCTGTAGCCGCAAGGGAGCAGAGAGCAAATGAAAGGCGAAACAACAAGAAAAAAGAGTTGAATAACCTTAACTCTACCCCTATCAAGACTGATTCCAAGAAAATTGCTGGCAGGAGAAGAGTAAGAGTGTCATTAAAAAAAAAACTAATTTTAATAATCTTCTTCTCAGAGCAAGGGAAAACCAGAGTCTGTTGATGAAGACACTCAGGACTGCTGGACGTCTAACGTCCCTTTAGCAAGCCAGCCACAGCAGTTGAGGCAATGGATAGAGCAATACGAGGAGGCAGTTACAAATCATTACTCCCCTGAGTTGCGAGCACGCATTCAGGCTATCAAAGTCAATGGCATCCACTCTGACTTCAAAGTCGGGCCGGTTGTCATTCAGAAGTGTAGAACTGTACTTGGGGATTCTGGATCTAAAGTACTACTGGCTGCAGCAACTTTGCAAGCTAACCAGCCCATTATGGAAGTCCGTGGCAAGTTTATGCTTGCTGCACAACACTCTGTGAAAAAGGCTCAACTAGCGTCCCCTTACCTTCTATTTTATCAACTACCAAAAGAAAACACAGAGATATGCGTAGATGCTAGAACTTATGGAAACGACGCCCGATTTGTGCGTAGATCTTGCTGTCCCAACGCTGAGGTCAAACATTGCATTGAAAAGGGCGCTTTGCATCTGTACCTGGTGGCAGCTAGTGCCATTGAGAAAAATCAGGAAATCACTATCAAGCATGATGAACCTGTGAGGATACCTTGCAAGAACTGTCCGCCGCTGACCCCAAACCTGGATATTAAGAAGAATGGTCACGCAGAAGTGAACGTTGAGTGAGTAGATGAAACTTGTTGGTAAATTTTTTTAGTGTTTCTTAATTTTTTAATAGAAAAGTGGAAAGGAGGAGACGAGCAAGCAGACGAAATACAGAGGAAAGTATTCCTGATCTGTCACCAGCACCGCCTGTATTACAGGTCAACACGCCATCCCCAACATTGTCAGCGCCTGCTATTACTCCAAATACAGCAGCTCTTGCAATAGCTGTACCTTCAGCACCCCCAAATCTTGTTGTCCAGCTTCCTCAAAGCACTCCAAAGAAGCCCCCAAAATCGCCAGTGAAACAGATGCCAACACCAGAAAAGAGCCAGGGGGAAGACAGCAACGATGAGGAGTCTCCTGGCAGTATGAACTCTCCAGACAAAAGGAAAATGACTCGGGAAGAGCGCAAAATGGAGGCCATCATGAAGGCGTTTGAAAGGTTAGAAAAGCAAGAGCAACGGAAACAAGCACAGCAACATCACAGGCGGTCTGAGAGGGATTCTAAGGATTCCGATTCCTCGGGAAGATTTCGAGACGAGGCAGACATGGACTTAGAAATTCAACCTGTCAAAAAGAAAGGGTTAGTACATAAAAATACTCATCAATTTGTTTTCAGTTTTCATTATCATATTTTGATACGCTTATTTTCCCTCAAACGTGCAGTGATGAGTAAACAAGAATTAATTTCTTAATTCTGCTCAGGAGGCGGATACGCGGTCGGAGTAGCAGTGGAGCATCAAGTCAAGTTCTCTCTGCAGATGAGAATTCAAGTGGAAGCCACCTAGTTCTCTCTCCAGGCAGTGCTTCAGCCAGTGCCTCTCCGAGAGTCGTTTCATCACCTCCTCCTTTGGGCTTCAAATTCCCTAAAACTAAAAAGGTGAATTGTCCACCCATTGCTTTCCCACTGCATTTGATTAATCAAAAACTCAATATGGCAGGTGCTGATGAACGAATGGCTAAACAAACCAGAACCGCCGTTGAGTCCGTTGAAGTTGGAAGATGGAGATGGTTGTGTTGGAGGGGCAGCAGCAGCAAAGAAAAGATGGTTGAGGCAAGCTATCAGTGAAGAAAGCGAGCCAATCCCAAGTAGCAGCCCTCGTTCTGTATCTCCGGATTATGTAACCCCATTGAAGAAGAGACGTCTAGCTCGTGAGTCACTAGAGCAACAACAGTCTTACACACCCCCTGCTACAACAGCATCGCCTGAGCCCGAAACAGAAGTCCCAAAACCTGCTCCCAATTTGCCTTTGCGTTGCGTCGAAGAGGCCGTTTTGGCTCTCTCTGGTCACATCGGCATCAAAATTGAGCCAAAGGAGTCTCTGCCCCCTGTATTGTCACCTCCGCCGGCAATCCCAATTTCAGCCTCAACCGTGATGGCCTCTGCTCCAGAGCTGAATGCTGTTGCAGAAATACCTTTGCTCTCATTAGCGCCAAATATTCCATCAACTCCTACAAGCCTCCCTCTTTCTTTGCTTGCCAACCCTGTGCCACCACCGCCACCACCTCTGCCAGAGTCTCCCGTAAAGGCTCCAAGGGAAATAAGTCAAGAACTACAGCTTCCAGCTGCAATTTCTGTACCCCCTCCTCCAGCACCTGTCATTCAAGCACCAGTACCAGCAGCAGTCAAGAGAAAGGTATTTAATTATATCGTTGATTTTTTAACAAGAGTCTAATACAATTTGTCATTTTAGCTCTCAATATCGGAATATAGGCAACGTAACAAACAAAAGGTGGATAAGCCAGAGCTTGCTGCATTTGGACCTAACTCTTCTGCCAGTATAGAGGATCAAGCAGGAGACATGGACAACAAGACAGGTATGTTTGATTACTGAGATAATATGTAAAGTTGAAATTGACAATTTCTTTCTTATGCAGAGGTTCCGAGGTGGAATTCTGAACCTACTAGTTCAGAAAAGCAGCGAGAGAACTTGACGGAACGTTTAAAAAGAGAATTTGGTTTATTTCTAGATGAGCAAGAGAGGGGAGAGAAAGAGAAAGGTAAATTAGTTAACTTTTTTTGTTCCTGTGCTTCTTAATAATCTTGTTTATTTTTTATCCAGTTGAGGAGGTAAATGACCAAGTTTCATTGCTGCCACCTCTTCCACCTTTGGAACCGCCTCAGCCAAAACTTAACGATTCTCTGAACATTCCATTGCCATCATCGCCTCCTCCACTGTTAGATCTTTTGGTCATGGAGTCAGCCCCACCCCTTTTACTTGAAGCGCCCACGCCTAACAACGATGAGGAGGCATCTCTCAATGGACCTTCTCGGCTGCTTATCAAGAGTCAGACGCCAGCAAAAATGAAGGCATCCTCAAAGAAAATAACTTAAGTGGTCACAAACTGATGTGATGACACCACCAAATGGTGTCCAGGTGAACCCATAGTGGGATCCTGTGTGCATAATAATTATACATAAAATATAAAAAAATTCTATATACACTATACAATGGATAAAGTAATTATTATTATTATTGTAAATATTGTGTTTCAAAGTGCCTGCTTTGAGGCTCCTATCCTCGGTGGGTACTTGAGTTTCGTTAATAAAAAATGAGAGGGTCTCATTCTCAATCTTCTATAATACTTTATTAATCTACAAAAATTATTACAAACATTTCCTTCCTACTCGTGTGTGCCAGGAATCCAAGATTTATTCTGAAAATGAAGGTATTAACATCTGTTTTGATACTTTTTAAAATTATTGACCTACCAGCTTAGCAGCTCGGCTTTCCAATATTCCGTATGCAAAATGGTTGAACTATGAGAAACAAAGTTTTAGCATATAAATAAAAAGTATTCGCATTATGATTACAATGAATCCTTTGGGCAAGGCCACCCCTTGGAACCGGTACAGGTTCTTAATTTCAGAATCTAATTTATGGACGGCGGTGACAGTAGCCCTGCCAACAAAGCCCGTGTCTCCAACCATGGGACCCCTGCTTATGTCCACGTGGTTTCCTATCCTATACAGGGTAATCTTGTTATCTACAATATAAAGGAAATGAGCCTCGATAAACGTTTATAAAATATAATAACCATCTGAAAGTTGCGTAGCTATTTGGGGAATTTGCTCGAGCTTGTGAGGATTGTCAAAAAATATTTCCTCTGCGAATTCTGCATCAACAACAAGTCTTTCGAATTTTAGCTCCTCCCTGGCCATGTTAACAAACTGTGCTGAAAGCACCTTCAGTTCATCCTGATGAAATTATTGTCAATAAAAAGTTCACAATATTAATTTCATTCAAGCACTTACATGTGTTGGATGCCATTCAGGCATATCAAGTTGCACGTCATAAATGAAGCTTCCTGTTTTCACTGAAGAAAATAATATAAAATAAATTGCAAAAGAAATACTTCAAATCAAAATTTTATAAACCATACCATTGGGAGAAGGGAAACTGTGAATATTGACTCCGAATCGATCCTTAAATGCATTTTGAGCGACCGCACCAAGGATAACGGAGCAGCTTCTCCAGAATGCTTTGTTGGCATGATAAGGGTCTGCGTCCTTCATTGTCAAAAACTCAAGTTCGCAGTCACCTTCAAACGGACGGTGCATGTCCCACAATTGACCATTCACTCGAGCTAATGCAGAAAGGCCAACAATGGTTTCAGACATATCTGGAAAAAAGCAAATTAACACAAAATTTAGCAACAGGAGAGATAAAAAATAAATAATAAGTACGTTTGGCACAATCATATGGTGTAGACAAGCATTTATTCATCAGAAGAGTAGTTTCTTCAGGCAATCCTTTATATTGGACTTCAATTTTCTCAATTCTTCCAATTTTTGCTTCTTGCCTTTTCTGTTCTGCGTTAAACATACCATTTCTCTTCTTTTCATTAATCTCCTTTTCTGTCAAAGGCTTGGGCTCTAAAAAAATCATTGTACTAATGAAAAATTCTACCATATAGTACACACTATTAGTAATATTATTTTAAAATGTTCAAAAATCTTATTATTTTATGTATTTTTTTTTTTTTTAATTGCACACCCCTTTGAGAAATTCAGCAGTCAGGCCTGGTAAATCTCTAGGGCCGAATTATTTTAACAATAAATTTAATACTATAATTGTAGGATGCGTAATTATGTATTGCCATACGTAAATACCTTCTTCAACTCTTTTTACTCTGGATGCCAGGGATCCTGGTTGGAAGTTAGAGTAGGGCCTTCGCAATTGCGAAAATATCCTCAGGCTCTTCATTTTGTAGGGAATCCTCGAAGAATGCTAAAAAAAAAAAACATCAACAAATTGGAACGTTCATATTCATTTTGGAAGGATCGATTTTCGAAAAGAGCAGCGTTTTTGTACATACTTACCCTTCAAAAGCTTCAAATATTTAGTCCAGAATTCCTTCTGAATATCCAGAATTTTAAATCGTTTTATTATTTTAATTAATTATCTCTGCATAATAAAATGATGTACAATTTTGAAGAATCCTAGCCACTTCTCACGCTTGGCTAGAAAAAGGCCGCATTTATTTTGATGAGAAGTAGAGTGGGCGGGGCCCCAACAGAAAAAGAGTGGGCGTGGGCGAGGCCCCAACAGATTCAACAGAAAACAACAGACACAGAACACAGATATCTAGAATCTCAAAATTTTTTTTAAATTGATTATAAAGGTCTTTGATGAACAATATATTATATTTTCAGGGCGCCTATGTTTAAGAGTATGAAAGACAATGTTTTCTTATCATAGATCTAACAAATAAATTAGTTTTATTTGAAAATTTCTACTCTTCATTTTAAATAATCTTATTACAAACAGCAATTGTTATTTTAAAGGACTGTGGATATTCTTCTCCCAAATTTGTATACATCAGAAACATTATACAAGGTACATTACGATCTAAATGCCTTACACATAATATGTAATGTAAAAATTTCAGCTCTGTGTGAAATGGCCACTTTCTGTGTACAAAATGTTTGTTTACAAAAAACAGTCTTTTTCAATTTTCCATCCACAGACCTTCCGAAAAAATTCTGGTTTGAGGAGCATTATTGGGGAGCAACGCCCCCACTACCTTATCATGTGTATTCTATTAAACAGGCAATAACTTTTACAAGACCAATTGTCACTACGAAGGACTATTTTACTATTTGAACAAAATAGTCATAATTTTCCTTAAAACACGTTAGATGAATTGATTTAATTGATCCATAATTGACAAATAAGAGTAATTGATATATTTTAAAATCGGTATCATTAGGGATTATACCGACACGCTTGAAGAAAATGGAACCTAACTCTTGTAAGAGAGCACTTTTGACATTGAGAGTGCCAATTACTGAATGGAAATTAACACATAGGAGAACCTTTTGCCAAAAGCTACAAATTGATTAAGCTTTATCAGGCAAATCACATTACATACTGCATTAATCGAGATTCATCAAAATCAGGCACATTGAAAATCATTGTTTCCGAATTAGTCTGTGGGCTATCCTCATTATCACACAAGAAGCAAACAACGTTGAAAATCTTTTACATTATATTCGCAGTGCTTCATTTAAAAGTTTGGATTATAAGGAGCTTGACGGTTATAAAAATTGTCTGCTGGCTTGGTCTCTGAGTATGGAGGTGGCATTGGCTGACCTGCGATATTATACTGGTTTAATACTTTTTAATAATACCGATTAATTATTTCTATTCAGTATATAAAATTAATTTAAATAATTTATAAAATCAATGCATACCATGAGGAGGAACAGCCGGGGGATATGGAGCTGCGTGCGGTGGAACAGCTGGAGGGTATGCATCTTGTGGATTCATCATTGGGTAATTCTGCTGAGGCACCATGGCATACTGTTGAGGGTAGCCTTGTGGTGGGTATTGTGGATTGTACTGTTGTTGCTGGTAGACGCTTGACTGTGGGCCGTGCTGGGGCACCGGTGGAGCATCAGTTTGGGCATCTCTCACTACAGCTATTTAGTTTTCAATGAAATTTTAATTAGCAAGTTGCTTATTTTTAATAAAATCCGTCCTCACTGTTGTATACAGCACCACGGTTCCTTCTCTTGTACCAGAAACAGCACGGGCAACACAAGCAGCAAACACAACAGATGACCAGCATAGCAACAAGCATAGACACCAGAAGTGGCAGGATAAATCCAATCCTGAAAAAAAAACAATTTCTTCATATTCATAATCTCAAACTAAAATGGTATACAAACAACAGACAACTTGTAAAATTATGCAACATTAAATTTAATGTATAATTTTTCCAAAATGATTAAATTTATTAATTATAACTGATATAATAATAAATCATTCTAACCCAGACTGCTCGATGAACTCTTCAGCATCGCAGCAGTAGTACAACATTGTGTGTGGTCTGTAGCAACAGTAGCGCTCATCGTCGTCGCTTAAAGGTGGACAAGTGAGGACGTTTGGGTCGATTAAGTTGACGATCTTCCTTTTTGCATTGGCATTGGCCTCACATCGGATCTGTGCCGACACTGAAATTTTCAATAGAAATTAATAATAAAATTAATGGATAAAGAGCACAGTAATTTGATAGCAGAGTGTACTGTTTATTATGTTTTGGTATTGATAATCTCTCTAGCTTAAGAAACAATGGGCTCCATGGCTCGAAAAATATAAAATTTACGTATAATGAGAGTCTATGTAATTACCACCAATTTGGAGTGTCTGCAGCAGGACCACCAAAGCCAGCACCACCCGAAGCAGACGATGCATCCTGCTTGGTCTGTTTTGACTGTTTTACAGACACAATAATAACCTTCCTCCCTGGGATTCTCTAGATTTCCGAGAAACTTGTTTGTCAGTCGATCAGGCGTGGATGAGTCACCCACACCAACATTTAATCCTAGGGTCTGCGACGACTGCGTCTAGTCTTGCTAGCAACCGAAAGTCCACGGTCTCCACCCTTCTCAATACTTCGTCTGCATCCGCTCAGCGCTGGTCTTTTTCTCACGTTTCTTTCCTCAAATTTCCAGGCTTTACATTGGACCGTCTGGAAACTGACGACCAATCCCGTGCTAGCATCGCACCATCCCGGCTAGACACGGGAGAGCGGTAAATTTGAATTATCACAAACATGGGAACAATGAAGAGAACACCCCAAGGTTAAAAATCAGTCACAGACATGTGGATTATTATATTACGGTCGACTGGTTTTAGATTTTTTTTTGTCTCAGAGTAGTTCCAGGCTTGTGGCGTTGCTAGAGCTTCAAAAAATTTATAATAAAGTTGATACATAAACAATTATGCTTCCTCAATTTATGTATTTGTTTATTTCTGATATAAAATGTTTGTTTCATAGTAGGAAAGTTACTTATATTTTAGCAGGAGAATTAATTATGCAGAAAGAGATAACGCTTGATTAGCTGTTCTCCTTCTTTCTTTAAACAGCAACCTTAATTAATTTAATGGGCACATGAAATAAATTAAATTGGTGAAGGTTAATCAATTTAATTCAGTCTTATTATAGTAACACAAAATAATTAAAATAATAATATATTCATGATTCATATTATGAGCAGAGACGTTTATAATAAAATTTAACTATAAATTTTTCTTCTTTTATGCAACTTACATTTTTGTTTACATCAGTCAATTACTAAAATAAATAAATTTTATATACAGTATAATTAATTAAGTAAGATTTATATGCATTAAAATGTAAAAAGTCTCATTATTTTAAAATTGTTCTCTGACAATGAGCTTGTCCCTCCTTATTCCTTCTCTTTAAATAATTTTTTTGCCGTCCTCTACTTATTTTGTTCAAAAGTGTGGATTGTAAGGAGCCTGGCGGGTGTACAATTCAGCTGGCTTGTTGTCGGAGATTTCTGATGTTGGCACTGGGTGACCTGTAATTTTGGCAATGAATTATTGAACAGATGGAAACAGAAAGAATAAACTAGTCAGGCCAATGAAAATCAAAGCTTACCCTGAGAAGCAACTGCAGGTGAATATTCTGCAGCTAGGTGTGGAACAACTGGTGGGTAAGCATTTTGCTGATGCATCAGTGGGTAATTTTGTTGAGGAACCATTGCATATTGTTGAGGAGGATAGCCTTGGGGTGGATATTGAGGGTTGTACTGTAGTTGCTGGTGAACGCTTGACTGTGGGCCTCCCTGATGTACTGACGGAGCTTCAGGTTGGGCGCCTCTTCCTGCAGCTATAGAAAGTTAATTATTAGAAGTTTAATTTTTATTAACAAGATAAAATGTAATATCACCATTCAAAACGACACCACGTTTCTTTCTCTTGTACAAGATACAGCATGGGCAACAAAAGCAGCAGACACAGCAGATGACCACGATGACCACCAACGTAGCAATGAGGAAAATCGCATGAAGGTGCAGGAAGGATCCAGAGTATATAGTCCTAGACAATAAGTTTCATTCTTCAATATAACTTTATTATTTTTTTAATTTAATATTATTTAAACAAAAATGAATAAACTAGCTTTTAACAGTTTGTTTTTCCTATATATAACCAATGGAAAATTCTATGATTATAATTTAAAGAAAAATGAAAAGGTGATGCAATTCAAATAATAAAATATTAATCATTATGCATACTCATGGGATTGTTTGGTAAATTCTTCAGCGTCGCAGCAGTAAGGCACGGATGAGGCTGTGCCATAGCAGCAGTAACGTTCATTGATTTTCCCGTAATAATGAGGACAATCAATGATGTGTGGGTTAATCAATATCTAAAGGACATAATAAGGAATTTAATTTTATGCAGTTACCTTTGAATTAAATTAAAAACACGAATACAAATATTATTATGTACTGGACAAAGGTTTTTTTTAATGTTTGAATTTCTTTTTCTTAGTTTTTCTACTACATAAAAAACTATCTTAATCTACTACCTAAGTTTACTTAAAATATATAGTTACTCACCGAGAGATCGTTTTCGTCACTCAAGTTGTTCCATTCACTGACCCTTTTGGAATTGGGATTGCATTGCAGCAGAGGCAATTCAGCTGCTATAATTAAATTAATACTTATGACATATTTATATATTATGTATTTTGTTTGTCATTTATTTGTTTCTCAACAATTTGTTTGTAAACAATGTGATGTAACAATTTGGACAAATAAACAACAATAATAATAATAATTTTCCTTTGAAAATAACAATAAAAATAATAAAATAAAATACAGAATACAGAATAAATCAGAGTTGGGATATAGCATGCACATGCAAAAATATTATTTCATTGTAATATTTTTATCGGTAAAAAGTAAAAGATATTACATTGATAAAAACTTCGGAAGCAAAAAGAATCAAATTATGAATGTGCATTAAAATATGTACTTGATACGCCTCATACATAACACATAAATTAATTTAATTGTAAGATTACCAGAAATAAGTGTCTGCAGGGCCAGCAGAGCCGGCATCATTCGTCTAACCTGGCGATGCATCCTTTAAAGTTTTAATTCGACATCAACAACCAGCAACTCATAATAGGTTTCCTTATCTGCTCATAATTGTGTCCAAGAAAACAAGGTATACTTTTTATTTTGTCTTTCTGTTTTCCTTCAATAATCTTATTGCCTTGTTTTGATTTTTGGCCCATCCCATCTGGGACCCGGCAGAGGAACGACCAATCACGTACTAGTATTTCCTGATTCCTCACTGGAGGAGCGAAGAGCGGTGAATTTGAATTTGTACACAATAACAAGGTCGAAAATCAGTCACAAACATGGTTTTAGCGAGCAGAATTTTGTCTGGGCTGAGGCAATGCCGACAGCCACTGGTGGGTCTGCTGACCACCTCGGCAGTCCACACAAGTTCTGCATGCCGTATGCTTGTTCCGATCGTGATCGAGCAGACAGGCCGCGGAGAACGAGCGTACGACATTTATTCTCGACTGCTGAAGGAGCGCATAATTTGTGTTATGGGGCCGGTTGGTCAAATTTTATTTGTAGAATTGCTCTGAGAATGTTTCAGAAACGACAGAATTTCTGTTCTTCAAAGATCTTGAGTTTTTATGCAATTCATAGTAAATTTATTGTTGACCTTTTCCTCTCTTGCAGATTCACGACGAAATGTCTTCTCTCGTGGTGGCCCAATTACTATTTCTTCAGTCAGAGAGCAGTAAAAAACCCGTGCACATGTACATCAACAGGTATAATAATAAATTACTTTTAAATGTGGCCTTATACAATTTTAATATTAAAAACTTTGTCAAAAAATTTAAATTCGTGGAAAACATTTCGTCTTACAAAAAAGAATGTTCTCCATAATTAATGATCCCATTAGCCGTACCAAATTAATACAAAGCATAAATTACATAAAATTTGTACTAATAAAAATAAAAAAGAAAGGCAATTTGGTTTGAACCATTGACATTGAGACAATAAATAAGAAACTTATTCAAGTAGTTGAATCCATAGATGTTGAAGTTTATTATAATTTTTCGAATTTTTCATACATGGGTGCGCTCAACAATTTTGCGCTCGCGCTCGCGATCACTGGCAACAAAGCGCTCGCGCTCAAGATTTTGAAAATGTTGCGCTCGCGCTCAAATTTTTAAAAAGTCTTGCGCTCACGCTTTGCGCTCAAAAATATTTTTACCCGAAGAAAAAGTGCGACTTTTAAGACAATTTTTTAATATTACAAAAAATACATCGGCAATTGGAAATGATAAAGTTGAAGTTAAATCACCAAAATTGGGATAAGTTTTAAGGTTTTTGGTATAAAAACACGGTTTTTCATATAACAATTTTTGATCAAATTCGGGAATTTTTACTTTTGGTTTGAGCGCAATTGAGCGCTGCGCTCAGAGACCAATGCGATCGCGCTCTGCGCTTGCGCTCATGAGCGCAGATTGCAGAGCGCAAAGTGCGCTCTGCCCATGTATGTAATTTTTGTTATGCCTTAGCTATCACTTTTTTTTATTCATACAAAATAAGAAACATTAAGAATCAAATTTTTAAATAGCCCTGGGGGAAGTGTGACCGCTGGTCTTGGCATTTACGACACAATGCAATATGTGCTTCCTCCGATTGCAACTTGGTGCGTTGGCCAAGCTTGCAGCATGGCCAGTCTTTTGCTTGCTGCTGGTTCGCCTGGGATGCGCCACTCTCTTCCGAATGCAAGAATTATGGTGCATCAGCCCTCTGGAGGTGCCCAGGTTTGTTGGAATTAGATTTGTTTTGAGAAATTACTAATGCTTTAAAATATATGAGCCAATTTACGATTGTTTTTCTTTTTGCGCAATAGGGCCAGGCCACAGACATCCAGATTCAAGCCGAAGAAATTATCAAAATTAAAAAGCAGATCAATGGATTGTATGTGAAACATACAGGACTGCTTCTGGAGAGAATAGGTTTGCATAAATTTCACTTTGATAATAAAAAAAAATAAAATTTTGAAAAATTTTTAACAGAGGCCAGCATGGAAAGAGACAAATTCATGTCTCCAGTGGAAGCTAAAGAATTTGGGATCATCGACACCATTCTTAATCATCCTCCCAAGATGGGAATTGCACAAGTTGATCCTGAAGAGAATAAAAACTGACTAGCATGAATGCAAATCATCGTTATAGGTGTTAGGGCTGACTTATCTCCGTTTTTCAATTTTATTTGTTACAATAAAATTATTTTTACTCGTAACGTGATGATTCTGATTCCAGGAAGGTAAAAAAAAAAAATCAAATATTTTGGTATTTGTTAAAATTTTATTTTCCAAAATGTACATTACAAAGAGGTGAACAAAAAGAAGTAAAATAATCTACTTGGTTACAGCAAAAAAGCTGCAGTTGAATTCAACAAAAGTATATGATCCTGTGAGTGTATGCATTTGAACATCCTGTCTGGCAAAGTGTTATTGATTGAGTGATGGGCTCTCCTCAACATGCTGTAATTCTATGCCCGCCACCAAGAATCTCCATTTGAACTGAGTACAATCTACATTTTAAACGCATGCTATAAAATTACCTCTACTTATGTACACATTTAAAGTTACAAAAAAAAAACACTGCTTATCGAACAAGACAAAAGTAAACCGTGCACAACAAAGTAATAATTTAATGCTGGATCAAATTGCTTCATTTTTACACAAAACAGTTCACCCTATCACAGACACATTGTATCTTAAATAGACAACAGATTTCAGTTGATAACCCTTAAAATCTAGTGCCTTTCGCCTTGAAAAACCCAGGCTGACGGAAATGAACTTGAAAGTTTACGGCCAGTATAGATAAACTTCAATTTTGTTATATAATACGAAAAGAAGACTTTATGTGGAAATCTTCATCGTAAATGCAAGTTTTGCCCAGTTATGTGTAATAAAGCGGGGTTAAATAACAAAGCATTTCACTAATAAGATTTCATAAGAAAAAATGGATTTCAAAAAATATTTCAGTATTTTCTATTTTGTGCTATATGTGTTGAGTAAACAGTACTTAAAATGTATTTTTGCATGTGTTTGGCCACTAATTTGAAGACAAATATAAATTGAATTTTTATCAGGCAGCTGGCATGAACAAGATAAAATTTGTTTTTGAAATAATTGTGAACAAATCTGTGTGCGAGAGGCAGAAAAATTGTGTTGCCGAGCGGGGCGCTGCTTCAGGTACATACTCGCGATATAAAAAATGACAACTTTAATAAGCGATGTGAGCAAAATTGCGAGAGGCGGTTGAGACGACGTGGAATGTATCGGACGAGTTTTGGGGCAGGACGAGAGCAAGGCGATGAGTGATTTTGGGTGCTGGGCGACGTTGGCTCTGGACGGCGGCGACGGCCGACGCGTGAGCGAGAGAGATAGAGACAGACCAAGCATGAAATAATCGCGAAAACTGGTTTTGCCTTGCGATGCGTATCGTTACTCTCGATTTGTCAATAATTATGCGTCGCAGCCCGCAGGCTTGGATTTATATTTTGGGCCCGTTATTACTCTTCTTCCCATCACACCATGCACAAAGCGCGCTGCACGCACACATACAGAAAAAAAATATGCTGCACCGCAGCAATTAGCTTAATTGCATGTGCACCGCCGCTGCACAATTTGCATCAGCACGGCCGAGCCTTGTTCTTGGAATTAACATATTCTTACGGTCGGCAACACAATTTTATTGAAGCTTTGGGCCAGACGACAATCATTCCATCATTTTTTATGGATAACATGCCAAGCTGAGCGGGGGGAGGCGATCTTTTAATAATTTTTCTTTTTGCACCAGTGCCCTTTCATTATAAGACCTTCCAGACTCTTCACTGAACGTTTGAATATGCAAATTTTTAGAAAAATTTGCTGGGTATCCACTGCCAGATTTATTACTGTGAAAAATTTTCAATGTAGATATAAACAAGAAGGGTATAAAATGCAACTCTTTAAGAACTTTTATATACAAGCGGAGCGGCACTTATATGGGCGCGGAATGTGTTTGATATAAAGTAATAATTACTTAAAAAGTTGTCAAGTGATTTACACAGAGTGTGATGAACAGACATAATATCTAGATTTTGGTCTCTACACTCCAAAATCTCGGGCAGAGCTTGATCTGGAAATCGGGATTCGAGTATCAAGTATGCATTATATATGAGAGCGACTGGCCGTTTTTTACACACTTCCAAAGATAAAACCAGCAAATTTTCTCCCATGTTCAACAATTACCAAAATTAAAAACAAAATCACTTCACAATCGAGACCGTGCCAAATTTGCAATTGCATAGTCCACAGGATTGCACGATTATGCTCCAACTCTAAAAAAATCCTCACGCACAAAAAATCATGCTGTCACATAATATTATGAAAAGCGGCAAGACTCGAGATGCTTTTTTCTGACATAAAATTAAAGTGAGATAATTTTTCCAGTCTCAAATTTTACTGGCAAGGTGTCAGACCTCTATGAATTGGCCAATATTTTCCTTGTTCTTTAAGATGATTTTAATTAAATAAATCCAAGCATTTGCTAAATATTGTCGCAAAAAAATATTTAAACGATTACACAAAGAATTTGGTTGATTTTGATTTTGTGATCTTCAAAAGTCAATTCATAAAATAGAAGAAATTGCCAATTCACAAAACCGAATACCTTGCAAAGATCTTGCGCATCATTTCACTTCACATCAGCTTTTCTAAAAATACTACCAGTCCTCAGCATGAGAGCAATTTTGATTATTGGGCATGAAACATGAGCAGAAGAACAAATTTTTTTGCGATCACCACCTGTCACCTGTTGTGCCATAATTGCACAGATTAAGAGGCCGGGCGGCGGCGCGCGGCGACGGCAGTCTTTTTAACACACACACACTAATGGGGGCTTAAGCGCGAGATCGAAGGCGGGCAAGAGCCCAACAGAGTTGGCCGCCTAGGTGGGACCGCTCAACTGACTGTGGGCCAGCATCAGAATATCCTTTTTCTCCTTAGGGAAGCGGAGTTCGCGGCCGGCAAGTCTGGCCGCCTGCAGTTCGCGCTCGGCGAGGCCCAGCTCGCGGCCCAGCGCGCCTTGGTTTTCGTGCTCCCGGGCCAGCCAGTCGAGGGCCATCTGAGAACGCATGTCGTCGTCCAGGGCACGGTTTGAGTAGTGGGCAACAACTTCCTGACGGGAACATTGCCGTTCTCGCATCGCCTTTAAACTGCCGTTCCAGTGCAGCAGCTGAAACACGGTCATCAGCTCCTGAAACTCGAGCATCGTCCGACCCTTGTTTGCCTCCAGCATGAAGCGAAACGCGCCAATTCCTGTGTTAGGGTTGTCCGCTTCTTCTGGGTCTCCCTGCAAAAGAAACCAAAAAAAAAATACTATTTACTTCATTTAAATAAATATTTTTATATAAAAATAAAAAATTTTAATAACAACAAATCAATAAGATTTTTAAATTCAATAGAAAAATAAGAAAACTGTTCTCTTTAATAAATATTGCAAATTTTAAAAGCCCCAAACAGCAAATAAATTGAGCTGATTTCCTGGAACTTTGAAACCAGTTTGATGGAATGATCCAAATTTAACTGTTGTCTTGAGAGTCAATTATAGCGCTAAACATAGAATATTTCTCACACACACTCTAATAAGGAAAATTTGGCTTGCTGATGTTATATTAAATGTTAGATTTGGCGCTCCGTCCCGTCGTTAAATTCATATTTTTGTCGGTGTGTGACTGCCGCCGGATGTTTTGCACACACGCGGCACGGAAAAGACGCTGGCGAAAATTGTGTTCTCGTGAGAACCGCCCATCAGTAATTAGTGCGCATACCTTAAAAGACGCCCTCGCTTCGGCCACTGCCTTCTCGATGAAATCATCTGAAATCCGTCGAGACGGGTGCTCGTTGAATACTGAATTCATTAGCGCTATTTTCGCAGCACTTCTGCGCGCCTCAGCCTTTGTTGGACAGTTCTGCAATGTTAGAGGAACCACGAAAGGGGTTTTAATTTATTCAAACGTTGCAGATTTATAAAATCTTGTTTGGTATTCATAAGTACAATTCTAGATTGCGAATTATTTTAATTTTAAAAATAAAAATAAAAACATTTGTAACAACATTAAAAACATTGTGATTTACTCATTGCTAAAATAAATAGTATTTTGTTGATTTCCGGAGAATCGTTAAATGCACACTTGCAAAGAATTCTACTTAGAGCTCACCTGGAAGCTGCCAAAACATGAGCCTCCTGGAAGTGTGACGTAGCATACATAGGGTGGACTTGATGCAGGCACAGATTCATAGATTACAAGGGCGCCGTTGCGTAGATCGGCTCCGCGCGATTGCTTCATTTGCCAAAATTCTTGAAGTGCTTCTACCACATTCACTGAAAATATAAATACAAATTTTTGCTTATTAAAAATTCTTTGTGATTACTACAATAAAAGTGAAATTTTAATTTAAAATTAAACTTATATACTCTATTTTTTTTTTTTTTTTTACATTTTGAAAGAGGTTCCAAAATCTCTTTTTAAATTTCTTTTATTTTTGTTCTTCTTTTATTATTAATAAAAATTTCATTATTAAGCAATAATTCGCGGTCCATTTTTAGTATCAATTCTTTTATTCTTGTGTAGAGAATCGGTTTGTTTGTTCAGGCAAGATATTTTATTTTAATCAACAAATTACTGAAATCACAAAAAAGATTTATCCAGTTCATTGTCTTTTTTTATAACCGCACAATATCTCTTGTCAAAAGTTATCGGCAGAGAGAGCAAGGCAGTCGCATTAAAGCTGCTGAGAAAGGTTGCCCAAGAATAAAGTGCGTTGCTCACGTTCTCTCATCTGAACGACATTATTTGATCCATCCTCTCAATGCATTTGTTTTCAACACTTGGATGCATACCAATCGCCAGTCAGGCATGATGCAACACTTGATGCACTCTGCTCACTTTTTATTCTTTCCTAACATCTCCGTAAGTAAAGAAAAATATAAAAGTATCACGGAGAAAACGATCGACGCTAACAATATGATTGCACTCAGGAAGTTAATCTTTTTTATTGTTAGTTACACTAGGGTGGAGAGGATATTTTCTTTTTTATAGTAATATTACTTTTTTATAATCAAAATATCAAACCATCTAAAAATTTTATTTTATTTACTAGCTCGGTGAATATATTTCCATTTAAAAATTTCTACTAACAAAACATAATTCTAATTAGGTATAGGAAAATCTTTTCAAATTTTGCTCATAAAATCCAACAACTTGTAAATAACACAATTTAATGATTATTAGATAATTGTTAAAAACACGAGGAAAAACGATTTAGCAAAGAAATATTAAATTTGATTTTTTTAATTGTTAGAAGAACTGCTCCTTAATAATTACGGGATCGCTATTTTCTGTCCTCTTTCAAGAAAATTGAAGTGCTAATTAGTGGTCAATGTGATGGTAGGAGCACAAAAAATGAGTGGATCTTCTCCATTGGTTCATTTATGACTGTTATTTCCAGAAATGCAGGTCCAAAAGGCAGCCGTTGTGCGTTGCGTGTAGATCTATAAATGTGTAGCCCGTCCCAGAAATACAATATTAACGGGCAGATGCATTGCGTGATTGCGTGAAGTCGATTCTGAAAGGAAGCCACCACGACAAAATGATATCAAGAAGATGTGGATATATAAAAAGTTTTTTTTTATTTTATTCAGATCGGATGGAGGAGCAGTTTCGTTTCTCACACTGCCGCGCTATGTACTAAATCCTATAAGCAAACGATCACGCGAATCGCTCATTCAAATTGCTCCAGCAGCGTTTTTTTTTGTCATTCCTCCTCTGCTCCTCTAAAATCAGCCAGCAAGGAGAGGCGGTCAGATTTGCTCCTTGTGGCAAAAGAGTGTTTTACTTTTCCAAGCCGTTTCTGCGAATTGCTGAAACAAGTTTCTTTTTTCAAATAAGAAAAATGGTCCGGCTTTAGCAGGTCACAAGGAAATATTAAGACGCATTCTACTAGTATCCTTTGCTCGACGAAAGACAACTTCTTATAATTGCTGAGCAAGACGAGAATTTTCATATGAAAGTCAAACGTCACGTTTTTTTTACAATTTCTTCTTATCCATCTGGAGATTTCGCCAAATTGACCGTTGATTTGTAAATAAATAAACTCAATTTGTAATTAAATTAAAAATAAGAAAAAAATTGATCACTTTCTGAGAGTGAGGCATGAAAATTTTGGTAGAATATGTTTATATTGTTTTAATAAATTTTGCCAACAATTAATATTTAAAATCTAAAGCCGCAAAAATGCGAAATTAATCTCATATCCTGGCACAAAGATCGTTGCCATTGCATTTTATTCTGAAATTTCCCGTGTCTGGAACCCTCAAGGGCAAAGTCTCTAACGAAATAATGGAGCGCTGTGCAGTGCCTGGCAACTCCTTCCGAATGAAACCTTTTGTTTTAAGCACTGGATGAATTAGAGGTCTTGCTCAAATGCAAGTCAAAGAAACCGCCGCAAGAGCAAACAATCGCGGGCACAGATGGGGTGATGCTCTTCCCCTGTGCACTCCACAATAATTGACCATAATATTTCCTCAGCTGCGTGCCTCTGTCAACATTTATGCTCAATCTCAACTCATGAATATTTTAAAATATCGGTCTGTCCCAGAAATTCTGTTGCTCGCCAGGTTCCCCTGTTAAAGGAAATATACATTAGAGTGTTACTGTTTTTACTTGGAAAATAAAAACTAATAATTTTATATTTAATTTACAACTGTAAATTCAATATTAAATTTTCGTGTAATAAAATAGAAGACTTTATATATTATTTTTTAAAAATATATGCACAAATAATAATAATAAAAAATAAAAACTAAATAACGTCAGAAGAGGGTAGCAAAATTTTTGAAAATTAATAAAAAAAAAAATATTTGATAAATATTTAGTAATTTATTTTTAAAATAAATTGTGCATACAATTTTAAAGGAGTATTTTTAACTGCCGCAGTTACATCAGTTTTGTCCAAATTCTTGTTAAAATACACCGAACCTTTCAAGCCCATTAAGCCCGACCCACAGGAAATTATTGGGAACCACATTTTCCGACAGGAAGCTTATTTGAAAGGCGTCTTACTGAAAAATGTACGTGAGACAAAAAATAAGATACATATTATTTTCCTTTTTTTCTCAGGCGTTGGGCAGCAGACACGCGAAATTATTTCCAATTGAACGGGTTTATTAGAAGTAGTGTGTAAATTAATACCCACAAGCAAGGACAACCACAAGGGGTGCATGTGTTGCTATGCTCTTGTCTGATAGCAGATCACATTGTCATGCGATTGTATGCGATGCTTTTGCAGGCTAAATGTAGGCACAAAATTGAAATTTCATTGGAAACCCGACCTTTTTTCTCAGATGGATACATCGCCCTGGCAAATAAATATTTACTTGTCGAATCACAGCGTTTTTTCTGAAACTTTTGTTTGCTTGTGCCAAATTATTTGTGCATATATTACGAGACTAAATTTAAATTGAGAAAAATTTATAAATCGATTTTGCTGGTGATTGATGTTGTAATTAAATATTCAGAATAGATCAAGCTGGTTGTTTATGGTGAGCAAGTTTAATTATTGCGGTTATTGATATCGAGTAGTGTTTTTTCGACTCGCGCGGACTCGTCTGCAAAGGGAGACGAGTGACCCAAATTTCAGGTGGGCTCAAATGTAGCCGCTTCTTGGGTCTGGTGGCGACGACCACCAGAGCTCCTCCGTACGCAGAGTGCTCGCCCAGTAAGTGATATTGCGCTCTCGGTATGAATGTACGTACATACATAGATAGATATCCACACATCAGGTAGTGCATGAGCTGTATCGAGTGTGTATACCTGTGAGTCTGGCCGGCCGGCTGGCAACGCCGCAGTAAAAAAGGCTAAAAAACCGTCAGCGGCGCAAACAGGTATGCAAGAAAGAGCACCGACTGCGATTATGCACGCCACAAAAAGCACTCGTAGGCCACTCTGCGGCCCACTCACTCACACGACCTGCCAAATTGCTGCTCATGCCATTTATTTATTTATTTCCAAGACAAATGAAAATTTTGTGCCCAAAAAGTCGTGGAAGCGCCGCTACCAGATTGCTGCTGGTGTTTGAGACGGCGTGCTCGCAAAAACATTTTTCCAAAAATATCTAATCTGCGTGTTTAACTTTAAACTTGAGGATTATTCCAAAATTATTCTTCAGTGGTGTCTTTTAAAAAATTTGCAAATTTAATCATAGAGCTCTTAATTCTCTAAGAAGTCAAGTGCAATGAATTATTTCGCAACAGCTTAAAAATTTTCACTAAATAATAATTTCCCTCTATACATAATTTTGAATTGATGTTTACTCGTTTTATAAAAAATATTATAAGGCTGCTTCTGATATATAATTTAAAAAGCAATTTATCACGCAGATAATTGCTAAATTATGCAAAAATGCAAAAAAGCAAGGGGCCATAAGCCAGGATGTCTGCTATGTAAATTGCCCTCTGAAAATATGATCCCAAATAATCAAAGCGGTCAAAAACAAGATTATTCGACAAATGAAAATAACGACGTAAAAAGTCTGACAAATTCCTATGATCTTTTCGCGCTCATTATTTTTGGTAAAATTAAATAAAATGCGAATTTTTTACGTTCAATAAGTGACCACGTTGTTTGCATTAAAATTAATTTCGATTTTTAACAAATGAATTTTTGCTTACGTAAACTATAACAAGCAAAAAATGTCGTATGCGTGTAAAAATAAAAAAAGGTCGTTGGTAATTTGTTCGCGATAATTCTAACTTTGCTCAACTGTCCACTGAAGGAGCGATTGGCAAGACGTCCAGAGGAAGACTCACCTCTGTCCTGATGGAAATTGTCGAAACGTTGGTGCTTAGGGGTGGACCATGGGGCCGGCAAGAAGGGCTGCGTGTCGCACGACATTTCGCGCTCAGCTCAGAAAGCCAACTGAGAGAGCAAGACGAGTTTCTCAGGCTCCTGTCAGGAGAGAGAGAGAGAGGGAGACCAAATAATACTGGACCGAGAGAGGCGGTGCTGTCGGCCAGCATCCTCTCTCAAGCGTAAACCCTCCGCCTTCAAACACCCTCAGATTCAATTTTTTTTTAAATATAAAATTTTATTCAAAATTACGAGCGATTGTAAATTTATTTAATAATTGTTTTAATAGGAAAGTAATTTTTAACGCGTGAAACAGAAAAATTGAATGTATAAAATAGACTGTTTGTTTTATGATTGTTCCAAGACTTGTAACTCTCAACAACCGCGTCTTTCTCTTAAGTTAGTCACACTACTAAAAAAAAGTTAACACAATCCTCAAAAAGGTAATGAACTCCGGTGAGCAGTGAAGAGAGCGGCAAGCTATGATGGTGGATTTCGCAGTAGTGGATGCTGTGAGCTCGCATCTCCTTCAATTCACGAATTCACGTTGAATGACGTAACGTCACTAAGTAAAGCAATTAACTCCTTAATTAGGTAATAATGCTCCCTAGTGAAAGCTTATACATCTCAGATCGTGACGAATTAAAAAAATTGCAGACACCGCCAAAGTTATATTTCTATCAAAGCCTCGCTGCACTCAGACCGCTTTTATATATTTTCTCCCGCTAAAATAATTACAGAATAATTAATAAATAACTTATTTTATTCCATGAAGAATTCACAAGACTTTTTCTTGCGCTATTAAAAAAAAATGTTTCTTGCCCATTCATATAACTTTTCTATAATGACAACTTAAGCACAAAATATTTTTTTACTTTGAAAAATCAAGTGGCCAGTTATTTTTATAAACTGCTCTTCTTTCCTCCCTTTCCCCTTTAAATAATTATAAACCTTTACTCTATATTCACATACAAAAGTTCACAGGGAAAAAAGAAAGGATGCATGGGAAAAAACAACTCTCTTGCCGCAGCAGGCAATCTTTCGTGAATTCCTGTAAAAGAAAAAAGCAAAAGCGCCTCAAGCAAAACCCCTGAGTTGTGTGTGTGCGTTTTGTTTTTATAGTGATGGATGTAGATTGTGGGCTCCACACGCACACACGTCATAAATTTATAAACCATGATATCGTACGTCTTTTGAATGACTGCCGACCCACCCCTCATAGGCGTCCAATCACCCCCGCCCCGGCCCCGGAGGCTTAATTTTCAATTAAAGATATTCCAAAAAATAAAAAACACCGTTTCTCTAAAGATTATATTAAAATTTGTTTAAGTTACTTTCAAAAATTTTCCAAGTAAATTTAAAAAATTTCACTTTCGGAAAAAGGAAAATAATTTGAGATGGTGTTTTGAAAAATGTTTAAAGACAGAATGCCAAAATTTTTGTGGGCAGAATAAAAAGCGTTATTTGATAAGTGGCGGCCTCACTAAAGCAGAGGGGTCAAAATATGCAATGACAATAACCATTCTCATGATATAAGAGGAGTATGTACGTATTTTGTGCTTGGTTCAGGTTCCCACGCTTGGAGACCTTGATAAATAAAAGTTATATGTCTGCTACAAGGTATTACTCCAGCCGGTCTGTAATGCATTATGAAAATGCGAACCTATGGAGCAAATTCAACACGATAATTCTCAAAAGTTTTGCGCCTTAAATTTATTTTAAATTTAGATTTTCCTCAAAAATTAAAAAAAAACTGAAAACTGATAATTGAAACAATTAAAAATACTGCTCACTTACTTAATCTGCAATTGTAGAGTTGAGGCGTTTGCTTTTTATTGCACTTCTTTCACTTTTACAAACACCTTGCGTGTGTGCGTATTTGGGCAATACTTAAATATTATGTGCAAAAATTTTAAGGGCCGCAATAAAAGCGCAAAACGAATGCAGAAGTGGTCGGTTGATTAGAACCGGGCACGCGATTTACCACGGCGCTTTGGCAAGAAAATGAGTGAATGGCATGATTCGGGCGCTGTGGAAATACAAATAAGCGGCTTGGTGAGCGCACGACCTGGCGAACGGGAGGCCTGACCTTTGACCTACCCTTTCTTGCACGCGCCTCTATCACTATTTTAACGCCCGAACCGCGCGTGGGCAAAATCATGGGAATTTAATCAATGAATTTGGGAGAGAGAGATACAATCACCGTTTTCAGGGAGTAGTAAAAAAAAATACCTTCAACCTTACCTAAAAATATTGATAAAATCGACAAAATGATATATTTTTCCCACTTTGATTTTAATATAATTTCCATTCTGCATTATACATATTTTTATAATTTTCTCACAAACTGCGCGCATTACAAAAATGAACTCGTTTTAAGATTTTAAAAATAAACTGGATTTTTGTTGGCAACAGTTGTGGTTATAAGAAATAAATATTGCGGCGAGGAGAGGGAAATCTTTTGAGTTCTTGTCGTCTTGTGATGTATTGCATGATGCGAAAATTGTGTGAAAAATCACTGCAAAATGTACATCAACTTGCGCAATAATTTTTCCTTCTTTATATAACGGCGTGGATTCCAAACCGAAAATTCGCACGAGAAAATTTTAAAATTAATGTTATGAGATAATAAGCAATATTTTTCGTCTCAACCCAGGGCCAGCAATACACATTAAACATTATTATGTGTGTGCCGCATCTTCAAGCGCACCATTCACGGTGGGTTAATTTGTTTGACATTTACGATTACGTCTCATTCAGAATTTCTTTTTTATTTCCCTGGCGATGCTGTGATGAGAGGTGGGCCATTTTTATGCTGCTCTTTACAGTTCAGTTGGTATTAAATTTTTAAGTGTGAAAAGTAAAAATAAAAAATTACCAAGCTAATGGATTTAAATTAATATTTCATTTTTTCGTCAACGCCTAAGTCCGGCAACTCCTTTTGGAAGCGGATTTTTTTAACTGCGATTGAAGCTGATATAGATTTGCTCGCTTATTTAAAGTAATTTTCTTATTTTCCTTCAACTGCGGTTTTATTCTTCGAACTTGAAGGTCAGATAAATACTCTAAAGGAGACATGACAATTACCTTGTTTCACTCATTGCTCACTTACTTGCGAGCCCACAAACTTTTCATATCTGACGTTAAAATACAGCAGCGTAACAAGCTCAATTTAATAAAGACCCGCAGGAGTTTTCATATTTTTTCAAGACCGAAAAATATTTCGCGTGAACGAAAAAGGCTTTACATGAAATAAATTGCAATTGTTACCATTTTAAGGTGTCCATCTGACCTTTCATGCAGCTCGGCAGAAACTCGTCAAGTAACTTTTTTCCTGGGTCATTTGTTTCAAACACCACTGGGGGTGATGGAGAGAAGCGAGGGCGGACAAACGCGCAGCCCTTGGCCCCCATCCACGGACGGCTCAAGCAGCCGCAGCGTGCGAAGGTGTAACGGAAGTCTGTGCATGAGCTGATTTAAAGCAGGAGCCAGGTCATTGGCTCTGGTACTCACATATCTTGCAAAGTACCGCTCATTACAGCTTTTTGTATCGCATGACTCTTTTTTGTCCAAGCGCCATTTGCAAATTTCCTCAGCTCTTCGCATAACAGCTGCATAAAGCATTAAAATGTAATAAACATCTTTTTTTGTGTGTTGACCTGAAATTTTTACTGGTATTTTGCAATTTGATTTTTTTAATGTAATTTGCAGTTTTTGTAAGTTTATAAATAATTTTTATTCTTTTAAAAATTCAACGTTTTTGCAAGTTTGAAAACGTGTTGAGAAGTCGCTGGCAGAATTATCGGTCTCCGTGTGCGCACCAAATTCGCGAACGGACAAACTGTCGGAATAAATGCGAAAAGTGGCCCCTGCTCGGTTGGCCGCCAAATTGGTGCCAACGTGAGTGGTGGGTTCCATATCTCTGCGTGCAAGTGAATATACGTATTACTTGGTGCGAGTGAGTGAGCTGGCGAGATTGATCGCGGCAGCATCTCAGTGGATCAGCTGGTTTTTATTAGTGACACACAATAGGTCGGTGACCTGAGCACCATCCAGACACACCGCCCCCGGTCATCTCGGGCCAGCTTCGACCGCAGCGCCGCCCCTGCTGCCTCTTGGGCACTACCTTCTGACAAATCCGCGGACGAGAGAATTAAATGAATGCCCATTTGGCCCACATTTTCAAAATTATCATTAATTATATATGGGTCATCATTCGAGACACGGTTTTGTAATTCTTCAAACGTATCATTTTTACGCAAGGATTTACTTGACGTTGCGAAAAATTTAAGCTTCAAAAATTATACAACAAATTTTTCACTTAAAAAAAAACGGAATTTTAAATAAATAAAAAATGATGATGGGAAATATTTTCTTGTTAGTTGCATCTTACTTGCAATTAGTTCAATGAAAATGCATTTTAAACTTATTTGTTTTTCACATCCGTGTACATAAGGTGGGGCCTCCGCGCTTCTGCGCTGCTGGAATGAATGATGACCGGTTGAATGAATAAATCGTTGTCATCTTTGTCCCCTGCTGAGCACCAAAAATATACTTCTTCGCACCCTCATTGAAGTGATGTATGCATTAGATATATCGAAGCATTAAGTAGATTTAATCGTTGCAGTCCTTCGCAGACGAAGCAGGAGATCAAAATATTATAAATCTCATTTTCATTATTACCTCGGCGAAAATAAAATAAGAATTTTGGCGAGTAGATTTCAGCTAGTAAAAAAGTTTAATTATCAATTATGATAAAAGATTAGAAAGCGTAAGAAGAAATAAGAGTTTGATTAAATTGTAGGGCCAAGTTAGCAATTCCGTTTTCACACCTTGTGGCTCTTCATCTGATAAGCAAGTTCCGCATTTATCAGATAGCTCGCGAAGCTGTTTTATTACACTGTGAGTGAGCGTTAAAAGAAGTATGTTTCCGAGCTACGAAGCGTTAAAGTATGACAACTGATAATCATCTTGTTCACTCATTAGTAAAATGTTTTATTTGATAATTTACATACTTTAAATTCAAATAAAGCTCACAGTGATACTCCCTTTTACTTTTATTATTCAACGCATGGAACGAATAATAATGGAAAAATAGTCGATACTTTTTTTAAAGAGATTTAATGCTTTTTTACATTACGAAGTATGTGATTATGTCTTAAAAAAAGAAAAGCCAACTCTACATT